AAAAAAAAAAAAAAAAAAAAAGGACAAAAGAAAACGAAAAGGAAGTAATTCTTGTGTTGGCCACGTTTAAGTTGGGAAAATAAAAAAAAATAAATAAAATTTTAAAAAATAAATGGGTAGGTGGGTAGGAAAAGTACTTTTTATTTTATTTTTTTACCAATAATGTGTTTATGCCTAAAAAGTAGAAAATACACAAAAATACCATTTAAAAATCTATAGGCCTATTGAAGAGCAAAATGATCACATACTGTCGCATCGCCTATCATCCAGCAAGAGACCTATTCCAGTCTTTTTAACTCATTAAAAAATATTTTTGTAGTCATAAAAAAAGAAAAATAAAAAATAAACCTTAACCTTTCGTACATTTTGGGTCTTTCGGGATTGGCACTGCGATCATTTTAACATTTTTACTTGGCCTTATTCCCGAGTTTTTCTCCAAATATGCCTTTTATGCGGTTCTGCAATATCAGAGCATTTTGTTGCCCGGAACTTGGCTTTAATATAGCCATCACGCGCTTTAGGCCTATGTATATTTATCAGTGTTGTTGATTGAACCCCATGAAAAGTTTTAACTTAAATAGGTAATTCGTGATTACTCTATAATAATTCGCGCCATCAATGCATTGGCGATTTAAAGAAGAAACACTCAAAACTCAAGGCTTTGATTGTAGTTGTAGGCATAATATTATTTTTCATAAAAAATAATAGGTGATTTTTTTTTTCATCACAACATGGAGGTATAAAATTATACCTCCATGAACACAATAACCAAAGGATCGTAGTAGGTACAAAAATAACAAATCAAATGATGATCTCTGGTACTTGTAATTATCTAAAGAGCGCCACCACACGTTTTGTGGAGTTGTGAAGCATGGGGACCTTTCTCTGACCTCTTATCGCAAAAAATGCTTCAAACCTTTTTTGTTATTGATCAGTGAAGCCGTTAGAAGAGGCAAGGTGTACTTTATAAATATATAGGTTAGCCCGGTACCTCTTTGGGATAGGTGAGGGTTTCTTTGAGTCGAAAATAAAAGTGAGATATATAAACAGGTGAGTAACTATTTCAACAAAGCATTACCAATAATAATATTGGATGTTGGTGTAGGCGTACGTTAGCTAGGCCCAGGGCCTAAGCCTTACTCTGGGAGGGAGGGAGGATGATTAGATGGATTATCGTGTCCCAGCCAAAATTGGGTGCTCTGACTGGTTGATAGCGCCTTGGGGTTCTTGATAAATATTTTGGCACCAAAACATACCATACAGTACTATCCAACTAGGCCTTGTATAATGTATAAAGTGTAGTGTTTAGTAGTTTCATTTCATTTATTATTTTCAGGCACTATAAAATACAATAAACAAAGACACAGCCTGAAGATAACCTAAAATGAACTTAAAGCCCCATTCCCGGCAAAATTTCACTAAAAATGACTTTTTTTAGAAAATATGCATTTGCATTACTCCAATTATTATAAATCATGGAAAAATATTTTAATGAATTTTAGTTTTACGCAAAAGAATAAAAAAAATGAGAAATACAGACTATTTCTCATAAAATATTACCATTTTCTCGACGAATTCATCGTTACTAGGCAAATTCAGAGGTAGATCGCATCCACTGGAATACTCTCGCTTTTATGTATACTTTATACAGTCAATAAAGTGCGCCCTCTCTAATGAGATTACTTTTTGTACTTCGCATCTCGCACAATGCAGTCGTTCGGTTAGGCCGAGATATGTTTGTTTAAGTGTCAAAATCTCAGTCAGAATCAGTTTTTTAACAAATTTGAAATAATTCCTATGAAATATTATATTTCACAAGTGTCAATATTAGCAACGGAAAATATCATGTCGATCTGCACTATTAAACTCTCATTATGCTTCAGGTGTGCAGTTTTCTGTTTAGTCATGAAAACAAACAAAATTATGCTGTCACAGGCATAATTTGTCTTCCTTACTTTGTTTTCTTGTTGATGATACCTCCATAAGTTTACATTTTTTTGTTTGTTAGGGCACATAGAAAAAATGGTTGGATTATTATTCTCGCCCACATAAAAATTTGGAAAATATTGATGTAAAAAGAAAAAAAAAATTTGCTGCATCGTTTATTTCAACAGAGCTTAAAAAAACAATGCAATTTTATGACCGGAAATATATTTTCTTTCAAAAACAATTAAATTAAACTAGTTGTTACGCAATATTCTTGCCAAATGAAAACAGTCCCTCTGTCATCAATAAAAAAAAAAAAAGAAGTAATATTCTATTGTTCCGATTAAAAAAGAACAAACCACCAGCCCTCATCTCTTTTTTTTTTAAAAGAGTGATAATCTATTAATTTTATGTGCCCTTAGCTGTAAAACATTGATTAGCCTGTTGAAAGTAGGCCGATTATTTTTTGTTAAAACATTTTTTTTTCATGCTGATGCATCCAGGCATGTAAATGTCTATGTATGGAATTTTTATATAGCAGTAACGGTGTCATCATTATTTTCATGAGAGTATAAAACATACGCTAGGAATAGTGGTCAACAGCATACTCCTCTTTTTTTACTATAAAAATGAAAAAGTGATCAATTTTAAAATGACAATAATCATACTCTTTTGGGGGAGGGAGGAAGGGATCACAGAAAAGAGTAAGTTTTGCATTCTCTTTAAAATGATGAATAAAATGTGTCAGCCTCTCCCTTTACCTAACATTTGTAGTTCTTGTTTGTTTACTTAGGAGTGGCTAATACTGATAAGCACCATGCCTGGAGCCACAGCGGCTGAACCTGGCGAGGGTAAGATTTTCTTAATTTTTTAAATACCATATTTAATAAAGCTGTGCTATCCGCTGGTAATTTTGGACCCTTCATTAGTATGCAGGTGTCTGTACAAGTCTTAGGGAATGGAATTGTTAGGTTGTTAAAAAAAAAAAAATCCATAGATATCAACATAGGACATTGGCATTTAGGTGGAAGACAAATGTAATAAACCATACTACAGCTCTACAGAAACATATTTCTTTATTTTTTTTTTCTAAAATATAGATTCAAGTGAAGATAATCCAATCCCCTATGGAAACATATAAGTGACAGTAAATCCAATGATAACTAAGCTTGCTAATGACAAAGAAAACACCTTATAATATCTTTATTATTTCTATTTCTGTGCCAGCTGCTTTGCTGGCCATATTTTTTTGCACATGTTACTTAGTTACAGTATGTTAAGTGTAATGTTTTTTTTTTCAAGTGTTGTTGTTTTGGAACAATTGATTTATATTGTTGTTTATTGCTGTGAAGGTTTAATATTTGTTTTCAGTATAAATTTTGCTCTCAGTAAATTTTTATGAGGATTGTTCATGAATATTATTTTATAAGCGACTAATAATAATTTTGTAACCATCAAGATTATTATTAACTATATTTTATTGTTATTTGTTGTTTCTGAACACAGATCAAGTGCCACACTCATCATAAGCAACCTGATAGTGTAATAAGTCAATTAAGCTATTATAATTCTCCATTTATAGTAAGTGGATTTGCAATACAGGATGGAAATATTGATGGTCTACTCTAAACAATATACCAAGTCTCCTTGAGGCTTAGGAGAGGGCATGGAGGGTGGTACTGTAAACATAGTAATAATATACAGTAATAAGGATGATGCCTTGATGAGAATATATAAGTATAGAGGTATTGTGCACATGACGAGATTAGAAAGTGCATTCTGATGTTATCCTATAGATCCATTTAAGGGTGGATTATAATTACAATATGGAATTTATGGTATACACAAAGCATATTATCTGATAGTTGTAGCGATGTATTAATTACAGATGTTGCCAACATATTCAAAATCTATGTGACTCAGTTTCCTTTGACCTTGTGACCTTTTTACAGCTGTAACTTCTTGTCTTGGCAGGCAGCCTCTGTGTATGGAGAAACATTGTCATAGGCTATATCATCAGTTTTAAGAAAAGTTATTATCTAAGGATGTGCTCAAGCGAAAAAAAAAGCGTGCATTTTCTGCTCAATTCTTTGATATATAATACCAAAACCGATCGGTTTTGAGTCTGAGGTTCCAGGCTTGAATAGATTCTTTGCATGTTCTTAAGAGGAGTTGACCAAAAATAATCGTATTCATTGGTTCAAGATAATATGTCTACCTTACAAAAACATTTATTTTCATCATACTGTCCCGTGTGTCAATAATTTGGTTTAGCATCAGGCTTAGAACAAGGTGCAGTATGGCAGAACAAATTATAACATCTATCAGATGTTCAGAAATATTGTAGGAATCTAACCTCAGCTTGATTACCACTGCCAGTACTCATGTCTCATGTTGTGAGGCCTTGGGATAATGGAGTTGTTTACTCATGAGAAAAAAACCCGGTTTTTGACAAGATTGAATAATTAAACCACATTAGCTCCACTCTGCTGTTAAGCATGCTTTAAACTAATTTTTTTTATTATGTTGTAACTATCATGGTGGTGTTAGTTTTATTTGTAATCCTCAAACATTCTCTCTCTGAAATATGTTGAGTTGGAAACCCAAGCATGTAATTTGAAAATGTTGTAAGAAACATGTCTCATTAGATTGCAAAATATATTCAAAATCTATTTAATTAAATGATGGATTAATTATTATGACCTTGCCAGTAACTTTCTTTATAATATTGGAGCTTTCCACTAAACAAAAAGCTGTTTATACCTGTATGTTCCGATAGTTCTATAGGACATGAAATGTATGTTTAAACCTTATAGTCAACAAACTAATGTTTTAAATTTGGAAATTTCATTTTTTATTCCTGTTATCCCATTTTATCTCTTTTATCTCTTAATCTATCGTTTCAAATATTTTTACAACCTTCACTAAATTATTTTATTGCCGTTTTAGGTGATGACATGTATAAGTACTCAATTTTTGTGCAATTTTTTACGTTTTTATTGTATTAAAGTCTTGTTTTGTATGGTATTTGTATTATATTGTTTGTATGTTACTTTTACGAACTCACCGCTGTTTTGAAAGTGTTGTTTCAAATAAAGTCATTTTTATAAAAAAAATTAATGCTATAATATACTTGTAACTGATGGCTCTTTAAAAAAAATAGTGGTAAAATTTCATCCTAATCGGCATATATCATTCAAAATCCACATTGCAGTATTTGGTAATTGAGTTCTATGTATAGATTTGAACTCTGTGTTTGTTGGGAATTATTATAATTACAAATCTATAAAAATTCCCACTAGCGGACAAATCAGTTAGTGAACAAATCCCTCCAGTCTTTTGTTAACAAATTATTATAATTGCACACAACGCCGTCTATTAAACCCCTGCATGAAATTGAAACCACCCAAGCATTGCTAGATGTTGTTAGGGTGCGCTTCCAAAATTGATCGCCATGTTTACGGTTAAGTAGACCAGAATTTGTTCTGCCATCCAGATGATAAATTCTGATGGGAGTTCCTTTATGGCTGCTTTGCCTGTTTTTATTTCACTGTTCACTAATCAATATTTTGGTCAAAGCCTTCGTATGATATTTCAATCCGTTGAATTGTTATGGTTATGTAGACAATATTCTCTGTCACAAATCCATATAGAATTCTATCGTGATCTGAGAATTTTTTTTTTTTGCCCAATACCTAATGAGGTAATGTCTGCTGCCCTCTGTTGTTAATTATTAGAAGAGTAGTAAAATTCTAACATTTACAGTATTTATTATTTTCATATCCTTAATATATTATATCCAATGTATATAAAAATACCATTTTATTTATAATCTTGTAATTTTTCATACTACATTTTGTATTTGTTCCTTTTTATCATCAGTCTGCATATTATTTAAATAATATTAATAAATTATTTAAATCCCATTAAAAAATGCTGATAATGTAACAAATGTTGGTACTTGACCTAGAAATATCTGACTATTAAAAACACCTGAAAAGAAGAGATGACACGTAGGAGCTGACTTCATACTACCATCTACCTTAATGTATTATTAATAATAATAAATATGTCATATGTTATTTAATTGTATAATATCAAGCCAATGTAGCTCTAGTGTGGGTTATTCTAATAGTGGTAATACAATATAAAAGTTATATTGATTTTGAATTAGGCAATCAGATTATAGAGTATAAGTATAGGCATATGGACAGACATGAATAATAAATAGTTTACTAAATTAGTAAAGAAAGCTTACTTAATTAAGACTTATTTGATGTTTGATTTTAGTTGTATTTTACAATCCGAAACAAACTCTTTACCAGATAAAAAGTGTCGTTTTCCTTTTAATTGGAAAGAGATTTTACAAGTGAAACTTCTTTACCCGATATAAAGAAGTGCCATTGAAGTACTTTGAATCATTCACTAAGTCCATTAGTTAAATTGAATCTTGCACAAGATCAATACGCAAGATATATTACCTATTGTCCAATGAATTTTGCATGGTTCGTTGGACTAAGAACTATTAATATATGAAACCAGCATTATACTGTATACCATACACGTCCAAAACCATCGATCTTAGCTCATTAGCAGTCAATGAAGGTAAACATGGGAACATTTAGATGCAAGTGTTCTGCAGTTAGTTCATAATTACTGCTTCATTCTGTGGTTTCTACTCCGTAAGTTGATGTAAATTACCATTATTATGTTTTGTATTACATATATAGCAGCATGGTGGTAAGTAATCCATGGTAGACAATTCAATTTACCACTATTCCTAGCATGTATTTTTATGGTAATTAAGCTCTAAGAGTGTCTGTAGTACAATGTACAGTAGGTATAGAGACAGTTTAGGTACCTGTGGCCATCACCACAAAGTGCACACAGACGTTTGTGTCTGTCGGTTGAAACAAATGATGTACCCTATGCATTTTTTGTACACACTGTAATTTTAGGCCTATTCTATGCAAAATAGTGTGTGAGAATAATTTGGTAATTTTTTTTTTTTTTTTGTGAACAGACACCATATTTATTTATTTATTTATTTATTAGGATATACACTTTTGAAACAGTGGCACACTTCAAAAGAAGAAGGTGCATCCATGAAAACAAAAACATACTTAGACTAAAAATGATAAAACCAAATACAAAAAAATTACCAAGCATAAGAAAACTTACAGAACTAATAATTAAGGTTCCTACCCTCCCTAACATAAATAATGTAATACAAAATGCACCATAACCCTATATTCAAAACAATTACAAATTACACAGCTAAAATTTAAAAACTACACACAAGTTTGTGAAATGTTCTTGGCAATTATTCTATTAAAAATTTTAGATACGCATGAAGTTAAAGAGATACCCCGGTAGTTATTAAGGTCCTTTCGGTCTCCTTTTTTATGAATAGGTATGATAATACTAGTACTCCAATCACTTGGAATCTGTTCTAAGCTTATGATTTTTGTGAACAATTGTAACAGCGATTTAATAAGACAATTGCCTCCGTTTTTAAGTAATTCGTTTGTTATGGAATCTAATCCAGGGGCTTTATTATTCTTTGCATGTGAAATTGCTTCTTCCAGAATGTCAAAATCGATCACCATAGTGATAATGATTTAATGCATTTCTGTAATCTTTGAACTATTCAATTTTTTTGATAAATTTATTTTTAAAATTGAGATAGATAAAATTGAATAAAATATAGGTAAAAAATTTAAACAAAGTTAATGAGAAGTGGACCCCCTTTATGCTAAAAATGTTGGGTTTTTAAGCCTAATCAACATATTATCACAACAAATCTATGGTGCGCTATATTTTTACCAAGAAGCCTGAATTGGTGTTTTAAAATGATTTTGATATCCAACCATGCTTGAATATTTAGTCTAATGGTTCAATTTTTTTTTCAACTAGTAAATCAGGTCTGGGACTATAGTAAAATTGGACTAATTTTCAGATGTCACTGAGCTTGGACAACATGTATTTGGCTGTACTGTTACTGTTTAAGTAGTGGAAACTCAAGGACTTTGGTTGTACAGTTGTATTCCAAGTATAACATTTGACTTTACAGTTATAATAATAAGAACTTTCATCCAATAGGAGCTCATGCATCATTTAAAATAAACAGAGGTCAGTGTCAGTATAAACCATGGTCTGAGCATGTGTAGAAGTTATGGTACTATATGTCCTTTGAATTCTACTGCTAACATTCCAAAATGCAGTTACTTGTCTGTGTATTGTTAGGCATTAACAATTATATGAAAGCACACCTCACCTTTTGTATAATGGATAAAAGTGGTGGTAAAGTCTTGAATAAACAACTCTAAAGCCCTTTTCTTATAAGGACTATTCCATTCACTCCAAGGAGTTGAACTATAGTAAAACATCACAAAATCCAATTGTCTTAGATATAAATTTTAATATTGTGTTTTCAAATAACTTTTTACACTTTGCATTGTAACAGAGATTTACAATGTAAGTTTTAGATATTAATCTTCTTTAAATCATAGAAAATTAATTTCCGATTGTCACTTCTTCCTGAGAGTGTTCAAACCCACTCTGATTGATAGCTTCTTTTGTACGAGATTTTCCAAATTGAAAATCCATCTTCAAGTCGGTATTGCAGGAAACCGTTTTAAGATGGAACAGGCCGTGAGTGATCGGGCTGTGTGTTTGTGCTAGGCTTGATTTATGCATTTCATCTTCATCGTAAACTTCTCCTTACTCGGAATAACAGTTGGAGAGAGAATATTCAATAAGCTAAAAGTGAGTAAGGTGGATTTTAAGGCACTTTAGGTAGATTCTGTTAGGCTTGGCTGCATTGTCATGAACATGGTAAAATCACTACCAGTGATTGTATTATACTTTGTATTAACTTCAAGGTAGCACACGTTGTCCATGCTTCTAGGGCTTGCTAGGTTTTTAAGTTGGAAGTTGTGTTAGAATCGAAGAAAATATTAGAGAATGACTTTTTGTATAAAAACTTTAATTAAGTCCTCAAGGTAAGATTATATTTTTAGTTCCTCCAAGAAATAGATTGTACACCTTACAAAAATTTCCTTAGGAATTTCAGAATTATTATAGTTTTGCAATGAAGTCATCATTTTCATCCAAAAGTATTGGTATTTAAATAATTGTTTTGATGATTGTATTACCGGTATTAGTATTAAATTCGGATGTTTGCAGTATTTTATACAATTATTCATAAATTGATTCTTCATTCCTTCATTTTTCTAATCCTTCCTAAAACATACCTAAGCCTTCCCACATAACAAAATAATTTGTTTAATCTGAAATGGAAGCAATTATGAATGTAAGTGTATATTTATAATTAATAAGCTTTAAAAATGTCAACTTAATAGCATTTCCAAGGAAATAGACTTAAAAGTTCATCATTATCTAGGCCAGATTTGCATCTTGATTGTAATCTTCAATTTCATAGTCATTTTCTTTTTCAGGTGAACGGGCTATAAGTACTATTATGGATAATCTAGAGAGAATGAAAGAAACCGTGCAAGCCCAGAACACCGACTTACTATTCCTCAGGAATATGATGGAAAGCAAAGGCATACAGAATTTAGTTAAGGTTAGATATTTTTTATATTGTTTGGAAAGGATATATCCTGTCCATAACCAGTATTCCTAAAAGCAATAGGGGAGGGTTTTGCTGGGAGAGCTAGGGATTGAGGGGATGCCTCTAGTAGGTGCCGTGGCCGGGTCTAGGAGAATAACTCTTGTGAATTGAAGCATTCACAACATGTAAATGGTTAATTTCTTAATTTTAATGGTTTTTGATGCAAGGAAAAAGGTGGGTGTTGTTTGCAGAGGAGATTTGCTTTAAACAGGAGTTTGGTCGAACCATAGAATCCCCTTTGGTTTCGGGCCTGTATATGGTAGAACAAATTAGAATAAACAATAATTTTATATTAATGTACAGATAGTATATTTTAATAAAATGTCAACATATACATTTATAAAAAGGTATGCTTAACAGCTGAATTAGAGATAGTTTCATTAAAATAATAGAACAATTTTTGCAACTGAATAATGAAAAAAAAATAATCCAATGATAACCTGCAATGGGATTTTAAATAATTATGTGCAGTGTTATATGAACCAAACCTGAACTATTTCTTATGTAAACTTGGGTTTGAATCCTGACAAATTGGCCAACATATTTCTGTTCTCTGTTTTCTCATTATTATCAACAAGATGGGTAATTAAACAACTTATTGAAATACATGATACATAAAGTAAGCCAAATTTTTAAATATGAAATTTTGAAAGAGAGTTCAACTATGAAAAGTGTTGAAATCCTCTCACTAAGATACCTCAATGCACTAAGTAAGCTGTAACATTAACCTTTGAACTTTAATATTTATGCTTGGCCAGTTTGATTGGGTTTTCATTTTGGTTCCCTACAGATCAATGATATTTATTAATTTTCTCATAAGATTTCAAGTCTGATTAATATGAATATTTTAGTTCATTGCAACGTTAACCATTTTAATTACCCTATCATATTAACAAACATGTGAAATACTTTTGAGGAAACGTGGGCGCAGATTTGACTACCTGAGGACAAATTTAAATTAATTGATCCCCAAAGATTAAATCTTAGAATTTAGATAAACGATATTTATATAAATCTAAATTTATTGCCTCATAAATATGCTGTGCTCAATTACATGTTTTGCATTTTAATACATTTTGTATGTCTATTTTTCTTATTTATACAGAACTTAATTACAATATTTAGTTCTTCTTTAGGCCTATTTAAAACAAATTATGAGTTGATCACCATATCTATGCTGAAAAAAAAAGGGAGGGAGGCTTTTTTATTTTTATTTTTTATTTTGCTAAAACCAAATAACACCCAGTTGTTCGCTGGTGCATTGATATTCAAAGTATGATTAAGATAATACAAACTATATCTACTATTTAATACTAAAAAATGAAAAAAAAAATTAAATTCCAAAAATTTTTTTTTCAAATATATTTTTTTCCAAAAATAATTTTTTCCAATACCATAGAAGACATGCAGACGAGGGTGATAAACTAATAAAAAATTTTTTATTGGGCCATAACTTAAATTTGTCAGTGTTGCGTTTTTAGATTGCATCTTTCTTTGCTCATTGTTTATTCTTACTTATGATTACCTTTCACACTGTCATGATGCGTCATTCTGCAATGTTGATGTTGCCAGAAACCTTTCACACTCTACCAATAAATTCATATGCATGTGAAATATTTATTTTATGTCTTTCAGTTTTATGTTTTACCAAATAATCTCTGTGTTATGTTTATATGTTTTATATTTTAAAATAATTAATTTTTAAATGAATGCAATACCATACCTTCTAAATTCCCATTCACATTGTATTTGCATATTATTTTCTATAGAATTATAAATATCAAATTCACAATCAAAAAACGATTTTTTTTTATACAATCTTGAGAGAAATGGGGATGTATTGTACATGACTCTGTAAATATCTTGGAACTTGGTGGTTAAAAATTTAAAGCATATAGAATAGCATAGAATTTATAAGGCGCCTATATGGCGCCATATTTCAAACCAGGCGCAAGGCATGCGCATTTCACCTGAAAACAAATTGGTTTTAAAACTGTAATTAAAGTAGCAAAGGAAAATAAGTTATTAGTATGAAGCAGGTTATAAAAGTTGGAAGAATCTTAAATCATGGAACAATATTGTCCATATAAACAGAGACAAAGTTTTGGGAGGCTGAATGAAAACGGCAGATGGATTATATTAGGAAAGCAATGCGTGTTAAAATAAGATGATGGTTCAGTCAAGTGAAGAGCTTGTGAAGACAAGTAATTTGAAAAAAAGTTTGCTGTTGATCGGCAGCTATGCAGTTTACACAGGGTGTATAGCGGCTGTATAAGTACATATTTGGCCAGCATGTTCTCAAAGCCAACCATACTGTATTTCAGACAATAAGCTGACACCAATTATGTTTGATCAAAGATAAAGTGACTAATATTAATTTACATATGGTTTCTTATGAACAGTGTAGTCCAACAAGTAGATACTTAAATCAGAGAAATACAACATTATCATTGTTGAATTAATAAACTTCCTCAAGTAATAAAATTAAATAATTTAATGACTTTGCAAACAAGTTATTACTTTGCGATGTAATAACATATATATTATATATTATATGATTTATTCTCCTGAAGAAGATTGAAGCATCTGAATCGAAACGTCCAGGCTTTCTCAACTACAACAGTTCTTTTCAGAACTACCTACATGGTGTACCGCAAGTTTCAACATATAAGTTATTACTTGTCATTCATTTGAAAATAGAAATTATTTTCTTTGTTATTCTATTTCTGTATTCATTTCATAGAGCCTTTATTGGTCAGTAATCAGTAGAGGTTTGTAGTGAAAGACCTGTAAATCAAGGATAATTACATTTATTTATTTATTTTTTTGGCTTACGTTTCATTTTAACTTTTGTAGTCCGATAATGCTGGTGCAATGTAAGCTAATGATTTAATAAGTCTGCCCATACTGTATATCTGAATCTGATTGTTTGTGAACACTGAAACTATCAATTGTTTAGATGGTTTTCCAGATATTGGTGGGTAGCAGTTTATAGATTTGTAAACTTCATTATTGGGACTTAATCTACCTTAACTGAATGATTGAGTCCTAGAAATTTCATTACTATCAGCTGTCGCCAATTCGTAAATCTGGCTGAGGGTAATTAAATAGGTTTCATAGTACAGAGAATATTCAGGTGTGGTTTGGATCAATGATTTAAGTCATATAATTCAAATTATTTATAGTAATTCATATATGGTAATTCTTATCAATTCATATGATACATAATGTAATTCATTTAATTTCATATATGAAAATTTATATTTTATTGATTAAATCATATAATTCAAATCATTTATATAGTAATTCGTATATGGCAATTCTTATCAATTCATATCATACATAATGTAATTTTTTTAAAATTTCATATATGATAATTTATATTTTATTGATTAGATCATATATAATTCAAATCATTTAGTAATTCATATATGGAAATTCTTATCAATTCATATACATATGTAATATATTTTTAATTTCATATATGATAATTTATATTTTATTGATTTAATCATATAATTCAAATCATTTATATAGTAATACATGGTAATTCTTATCAATTCATATCACACATAATATAATTTATATTTATTTTCATATATGATAATTTATATTTTATTGATTTAATCATATATTTCTAATCATAAATGGCAATTCTTATCAATTCATATTATTATACATAATGAATATTTAATTTCATATGATCATTTATAGTTTATTAATTTAATCATATTTAATTCAAATCATTTATATAGTTACTCATATGGCAATTCATATACATAATTTATATTTAATTTCATGATCATTTATGTTGTTCATATCACTTCATATTATTTATGTGTAGTAATTCATGGTAATCCATATTGATAAAATGTTATCATTCATATACTGTAGTAATACATAATACTGTATGGGAGCTTATATATTCTTATTATTCATATACTGTAGTAATTTATGGTATACAAATAATGGTAATTCATGAATTCATACAATGATGTACAGTATGGTAATTCATATCAATTCCCATCATTCATGGTAACACAATTTCAAAATAATATGAAGTTTTTTTCAAGTGCAAGAATATCATGCTTGATCGCACTCAAGAACACATCCACACTTCATGTTTTATTATTGATTATAATTTCTGAATATTTAAATTAAAGTACACTATTAAGGGAATACTTCTGTCACATAATGTCACAGTAGATGGCCTCAGATATCCAGTTTTTTTGAGACAGTCTGTATTTACGAGGCTAACTTTGACAATTTTATTTTTATTTGTTGTCATAAAATGTTGAGAATTGTAGAACGCAGCTGTTCAGTTAGTAGCACATAACACATTTCTTTTCAGTGCAAACATTCATTATTGCTGAAATTGGAAATAATGCTTAAAATACAAGTTTACTCATCAGCATGCAATTTTACAAGCTAAATCAAGAAATTTATGATTAATGTGTATTATTTTTCATTTTTTATGACATAATGTAGAAGAATGGATTTTTTTTATTTGTTGAAAATATCTCTTAATAAACTATGCTCAGTCAAAAGGATCAAATTATTTGACAATTTCCAGTGAGACATATCTGAACAATTTCATTTTTTTTTGCAGACTTTTCCTTTTTGTTGATAATTTTGGTATGCAACGGATAGAAACATTGTCAATTATTGAGGAAACTATATCTTAAAAGCTATATCTAAAGATGTACTGTATAGTTTCTGTGTTAATCTAAAAAAAAACTTCTGAAATTATTTTCCTTTCCTTTTGTTTGTTGATTTTATCATTGTAACCAAGTTACTGAAGTGTAATTTCTTGATAATTTGTCGTTTATTGAAGCAAAATTTGTGGTTACTTTTTTGGTTTTTATTTACTATATGTATGCCATGTTACTTCAACTTGCTCCAAAAGCCAGTACAGATATTTAGGCACCAATTAGGCAAAATAAGTCATTTCAGGTTTATTGAACTTAGGGTGGTGATACAAAGGCATAGAATTGTTTAAATTGTAACCTAATGATTGAAAGAGAAAAATGTTGTTTAATTTATGAAAATATACACTTAGGAGCCATTTTAATATTCATAATGAAAATTCTATATTTCTAGGAAGAATTGTAAAAATTCTACAAAGCAGGGATCCTCCTTTAAAATCTGGGAAACACGCAAATTTCTGGGAACTTCGCAGGTCTTCTACTGGCCGTCCTTCACTTGGTTTCCATAACTGGTACAGTACAGTAGGTCGAATGAAATCAAATGAAAAGACTCTTGGCATAAATTTTTGAGAGCTTATTTATATACTGTATCTCCATATCTCACCTCTGAACGTTCATTTCCTTCATATCTTCTGTATCTTGCTTTTAATTGTAAATTATATGGATTTTCTAGTATAATGTTAAGTTACCCGACGTCCAAGCTAATTCAAGGCATACAACTTCATTGAAATTTATTGAACTGTTTTCTTGCACCAGTGCTTTTAAGTACTCACTTTTTATTCATTTTAGTAGGTGCCTTAAGTCTGCAGGACAATGTTAGGTGCTCGTTATTATTTTCATTTTAGCTAGCTAGCTCATCTTGATAGTATTGTTAATACTGATTGTCATCTTAGGTATTTATTTAAAATATATATTTTTTTCTTTTATTTGTTCTTATAAAGTTGATGATTTTGAAGAAAGTCTATATTATGCCTTAAAATAAATAATCATTTATACATATTGAATCTTTTGTGTAAAGATATAAGGATAAATTGATTTATTTCGTATTTAATTTTAACTTTTCTGCCAGTTTGGCCTACATCTGTTGTATATTTGGTGTTTGCAGTGTTTGATGTTAGTTGTTCATTATAAATTTAATAGTTTTTGAAGTCTACATTATGTTATATAATAGTACTATAATAAAAAAAAAGTGATAAACATTTTTATTCATAGTGAACCCTTTGTGAACAGATATATTAAGGATAAATAAATTTATAATTTCAGGCTCAAAATATTCTTATTTTGTTCTTAAATTTACACATTTTTCAAACATAAAATGATTATTGTTCACCAGTATATTACTGTACATTATTTTAAAGGTTATTACATGATCACACCTACTGAAAATAATGTACAGATAGATTTTATGGTGTTTTTTTTTTACCTCAGCCACAATTTATTTATATTTTGTTCTAAATTTTAAAACATTTTCATCCTCAGTGTTCTTATAAAATGTGTTTTTATAAAAAAAAAAAAAATGTGTATTTGTTTTGTAGTTTGTATTGAGCTGTCAGGAGAGTCACTTCATAGTCTTGGCAGTATTTGGACTATGTAGCATCATGTTCTTTGGTTTTATTTTACAGAAGTAATTTTGAATTGAATTGAAATGTTTGTTTATTTTTTTAAATATCAAAATACATCTATGTTTAGGATGAATGTGTCTCATTTTCAGTTATTGTAGATTCTTGCTGACTTGTATAGTCTCATATGACCAAGGCTAGTACTATCAAGTTTCTCTCACAAAATGTCAGTCGTTAATTTGTGCATCGATCTATTTCATAAAAATCTTCAATTTCATATATAATAACGGAGTTTTTGTCTCTTCTATTTAATCCTTCAAAAGAAAGTCCGCAATACACTGGTGGCTAATAATATTTTCGTGATCATGAAATTTCATCTTTTTCTTAAAAATAAATGTTTGACTAAAAGTAATCTTTTGAAAATGTGGTAATTTAAGTGTTTTGATATTTTAGGTCGGTATATTTCAAGAGTGTTAGATACGAACCTTATGCTCTTAAAAAATATATTACCTAGTGTACATACTGTCTGAATAAAATAGTTTCTTTTAGTTAAAGCAATTTAATATTTTTTTGCTCACTTGCTACATTTTGGCTTCTTCTTTGGTGTGCCTTTGTGAAAGAAAAAAGGTGTTAAAGTATTATGAAACTTAAATCCAGCATGTACACTGTATTTTAAGCCCTTAAGTTGGACATGGTAGTAATATATAAATTTTCTAGTGATATGATAACGACAACAGTGATTATGAGGATAACAATGAAAGTAGGAAGTTATAAATAATTTGAATGAATATAACATGTGCTTTATAAAATATAGCCAAGAAACCTTCTAATGTCGCCAAACAGATACATTCAAATTATTGTTTCTTTTTTCTATAAACAAAACTACCTACATACACTGTACTATAAATTATTTTTTCATGTTGTATTCTTGATTTTCTATCCTGATTTTTGTATTCTTAAAATATATTACTCTTGGATTTTCACCATTTATTTTGCTGCATGAGATACTGTAGCACATTGCAACAATTCATCCATTTACCCATACTTACCAGCACTATAAGCTGGTATTTACTTAGCAGTATTGGCTGTTCAGATATTAATTTTTAATGTAAATATGGTTACAACATGACATTATTTTCACATTTACTCCCACCTATGTTGAGCAGCTTAGTTCAAGCACATCAAGTAAATTTGCTCTAAGGAACGATCTTAATTAGCTAAGTATAGGCGACGCCTTAGCGTAGTGAAAAGTGTTAAAATTATTCTTTCCTTACTACCCGTAATGTGTTCTGTTTGAAATAGGTTTTGTATGGTATACAGTACTAGGCTGGTTGTTAGTTTTGGTATTGAAGGTTAACATCAAATTCTAATAAATTAATCAATATAATTTTACTTGATGATTAAATTTTGATGAGATTGTACTTTGAGCTGTGTATTAAAATTGTATGAGAGAGTACTCTAGCTGAAAGACAAGGGTAAACAGTGGTTAACACATAGCTCCATAGTTCAGAGCACATACAGTGAATCCAGTACACTATAAAAGGAAACTGATTCTCTGCAACTACCATTTATTAATATTGGATGGATGGATTAAAATAAACATTAGAGTATGATATTATGGTTATTATGAATCCTAATTTCAAATTAGTTACAATTACATAAACAATGAGGTCAGTATTTAAATGTGGTTAAGTGTTTAACTACCTGGATTAGCAGTGCCAGTGGGGAAGGGGGATTAATACCCCATTGGAAAAGTCAACGCCTTCCTCCCCCATCGACCACAACTTGTCAGACCATAAATGGAATCGTTCAGGTTTTTTTTTTATTGAGTGAATATTATTGTAGAGGAAGACATGATAAATAGCATAAAATGGTGAGGGGCTTCATACTGTACCTTCAGTAGACTCTCACCAGGCTCACTGTCATAAAATTGTCAGTTCTCTTGGACACCTGCATCCCTTTCCCATATCCTAAAGCCATCACTCACTACTACTGGTTATATTGCATTGCTGTATGTAGGCCTATGTCGATTACTGCCTTGTCAATCATTAATTGTATTGTGCAAGGTCTTACATTACTACTGTACACTGGATTGATACATTCTTCTTGATCATTATTACCCAAACCTTGGCCCTGGAGGACCACATCAAGGTCTAGCTGGCTCACTCACCCAATCATAATAAACCTCCTCAGCAGATTATTGATCCCAATCAATAGTAGTCATGTTGGTGTTAATCTTTTCATCAAGGTACATAATGTTACCTCTTATTATAGTTTAGATCGGAGGGTAGACACAGTCCTGTCCGTGTCAGACTCGATGTTGGAGTTGTACAGTAATCAAACTTTTGTCAAATGGATAAATTGTTCAGAAAGTATTATTAAATCATATCAAGTCATTGTGTGAAATAAAAATCTTAATTCCTAAACTGGAAGACGATGCGGATTGTGTTAACTTGCCTATACAACGGATTCATGGACAATCTGCAGGTTAGCCAGCGTTGTTTACTTTAATGTCACTGTCAGCGGGTTTCATGCTCCTTATTTACTTCACCTGCGATGCTTTATCATAGGTGTTCCCAGGTGTAATACTCGGTAGTGTATGACTGAAATCTATCCGGTTTATTTACCTTCTAGTTGATAGTCATGTTGGAACTAATGATGGAGAGTGATTATGGTTGCAGTAGTATTAGTGATGCTGACGGTATTGGTGGTGGTAGTGGTATTGGTGCATGATGGTAGTAATAGTGACAGTTGTATTGTTGGTATCGAAAATGGATTTGTTGGTAACAGTATTGATGCTACTGGTAATGATAGTGGTCCTGCAAATGTTGATGGTAAATCCCATCGTAGGAGTGGTGATATTTGTAGGAATGGTGATATTGGTAGTGGTGTGGCTGGTAATGGTTGTACTGGTAGTGGCTGCAGATACACTGTAGAAGATGCACTTGCCGATACCAGATAATTAATGAACCTGTCATTTTTTAAAGAAGCGGGTATTTATGTACGTATTGATGATGTCATTGGCGATTGTTACCATAGCTACTCACTTAATCCATTGTGATGATTGTTTACGCCAGCATCCTGGACTTGCATAATTAAAATTCTAATTTTGAAATAGGTACCGCCCCAAGATTGTCATGGATACCAAGGATATTATAGATATCAAAGTAATAATAATAATTTCAGATTTTTTTTTTTTACTTTACTGTACGGTATGATGGTAATTCAGCACCACCAAGCATTGTAGTGAATTTGTTTGCTAACTGAATTTTCTATTATTAAGTGGTAATAATATTATATTTCTGCACTTATAGTAATGATGACAATGGTAAAGTAATTCATTATTTTATTTATTTTGAAAACTTATCTAATCTCATTTGCCTTTCTTTGCAGGATTTGAACCTAGGATGCATGTAAACCAATCAAGTTTCTGTTTTATCCCACTTTTTTTTTCTTGTATTTAAAAAAAAAATCAGACTTAAATATTTTTACATTCCTACAGGCCCATGATCGGTTGGAAGATCTTGAGTTAACACCGGTCCAGACAAAGAGCACAGAGCTGCTGGGTGAAGTAATGGAAAACATTGAACCTTTAATTGCTTCCAGTAACAATGCTGCGGAATTAGCTGGCATTCTACAGGATCTCAACTTCCTTGTAAGTACTAGATAATTTATTTTCTCAAAAATCTGGTGTTTGTTTATTTAGTTTTATTTAAATTGGTCAATTACATAGTAAGTACAGAAGGTCAGCAGATGTTCACTTTAACATTATAGGGACAGCTGTTTGTCATTTGCATAATAATATAAAAAGAAAATAATTTATTCAAGATAGATTTATGATATATAATTTAACAAGGTTATTATTAGGTCTAAATAAAAAAAAGTTTCAACGATAACCATTATTTATAGATATAATTAGAAGGAATATATTAGACGAAAAGGATTAAATGATAATAATAATAATAACAAATAAGAATTATTAATACATACATAGTAATAAATATAACAATATAAAAATCGTAATTATAATAATTTTTTTAGCTGCAGATGTACAGTGTTCACAATACCTCCCATCATTTGATTGTAGAATATATAAACTCAGGTTTTTATGTTATTTTATTTCAGTCGTTGATGGAATCACATGATTTAGTTGCAGCAAAATCTTATGATCGTAATTCATATCCAGCACTAGAAGGCCAGCCTCTCTCTTCCTACAATCCCACGGGGCAAGCTATTAGAATGGTGGGGGTCCGGAAAACAGATAGTGAACCTTTGGTTAGTTATGCTTGCAATGATGTAGAAGAAATGTTGAGCTTAATGGTGACAAGAATGATTATGCTGATGATGATGGTGCCAATGTTAGCAAGCACAGTATGGTTTAAAGAATAGATATTTGTTGATTTATGTTTTAATGGTGATGAGGATGTTTATATATTTGGTTCTGGTTCTGATAATAGTGGTGATGGTGATGATGTTTATGATGAGAATGTTTGTGGTGATGACGATGATGAGAATGAAAATAGTGGTGGATAATGATGTTTATGATGATGATAATACAGTAGTAATTGTGATGGTAATAGTGATAATGTTGGTTATGGTGATGAGGATGATGGTAATGATTCAGTATGATTACAATTATAACTATTTTATTATAATGAAATTGAGAAGTTGAACTAACTATGAGTCCATGAGGAATACTGGTTTGCTAATTTCAATAGAAGTAAAGGAAGTAAAAATTAACAATGATAGTGATGAAAATGTTGGTTTGCATTGACGGTGGCTATGACAATAATAAAAGTGATGTTTTGATACTGAGTAATTTGCATACTTATGTTATTACTGACATTTAACACATACTGCTTCTAGGGTATTACCTTAAAAATAGAAGATGGGGATGTTGTTATTTCTCGGATTTTACAAGGAGGCATGATAGATAAGCAAGGTGAGTTCAATTGTGCTATCAAATGATCAATCAATCATTCAGTCAGTCAATATTCAATGGACAATAGATTTATAATGCACATATTGTCATGACCTCTATGTGCATCACAATATTACAGTACCCCATTTATTGAATCAAACACCTATCAAGCATCTTCTAAGCACCCACTTATACCCCCAGGCCCACAGAGAAACAACTGTAGGTAAAGTGCCTTGCCCAAGGGCACAATCAAATTTGCAGTAAAGGTTCAACCTTTGATTTCAAGGTTAAACCATTTCCATTTTCACCATGTAAGGTGAGGGTCATTTTTCCTGTCTGCCTGATTTTTATGACTGAAGTGGTTATTGCATTCACACCAACTGTATAATGCATGTTCATTTTAGAGATTGTCTTCAGTGATCCTAAGATTTCAGTGGGTCACATGGTTTAATGCAGAATAACAGCAAGAATGAATTAAGCTACTTACAGCTAATCACAGGACAGATATCTGAGGGTGTTTACATTTTCACCCAGCGTTAAGATAGATGTGGGCTCACTTTATTTGCGTAGTCAAACATTTTGTTAATTGTACTGCTAGTCATGCAGCGAGAAAAACAACCATCCATCATCATGTAGAAACCGTTTGACCATTATGAAATTACTTTAAAATGTTCCTTCTAGAGCAATGACTAAGATATATTCCATTGCACCATTTGCCCTGACATTTAGAGTGAATGAAATATATGCATGATAATTCATTTGAAGTATCTACTGTTTGACTTCCTCCTCATACCCCAAAAGGTCATCATCTAGCAATTATGTGTTGGTTTTTTTTTTTATAATCGAGAATATATTCTAATCTTAAGAAAAATTTCCTGTTAGGTTTAGTATTTACATAATCCGTATATGACATACTGGTAATCCATATTTGACTTAAACAATATTTAAAATAATCCATGTAATCTATGTAACAGCGCAATTAAAAGGTACAGTTAAATCACTTTTTGTTTTCTCTACATTTTTATAATTAATTGTGAGAAACAATTAAAACTTCCACTTTTCAGGTTAGTTACATTTCTTGTGGATGATCCTGACTAAATAATAATTGGGAGTTAAATTTATGTAATATTTTTAAAATTAATATTTTTCTTTATTTCTGTTTTTGTTTTTTACAGTGTAGTTAGAGGTTTTATGTAATATGTGTAAAAGTAGTAATGCATATATAATAATAAATAATATTATGATAATGATGATGAATTATAAAAATATTTCGGTCACTTTCTGATGGTAACTGCTGGATTTTATTATAATATTAATTGAACTCAAATTAATTCTTCTGTTTAATCAATTTTACTGCTTGCTTTGTCATAGGTTTGTTGAACGTTGGGGATGTCATAAAGGAAATAAACGGGCGAGACGTTACAAATGACCCCGAAGCTCTTCAGGAGGAGATGAAGAACTCCGTTGGGGGTATCATGCTCAAGATTGTTCCAAGCTATCAGGATGTCGTAGCACCTGCTCCTGTAAGTGTCATGGAGAGAATCATGACATATCATGTTATACATTTAATTTTTACAAAGAGAGAATACGGGGATGTCGTTAGGAAAAATAATATTCGTAAATGAGGCATATTTATCATATATCACCGGCAGCTGATGTTTTTAATAAATATCTAAGAATAGAAGATTTTTTTTTCTATTTTTGATTTATCATCATTCAGATTAGAATGAAAATATTAAGCATTTGAGAATAATCAGTAAACATGTACGCGATTGTAACATAACTTATTAATGACAATTGTCATTAATATAGATTGAAAATTAGTCTTTAATAATTGAGATGTGTAATAAAAAGAAACTTTTTATGTAAAGGTAACCTTTCAAGAATTAGGGTATAATATTAGAATATTTATTAGAAGTAGCATTGTAATTTTTAGAAAATTAATAATTGTTATGTAAAGATATTCTTACTGTGAATTCCTTGAAACCCATAGATGAGAAAAAAAAAATTGTTTTAAGTTCAACCAACTGACCCAAAATTTCGAAAATCAAGGGTCAGTTTTTTTTTTTTTCAAAGAATAAATATTTTTCACCAAAAAAAAAACCAATATTTGTATGATGTGTCAAATGGCTGCTTATTAAACTATAACTAATTAATTTGATTTTATCCCTGTGGTTACCATATTTTTAGTTAGAATAAAACTTGTGTAATTATATTTTTAAAATCTGGCATTTTAAAAATTACTTTTGATAATGTTAATTGATTTGAATGTGTTGATTTTGTTTTTTAAGGGGTACATGAAAGCGCACTTTAGTTTTGATGCAAGTAAAGACAAATTGATCCCGTGCCGTGAAGCGGGCCTCTCTTTCAAGTGCGGTGATATTCTCCAGATTGTTGAGAAAGAAGATGCAAACTGGTGGCAAGTATGTAGGGATTGGGCTACATAAATAAAAGTAAATAATGGACAGCATATGCCAGTAGATGTAAAAAGTATATACCAACCTACAGAGGGCAGTATATTACAATAGATAGAGCGCAGTATTTTCATCCCAGAAGATAGTGTGTACACCAGTTAGTCATTGATTGATCAGTGCTTTTAACACTTCGTTCTCTCCTGATTTACTGACCTGGTACTGTACTATATCAGCGTTATTTTGTAAATAGGGCTGTAAATTTCATTGCAGCAAATCATAGGATTGAGAAATCACAATGTTTACTTTTTAACGGATGGATGAATGTGGAAGTGACATTAATGTCAACTCATAAGAATGCAACTTAATGATTAGCCAGTAGCCATACTAATTGATAATTCTAGGTAGATAATAAGTTAAGGAGTATAGGGAGTGTAGTTCACACAGTTTTAGTTATACATCTATAAATATACATTCAAAATACGGCTAGCTAAAGTGCGCAAACGTAATTATGCACAGAACTGTTCTTGCATCTTTGCGTTTAATACTGATATTGAGTGCCCATTAGAATGTAGAAAAATCAACTAGGCCTAATTTACATAATAATACAGCATTTAAATTATGCCTCGTAATATTTTTTTATATTCTATGTTATGTGTTCCTACCGATACCAGGGTTACTTGTACATTCCTTAAGCCTAGATATACCAGCTATGTCATGCTTTTTTTTCTCTCCCTATAAACATGTTTTAGACATCTATTAAATTTGTTAGTAATCTTACGTGTGGTTTGTATCTCTAATACTATAACGTAACAGAGGATGGTACAGTACATAAAGTGGAATTATTTAATGTACAATTTTTTTTACTGTTGTGGTTTTTATTGTTCTTATCTCATTAAACCAAATACGAAGCAAGATGCTTTCAGAGTTATAATAAACATATATTCTAGAGATCCTCATAAACTGTTTTATTATACATTTTCATAATTTCCCTGATTACTTCTTTAACATTCTTAATTCCTAAGATCAGTTTCTATACTTGAATTGCATAATAAGCATATATCATTACTCATCTTATGTGCTATCCATTCCAAATATAAAATATATAAACCCAACTGCTTTTTTTCCCTTCAAGACTAGACATATTTTAAAAACACAGGCTTAAAATCATTTATATTTCATCCACATCAAACAGCGAACTGAATTGCAAATTTGCATGATGAAACTAAACTGTTCAAGTTAGTGCTTAATATTAAGTCCTAGGGAGAGGAGTTATATGGTAGAAAATCCGGCAATTTGGAGTGATGAAACCCAAATCATGGTATCCAAAGTTAAGCTCCTTACCAACCAAACTTTTAAAGGTTTAATATATGTTTTTTTCTTACTTATTAGGCGAAACTTATTTTATACCTTGCATCTTTTTAAAGATTGTCATAGGAGGGCGGGAAAAAAAAAAAAAATTGTTTTCTCATTTAGCAAAATGATTTTGTCAAAGTCATCTACAGTACAGTGTAGACTGTTGAGGAGAAAATAAAAATATAATTTTATTAATGAATTAAACAGTGTAGTAATGAGATTGATAATTAAGGAAGAAATATATATCTTATTTTTTGGAGATTTAAGGGGTGCAGATTGTGTAATAAAAATAAATATAAAATTTGATTTATTAATTTTTTTTAATTTCCATTTTTGTAGCAAAGGGTGTGCTATTTGGCCCAAAAAATTTTTTTTATTTTTATTCAAAATCATCATTATTGGCTGTCAACAGGTTCGCTAAACAATGTATTTATAAAAAGGCCTCGCCTTAAATGTGTGCAGTCATGAATTTTTCTAGATACTTATTGCTTTCACTATGAAAATAGTTTTTTAAAATTTTTTTTATTTCCTTGACATCCATCAGCAAGTACACATGATGCTTTTAAAAACTCTAAGCCTCTTTATAAGGCTTAGGGAGTGGAGTTGATTTTAGTCGTGTTGTGACTGGATTTGAACCAAGGACCCTGGGATCAGAAGGCAAGCATCTTAACCACTAAGCTATTCTAATGCACTCTTTTCAACACAAACAGTTTGTATTTGTGAAGGCATATAATCTCTTTACCATGCATAGTAGTTGTCAGGCATTTTTTGCAATTGACCTCTATCACTAAGCACTCACTTGCCTGTGGCAGAGCAAATGTGCAACCTTGTTTTCTTGTGTCACCTACGGAAGGGTACGGGAATGGGCTAGAGTGGGGGGTGGGGGGAGGATGGTGACCCCTTAGTAGAATTGCATTATGTTGTGCCAGACTGTCACAACTTTCCAACATTTTTTAACCTTTTTTCTGTGAAGTGTATATAGAAGCATTTTGCATAATGCACTGTATAAGTAGAATTTGTTATTTTTCTGCATAGTAATATAGATTACAAAAGGGCTTGACAACTAATGAGAACGATTAAAAAAATATCTTCTCAAGAATATTGAATACCTTAACTTACAGCAGATGTATAATTAGAATATGATATAGGTAAGCAATACCTTCATGACTGTAACATAGTATAATGTTTATATTAAGCTATAAATATAAGTTTTCCCTAACTGGTTTGTATTTATGAGCCAGCACTCAGTGGAAATGAACAGGAGCCTAGATAATGGGCCATTACATTCTGATCATATTTTCTCAGTAAATATAGGATATCGACTCGGGGGTGATTATGTGCTTGTTGAATCTAGTTCTTGAGATACATAAACTAATGCGTTGATATCGCAAGTCTATTATTATTAATACTGTATATTATTAGTAATATGTTATTGGAGTGCAGTTGAATAACTTGGTGGTTAAGACGCTTGCCTTTCAGTCCCAGGGTACCGGGTTCAGTTTCTCTCAGTGTTGCAGGATTTTTTTCTAACAACCAAACAAACTCCACTCCCTAAACCTCATATTGAAATTTAGTTTGTGTAAAGCATCGTGTGTCTGTGTATGTTTGTGCAAGGGGTTGTCACCTACAAGTAGGACAGTGATATATTTGCTATTGACAAACCTTGGTGCATGTGTTGTGTGCCTAAATAAATAAATGAAATAAATAAACTATTTTGTTATTTTACTTAATTGAAATTTATTTAATTTTATCTTGTAATTTAATATGTTAAAAGTACTACATTTTAATTTATATCATTCTAATGCATTTTTTAAAAATTATTGCTAAGTAAAGTTTGATCCTATTTGTTATGATGGAGCAAATGCAACCAACCTTTCCTGTTATTTGTAAATAAATGAATATTAGGTTATATGAAGAAAGAGAAGGATGCTTAAAATAGATTGGTTTGTTTTCTAGGCTGCAATTGTCGGCTCTGAGCATTCAGCAGGCTTAATTCCAAGTCAAGAACTGCAGGAAAGAAGACAAGCATTTGTACCAAAACCAAACAATTCAAAAGGCAATAAAAGTGAGTAGTAATTTTTATGCTTATTTTGTTCATCTTTTTCTTTTTTAAATAGTAATAAAAAAAGGAACTACAAATAATACCTTTAGCCCATTAGTCGAGTGGTTAAGACACCAGGCAGGTTATCTGGGGGTCATGTCTTCGATTCCCACCCAAATCATGATTTTTTTCACAATTATTTAGGAACGTATACTGAGCATTCAATACAATAACACGTCAGGTAGGGCAAACATTGTTTGTATTGGTAGTAATGCTAATAAAATGGGAATGTATGAATGAAACTTTTCTTTTTTCTTTTGCTAGAAAAAATTAAGGACATTTTTATGACAAAGAAAAAGAAAGCACAGATATACTCAACAAAGAAGAACTATGAATTTGATCAAAATGACATCCCCATCTACGAAGAAGTGGAGAGGATGCCCCCATTCCAGCGGAGGACATTGGTGCTAATCGGTGCACAAGGGGTGGGTAGGACAACGCTCAAGAACAGGCTTTTAAATTCAGGCCATGCCTTTGGTGCAGCTCTTGCTAGTAAGTTGAACTTTTGTGATGGATTTTCTATCTGCAAATATTTCATGAAAATATAGAAATAATAGTATAATATTTTATTGAGTATAAACACATGCTATTATCGTAAGAGATCTCACTCACCTTATACTCAGTAAAATAAGGTAATAGTATAGAAATATTGACTGCTTATAAGGTAAATAATGAAATCTATCGCCCTGAGTTAATGTGGAGACCATAGCCATATTCCTGGGGCCGAAGGCCTGTGGGAAGATGGGCTACGGTCTCCACATCACCGAGGGACTGTAAATTACACCGTTCCCCAAATCTAGAGCAGTCAATATTTGTTTTATATACCTCATACATAGATTCTACGAGACCTAAAAAGTAGGCCTAAGTTTACTTCCCAGGCCTAGGCGATCAAAGGGCCAATCTCTCTGTGTCATAGAGGTCGCATTTCATTTACCATTCTTGCGTTTCATAACTTACATAGCAACGCGGCCTAGAGATTGCATATCGTGCGGCAGGACAAAAAAGTACCATCCCATAGTGGAATAGTACTTTCTATTGCCCACTTCCTAACCAATCAGATGCCTAGATTCTATGTACGCGGTATATAATGATTATTATCTTGCTTGTAGCACATAATACTTAAAGCCTGTGTGCGCTTCACTTTTTAGAATTCATAGAAATTATGGTGTCATTTTTCACCTGATGATTCGAAATGCTTTTCATCCTTGTTAGATGTATAAACCATATTTTCAAAATGTATGACTATCATCCTTATCCCTGAGGAGAGCGAATCATTTGCATGATAAATTATATATACAGTATTTGTATTTGATTTATAGACGATACTGTATTGTAATTTGTGTGATTTATACATATACATAATTTGTTGCTTATGTCAAGATGGACTCAGGCATTTATTGTTATTACCCCAGCACTACATTTGAATTTATCCCTGGTTGGGCTGCGATTTCATTAGCATGCTGTTACTGCTATCTCGGTGACATGGCCGCAACACGATCACAGAGCATGCCTCATGTTTTTTTTATGCATTTGTTTATTTAGTTTCATCGAACCCGATTTACCGCACAAGAGACAGTGAGTAATGAAAACATTGCATCCATGCCTGGTACTTTGGGTTAGAATTCATCTATGCCTGTCTAGGGTCTGCATACATTCTTAAAATTTATTACTTCATGCATGCAATTTCTTATTATTTTAACTAACATGTTTTTTCTTTAATTATTTTTATCAAAAACTGAAAGGTCCACAGATTAATCTCAGATAAGAGAGTATAATACATACCCCAAGTATCGAAATGCACGCCATCGTGTCATGATCCGACACGATGGCGTGCATTTCGATACTTTGAGTATGTATTATACTATCTTATTTTTATCAAGTTACCTTCATTTATACTTACTAATACCATTACCAGATTCACTCGAGACAAAATGATAAAAGGGCATGTCCTAGTGAGAATGTAACACATCTCTGCTACATCTTATCTATGTGAATGCACAGATTAGCAAGGCTTCGTTATAATATGTATGTAAGAAATCACAGTGATCTTTAAAGGCCATCTCAAACAGCGTCATACAACGCGATTCATCGTCCAGGGAAGTCGCCTTGAGAATATTAAACATGTTTATTATCCACAACGTGACTGTCCCCAACGCAAACCATTGCATCTGTGTTTAACTCACACGGATCTGATGCATCAGCGTATCACGAAGGCTGCGCAGTACAATGCTGTCTGAGTTGGCCTGTAACAATCCCAAGATGTTTTGCATGGATCTGTGCGCATGATCAAGGGATGCAGTTTATCTTCACTGTGGTGTTGCACAGTGGTGTATCTAGGAGGTACGCGAGGACCCCCAAAAATATCCGCGACTCTTAATCGGCCACCAAAATAAATCATGCTCTTGTAGTTAAAAATCAACTAAAATCACCTTATTTTGCGAGCTACCTCCTCCTCATCTAATCATACAATTACACACACGACCTCCATGCTTCCTCCTCTCCCCCCCCCCCAATCAGCTCCCCCATATCAAGACTCCTTGATAAGCCATTGGTGTTGCATCAATTGTTTTGTCTGCCTATTAATTGTACCAACTTCTGATGGTTTAAATTCACTCATGTGAATAAGATGGTGATGTTAATAAGAATGTCTTGAGATGTCCTAGTAACATTTTAGATTGCCTTCACATTTTGTCTTATGTGAATTTACAAAAGGTTAACTAGGGATAGAATATTCATAGTATAAGGGTCAATGGAATCATTAAAATGCAGTATTAGAATGAAGCTGTTTGGTTTTAGAAACTTTTCTTACCCCGTAAACCTAATTAAGAAATACTAACTAACTGAGTGTATTCGCACTATCTAGGGTGGGTAAAAAATTATAAAAATACTAAATAAATAAATGCTCATATTTGTATTGCTATTATTCTTTAAATTGGTGATGGACCATTATACATTTTTTTATTTTATTTTGTTATTTTCACAAACTGAGGTACGATTATTAATTATTGATATTCATACATAGATATGATTTATATAAATTTACCACTTTAGTTTTAAACAATGAATTTAACAAATTTATACTTGCATGCACTTATTATTTCAATTTAATAGAAATTAGATAATGTTAACTTTATTTTTTTTAATAATTATTAATTTTAATATTTATATATTTTATATAAGCAATTAATTAATTAGTATATTAACTTTTGTAAGTTTTTATCTATATGTGACCAGCTCTGGCAAAAACTGCTGTTTGTTGCAATTTCTAACTTAGCACAAGCACCCAAAATGTTTGAGAATCAGAATTTTGAACATTTTCAGGTTTTTGCATGTTATAAAAGAAAGTGTATTGAAGAACATTTCTGCAAATTATCAATCACTAAATATAACTGAAAAGTATGTTAAAATTATTATTTAAATACAAAACTATTAAATATGGAGTCTTTGGAAGCTGTTTCTCAAAACCCACATGGCTAATATCCAATGAATTAAATATTCAGAACTTTGCTAATACTCAACCAATTTCCATCAAATAAACAGTTTCATGCCGAATCTAAAAATACAGAATTTTTCCTATAAACGGCTGGTTTTGCCAGAGCCAGTCATATATTTTGGTGAAGGATTACAGATCTTATTTGTGGAGTAGAGCTGTAGCTTGGTGGTTATGATGCTTGCTTTCCAATCCCAGGGTCAGGGGTCAAATCCTGTCACTGCAAGATTTTTTTTCTCACAACTTAAATAGAGCGCCACTTCTTAAGCCTCTTAAATAGCTTCATTCTAAAGTGGTGAGGTTTACGTGCCGTTGAAAAAAAAGGTAATGAACATCTATTTTTGGAAGAAAATCATCTTGTGTGTTTTTTTTTGTTTTTTTTTTTTGGTGGGAAAGGAAATGTATATGTAAGTGTCATGTCTGCCTGGTGTTGAGTTTTCTAAGTTAAGTGTCATCAGCTTTCAATCACGCTCAACAAAATGGAAGTTGTACATGTTTTGAATTTTAAACCACCTTCTCTTCTCGTCTTCATCTTGTGAAACGTAAAAAAATACTTATTATTTGATGGACTGCAAGTACTTAGTGATTAGTGATGTTCAAAAGATTATATGTTGAGAATGTGATATAAAGAAGAGAATTTTGATTTAGCATCCTAGGATTAATTCGCTTCTTTGGTGATGGTTATCATATTATTATACTTCTAAAATTTGTTTGTTGTTTCTTCATATGTTGCTTTCTGTATTTTCTGTTATGGTGATGGTAAAAATCAACCTGTAATAAAGAAATTCCTGTATTAGTGGTTGAAAAAACATTTAAGAAAAAAAAATATTCATAAATTATATCATTTTAAATTAAAATAATGAATACCGTATCTGTAAGCATAAAATCCAGTGACTCATAAAGTAATATACAATATTCATATATGGGTAAATCACATATTGGTATGTGATTTGCCCATAGTCTGTTTGATTTTTGTGTGTGAGAAGGTTCAACTAACCCACCTCAAATTTGGCAACCTGATAGGTCAACCTGTTTATTTTTTGCAAATTTGGTATCATTTTATTTTATATCTTTCCCAGGTACCTCAAGGACACAACGAGATACTGAGATTGATGGTGAGGATTATATTTTCTGTGGAAGATTAAAAATGGAGGAAGACATCCACAACAATAAGTACTTAGAATATGGTGATTATGAGGGAAATCTGTATGGCACGTTGATAGATTCTGTTAAGAAGGTTATTCAAGACAACAAAATGTGTGTTTTAGATGTTAATCCACAGGTATGCAATGTTTGTTAATAATAATATTTAATTAATTCATAACTTTTAATGTGTATATCTCATCTCAGTCTTTATACTGTGAAATGTTGATTTTTAAAAGTAATCAATAGTACAGATGACAAATATATCTTTATAATTTATTTTCAGGCATTAAAAGCTCTGAGGACAAGTGAATTCCTCCCGTTTATTGTCTTCGTCAAATCTCCCGACTTTAAAACACTCAAAGATATGCACAGAGAATCAGAGAAGGCTGGTCTGTCATCCAAGCAAGTCACGGTAAACATTTGAAATCTCAATTTAATCCTGATTTGCCCATGGCTCAATAAAATAGCCAATGAGAAGCAGAGAGCTAAAGTCTTGTGAATTATCAGTAGTAGAAAAAACACGGATGAAAAATGTATATGGTTTTGCCCAGGGATACAAGGTGGTGAAGTTATTTTTTTTTATCTGAATCCATATTGGCAAACTGGTACAAAGTGCAACCTTCTCCAATACCTGGGAAGTATACCTTGTGATGCTTGTCTAAAAGAACAATTTTTGGCTACACTAAGCCATAAAGGCATTCTCCGTGAAGCCAACCGGGGATTCTATTCTGGGACCTTATCTGAGATTCTAGTAGGCCCCTTGCTTGGTTAGGACCCCACTATCTCACTTGGCATGTTTTTGAAAAGTGCCTCCTAAATATGATTTCTACATTGATACTGGGGGAACAGTCGGCACAGGCTCTCAATGTTACAGTTGAGGATTTGAACACCTTCGTCTCCCTACCCAGGATTACAAAAGAATATCCTGGAAGTTTAACTTATCCTGTAACCATCCTTATCCTGTAACTATGTGCTGAATACTAGCTGCAATGTAATTGAATATTGTAGTTATAATTGTTGTTATTGTTTGATTGCATGATCTGTAGACTGATGCTGGCCAATGCAATATTATCATATATTTTAACCTAAATTACTTTATCTTTAATTAAGTGTTTTATCATTGTATTTGTGCTAGTTTGATTAGCAGTACTGGAGAGCCACTCCAATAATATTTTACACTTTTGGCAATCCCCATAATATTGGTAAATTTTCAGCTAGAGCTTTCATTTTGTTTTCCATTGGTTTTCTTTGTTTGGTTAATTGTATAAAATAAAATAAATAAAAATCATTGTTATTATTTTCATTTCAGGATTCTGATCTTCGGAAAACGGTCGAGGAGAGTTCACGGCTTGAGAGCAACTACAAACATTTATTTGACCTCATTATTGAAAACAACAACATCGACGAATCGTACAACAAACTTTTAAATGCACTAGAAAACTTAACTAAATACCATCAATGGGTTCCAGTATCCTGGGTCTATGATCAGTACTAAATAGAGGGCGCAATTTATGATATAGATGGAGCTATTTTAACATGGGAAGGGAGGGGAAATTAAATCAGTACATAAGCGCAATTCAACTTCTTAGGTACCTTGGTCACTATTTATTGCTTCCTATAGTATTATCACTTGGTGAATTTGGTTTTTTTGCAATATGTAAAAACAGATATTATGGAAATGGTAAAATTTACAGATTTTAATATATCAGTTGTAATTTATTAATTATAATAATTTAAATTGTGGAAAATTTTTTTTTCTATTAGTTTTAAGATTATTGAGCCTACAGAAAATATCTTCTAAATTGACTAGTATTTTGATGTGGTCAGTGGTGAAGTGGTAGTGACACTACTAGCTTCTTTAATAGAAGAGACAATCACAAAAAATATTAAACATGGTAAAACATACAAAAAATGTTAAATTTATGTTCTTTAGAAAATGTGTTTAAATAGCTTGAGTTTGAAAAAAAAATATTTAAGGTTAATAATGCATATAACTCATGGAATTATATTACAGAAATTTAAATCTAAATATTGTGTTTATGGTTGCTATGAGTGATCAACCTTCTACAGTCACTTGGCGAGTGAATCTAAACCTTTGGTTTACGATTTCTTTGTACTTATATAATTGTGATAATTATAATATTGAATACATACATTTGACATTCTTTGGAATAGACTAAAACTTACTATTTGAAATTATTATTATGTATTATTTTCTTTTAAAAAAAATTGTCTACATCTGTTTATTAGCATGGCAGTATTGCTCTACAACCTGTAGAACATTCAAACAAAATCTGTTGGTTGTTCAAATACAAATTACTTTGGTATCACAAGATTTTGTAATCTGAACACATTTTACTCTGGCTTGTCACACACCAGCAGATTATCTTGATCTTTGGTCTACACTTCGTCTTTTGTGTGTTTGATATTTTCTGCCTTCCATGACAAAATTTGGACCTAGTGTATAAAACTGTTCATCTAAAAAATACAAAATTATTAAAAATGGTACTCATCAGAATTTTTGCTAAACACAAATGAGTGGTTGATGTGTTTAAATGCAAAATTTAAATTAAGGTTTGGCCAATGATTTGATATTGAGAGAATGTACTAAATTTTCTAAAGAGTGCAGCTAAATTTTAAAGCTTAGTTGACTGACTTGCGACTCAGGTAGCTGAGTGGTCATTCTGCCTTCCTTGCAGATCAGGCATCTAAGCTGAAACTGTGTGCCGTAGGCTTTAAAGCCTGCTAAATACTAGCAGATAAACTCACTTTTCCTGCCTTGGCTGCTTTTGTACAGCATTTAGAATTCTGAATTCTGTATTCTAATCAAAAGGTACATTGTTGTTAATTATGCTAAATATTCCTAATATTGTAAATAGTTTTTGAGTAGTTTACTGGAATTTTGTAAAAATAACAAAAAATTTGTAGCTGAAATTTTCTCTTTATGTCTACATAGTGTACATAGTCTAATTGAAAATTTACATAGATCTATTTAAATTTTTGCCAATATTCTCTTTGATAATTGTGCTTTGGCAGTAAATTGGTGTGTTCAACACGATACTTGTCTATTTGTGATTTTTTTTTTTGTATAAGAGTACATATTAAAAAAATTTTAATTTCTTTGATCATAGATGAATGGGTCCCTATTTTTGATAGTTTACATTTATAAGGTGCTACAGTTCACATATCTTACCATAAATGACCCTACAAGCACTGCATGCAGCTCTTACAAAACTTGTGGAGGCTTCAGTGGGGCGTTTTTTTTAGAGCAGCTCAAATGTTACCATGTGTTGTGCATAAATATGCCTGTGTGACTTTAAATAAAATAAATTTTAGTACACATACTGCTTTTCACATTACAAGGAATTATCATATGCTTTTGACATAATTTTTCCATTGGTCATTGGATCCACATGCATCCTCCTCTACTCTATGGGAGGTAGTCCTGGTTGTCGCATTCAGTACATTGCATAACCTAAATACATTCAACATGAATATTGAATTCACATCCAACCAGGTACATATTTATATGCTCATGGTTGGATGGAGAGAAACATGTAAACATTAACACAAGAAAATTAAGTCTTGATTAAACAGTTGCATTCAAAATAAAATTTTCTGTATATTTTAAGAATGCCGTTACAAAAACATGCGAGGGGCATGGCATATATTTAGTCATTTCAACAATTGCAAGTCGTAATCAGTTGTATACTGTAGTTCTCTATTCTTGGGCGAGTTGTTGGAATTTGGATGGGAGTGTATGGCACTCAATCAACTATATTTGTTTTTCCAATTCCATTTTATATACAAGAAACCTTACCTGTTCTATATCATCTCTGCTCAAAGCAGTTTGGCTACCAATAACATATTTGCCTCTACTCTGCCATTCTAATGCACTCCCATTCAACTTTACTGTAGATTAATGGATGTTTACTTGCTCCTATTCCACTTTACTTCCGATCTTCAGTTCAAACTTGCCTCTGCAATGGAATCTTGTGATTGTAAGCTTCCTTTATCAAGAGTGCTCTGCTTTCTATGCATTCTTAAAAATCCTGTAAATCCACATATCGAAAGTTATTGTGTATTGATGTTCAAAGTTTCTCATGCATATATATTGTACACCAATGGTGTAGTGGAGGGGGTATTCAGGTTTTAGTCCAATACCTTCAAAATTTCAAAAATATGTTATGCTCTTCCTATTTTGACAAATTAACGAAAACAGGTATGGAAAGCCACCCTCGCTTTACCACCAAACGGCCAAATAAATCACTACCCCCAAAAGTGTGATCAATTAGGCAAGAGATAAATTGCGGGAAATCTCCCTTGCGTTACCCTGGAAACAAATCTGCATCTGCCCCTGTTGTGTAATAGGTAGAGAAAGCTACTTACAGGGGTGTAACGCCTCACACCCCCACCCGGGCCAGAAAACTAATGTAATACCTTTTAATTTCTTCTGCGCTATGCCACTGATGTACACCATATATAACTTATCAATTTTATCATATCTTGTAGGGGATTTCCCTGTATGTCATCATTAAATCCTCACATTTTGGACATCTTCCATATGTAGGAAAAGGGAGACAGATATGCAGCACCAGATCAATCACAAAACAAATGAAATGTATTCAGTTTACTTTGAACTTTACGTCATATTTATTCAGAAATTTAGCGTAGTAATTTAACTGCCTAGAATGACGTACGTATTCCAAAGCTGTTTATATTTTTAATCATTTATACCTGGTGTGTAGGGAATCCACTAACAATACTTGGAGTAGTATGTATCACCTACACATCACACATACCTCCTCAATATTCACCCATTTTTTTTTTATAGCTGCTATATAAATAGCATTATTTACTAGTCTCGATTCAGAGGGCCAAAATAAATATTTACAGTTTAGCATTCTTTAAACCACCCATTCTCTACAAATTACACCTCTTATACCAAGGAATAACAAAATGTCTACAATCCATTCAACTGGTGCCACTGTTTGGGAGTTACTATTTCTATACGTTTTCAGCATACATTACCTATTGCTTGGACTCGTATTGGACAATTACACACGTGTTGTACGAGGAGATAAATGTTAATTGGAATTTTTGGTGTACTTAAGAAAAAAATTATCTATAAACATTTTTAAGAATACATAAATATTCCATCGGAATTTTTAAAATAAAATACATTAAACAGACTACAGAGTGGTACATGTCAGGTATGAGCATTCTGTACACTTTTTCAACTATTATCAAAAATTGCCATCACAAATTTTAAATACTTACAGAAAAATTTGTTTGCAGGAAAATTAAAATACGATAATAAATTATGAAAACCAGAAGTATACACAACACATACAGTATGAGATTAATTTTAAAATATTCTTGAAATACAGGTGTGTATATATACGGTGTTTTTTAAAATCATCTGGTAATGCATTCTACAAATTAGGAAAAGGGGAGAGGAAGATGATGAACTGCATATCTAAAGTGATTTGATGGTGCAACCAAAGAGTATAGGTCCGATCAACCAACGCAATCCTATCGTGAAGAGTACAACCACAAACTAGTGGGCTTCCTTTAAAAGAACGGAACAGGCATTTGTATCGAACACGTGCTGCATCTGTAGAACGCATGTTTGAGTTTCAAAATCTTTTTGATTTCTAATTTGGCTTTTCCTATTTTGTAGTAGTACTATTTTTATCATTTTGGACATCTTGCAATTCTATACTCTTTGGTGTAACCATACTGTATTCTATGACATCGGTGCTCTAAATGCCTATCTATTGATTGATAGTAACTAAATAGATAACAAAATTCAAGTATACTTCTGGTTTTCAGTCCAATTTGAATAACAAAATATAAGTTTACAAAGAGAGTAACTGTGCAGGTCATTTAAATGGGACATAGCATTTTCATTGTATTTTTACAGCTAAATCCATATACAGTAAACCGATTTCTGATATCTACCTATGCACTTTAAAGAAATGCAAAAGCTTCCTAAAAAAAAAAAAACAGACATTAATAACCAGTTTAATGCACCAATGCCAATTTTGAGTATTAATCCTATGCTTGATAATTTTCTTGTACCATACTTAGTAAGGTTGAAATCATATAACTTGCTCTCTTGAAGAAAAAAATAATTTTAGAGGAACGTAACAATTTATATAGCTATATATTTATTTGAAAATAAAGATAAACTGTTCATAAAAAAAAACTAGAAACGTAATGTGTTTCACATGAATCGGAACTTTGGTTAACAATGGCAACAGAGATAAAGTTTTTTTTAATTGTAATGTCCGCCTTTTGAGAATTGTTATTTAGACCATCAGGCTTCTCCCAACGTCATAGAAACCTCGATTCTCTTTATATAGTCGGCCTATTACAACAAATATTCCAAGTTAGGTAGACAACAGACTTATAAAAACAAGCAAAATTTCAACAAACTGAAGTGAATCAATTAAAAAACCAACATGTTTCTATGAACAAATCTAACCAACAACATATCAGACATGTTTTTTGTTTATCAACTCACCATGGTTACAATTATACAGAGATTACCAGTTAATGGAAACATCTAGCAATGGTATGCTCAGAATTGTCAGTCAAGAACACACCAGCTATTTTGTTACGTCTCCACAAAAAAGCCAAGAATTAGGGTATGGTTTCACTAGTATTTTTAGACCATCTTTCTGTCAAAACCAATATAAAACATTTAACAGGGATGGTCAACAAAACACCTTTAAAAAACTTTGGTGGAAACATTCTTTCTTATTACATATTTAATTTTCTCTGAAAAGTGACAGGTCGGTTGTTTGTGTTCCAAATAAATGAATTTGCTGAGGAGAATTCTTGCAAGATTACATATTTGTTCTTATCTAAATTAATGGAACACAAAAAAATGATAACTTGGTTCAGCAGTGCAGTTATATTTACCCTATGGTACCATTAACAAATATGCATGCCTACAAGATATCCATAAATATATTTCTTATTTTTATGTTTGTTCTAGCATTTTGAGGAATAAATTAGGTTCACAATTTAGCAGTACAATCATTACCAAATTTATCCATCTCCATTTACTTAGACCAACAACTACCAGAATATGCTAATTACTGTAATTTCATTACTCAATTACTGTACCTTAATATTTTTTAAAAACGTTCAGTGGTGGATAATCGAATATCATAAAGAAAACACATATTGGTTGCTAGAGTATGCACCATTAGATTATAAAAGTTGGTTTTATGAACTACCGTAAGCCAATATATATACGGTATTTGAACTATCCAATGGACATAATATTCAAATCGATAAGAAATATTGAAAATGAAGAAAAATTAATGATATTGAAAAATATTCTTAAGCATCTATCTAGTTCCTCATGTTTTAGCTTCAAATTTGAGAGGGTATAAGAACTGAGTTGTGAAAAATACACGTTGGTAACTCTTCAAATTGATGCATTTAAGTAATAATATTCCGATGAGCATACAGTACATTAACGCATACCTAAATCCTCAGTGTGTTTGTTATGTATCTCCTCATATGAAAATTCTTCCTCCTCAACAGCAGCAGCTAAGTCATTAATATTCCACTAAAAGTTGAACCTTTACAACCGTTCCTGAAAAAAACCCCCACAAGGTTCATCATCCGCCACGTTGTAATGACTGACAGTGCCAAAAACAATGACCACATCCATAGTGGCTTATATCTCCTTCAAAGCCACCTGCAGACCATGTGTAATAGCATTCCATACAACTGAATGTAAGGCTACACCAAGCAAGAATTCCGAACAACAGCGAGTTGTCCAGCCAAAATCCCGTAAGTGGTGCCACTGCATCAAACTGCCATCTGCTATGACATGAAGGCATTTTCACTTTTAAGACGCTCTAATTCTTTCACTTGTTGTTGTAGAAAATGTAATCTGGAAAGTCAATGCAAAGCTAGATTTACTATCTTAAAATAAATTGCAAGAACATTTTCCATAAGCATAACATGATAGTAAAAACTATTATTATTTAGTACCAAAAATATACATATTTTTACTTGATTTGTTTTTATATATACATTTTTTTGTTTTGGTTATAATAAAATCATTTGAGATAGTACCAATAAATATTTTATTAATATTCTTAAGATTTTCTTTTAATGATCATAATCAAAAATAAACATTAAAAAATCCAATAATTTTAATTTAAAGAAAACATTTTCTTTAAAGTATAATCCTAAACACCACAATTTAAGTACATCATTACACAAGCACTAATTAAACAGAATTACAGTCCCACCTCTGTTCTTGTAATGTAACTTGAATCTCTGATGCCCGGACTAATGAACGTGCATACTTTAAATCTACAGATACTTGAGACGCTGATTCTGCTGCTAATAGGTGACTCTCATCATTAATTTTACGAGCCTGTTGATAAAAACAAGTAAAATAAATAATAATTCAGAATAATTTCAATCATTAGTTTGAATTCTTTATCAAAACCTTATATAGATCATCTACATCAACTAACCTGTCTTTCCATATGTTCCGAGGGCCATCCGGCTACATGTACAACCAGGGATTCATCACACTGTCGAGCTAGGGAAGGGGTGAGCGTGGGAAGAGGCTGCTCCTTGGTCAATATAGGTTCTTCTAGTACTGGGATTGTACTATTACTACTACTACTGCCTTTAGTTGATTCATCTACAGTTGGACTTGATTTCCTGTAGAAAATAATATAGAAATTACTGTGGGATTTACTTGTATACTGTATCTTTTATATATCCTATTGGAATTCATACTATTATATAAAGGCAAGAATTTTTAAGACTTGTTTTGCAAATCTATCATCCAACAACAGTGATTTGTTTCTAATAAAATTATTTGTTTGCTTGTTAGCTGAAAAAAATTGGAAATTAATTTTTTTCTTCAGAATTAAATACAGAGCACTAACCCAATGCAAACACTGCTCAAGCCTAATGAACACTTATAAAGCATCATATTCATCATGAAATTGGAGAGTGTAAAAAAAAGTTATCTAGCATGCAAGGAGTGTTCTCTAGATAAAAGGCCATAAGTTGATTCACTAAAGCTTTGGCCAGATTATCAAATTTTATGTGACAAATTTGTTTAATTTGCCCATATATGGTCTTGATGATGCCATATTACATCCAAATATGGGCTCATCACCGTTGTCACAGAAAATATGATGTTTCAATTCACAATACGCAGTTTATTTTTATAATGTTTAATTGTCATGTCTTTTTTGAAACAGAATGCGAATAAATGCAGGTGTGTATTCACAAATTATTAAATAAAATTTCTGTCAACAGTGGACTGAGGGAATCTATCATTTTTGCCTAAAAAGTAACAGCAGCATTGTGATAACAATGGGAATGTCTTCTTGTGTATTTAATTTGGTTAATACATCCTATATACCCTATTTGCACCTTACAGGATATGTCAATTTCAATGTTTCATATTCTTCACTTCTCTCCCTTTTTAATTATCAACTTTTACTTATTTTCAAGACAAACAAAATTATGACACATCTTAACCTGGTAAAAAAATGATTGTTTTAAACCTACTGTAAAATTTATCAATATGCAAGTTATTGGAGCTCAAATAACAGTTGAAATTTACGCAAGAATGTAAAAACACACACAAAAGCACTATTAAAAAAGGTTTGATAAAACAAAACTTAAATATTAAGCTACCTTATAGATGAAGGGCTTGAGTTCACTTTCATGTCCGGCCTTTTACTATTAGGTGAGACTTGTGACGTAGCATTAACAGCCGACGAAGATAAAGGTGTTACTGATGCCTGTTGCCGTGGCGACATATGAGACACAGGAGATGTTAGGTCGGAAACAGACGCTGCTGATAACGGTGAAGGATTCGATAACCCTGAAATTGCCCAGTCATGTGATTAGTTTGAATGTCATGGCATTTCGTATGAATTACAAGGGCAACAATAGGCCTCTAAATTATCAAGTCTATAATGCATGATATTCAACTTCATTGCCCCAAAGTTAGAGCATGTTTAAAAGTTGGAAACTATCAAAAATATAAATAGAAGAACTATACAGGGATTAAAGTCAATAAAAACTATATAAAAAAAAACAACTTAACTTTCTGAACACACAGAATGTAGTTATTTTAACTAGGGATAATGATTATAACCTGTGCAGAGAATGAACTCAGACTGGGATGGAAATACTGCAGTTTATACTTTATTTTACATTTTAAGTGGATATAAACCATGATCCCAGGTGCTTACATATCAGGTACTTGAATAAACAATCGTACATCATTTTAGGATAGTATTATCATAGAATAGATGAGCACTTACTATCTTGGCCTTCCTCGATTTTACTATCTACAATATTTGGTTTATCTACCGAGGGTGAGCACGAAGATGAGGCAATCTTTTGATGTACAACAGCCATAGGTTGTGAATGTTGATTAGGTAAATGATTGCGTTGTGACGAACCTGGTGAGGGGGTCCCCGGTGACACCGAACTTGCTCGTTTACATTCTGTGAAGAGAGAATGAGTGTGTAAAACTAGCATTTGAACAATTTATTTTGTGGAAAATGTGAACTTTTTAAGTAATTGGATTTGGTTTCCTATGTGTAGCCTCATTTAAACGTGGGTCTGTAGTACACATCAACAACTACTGTCACAAAAAGGAAAGGGCACTACGGTAATTATTCTACAGGTTAATTATATTAACGAATCTATACACTCCTCGTATGAGCTAGAAATAGCCTCCAAGTATATTAATTTATCAACAGGGGAGGCACTGGAATAAGGCTCTGCAGAGGACTGCAAAAGGCCAAGCTAAAATCAACGCCATATTAACAACTTTATTACTGTTACGAGCAGACATTACTATTGGATTGAGATATACATCTTCATTTTAGATTACAACATACATAATCAATCTGTATGTTTAAAGTTTTACTGTTTATGTTGAATCAAATTTAACTGTTTATGTTGGATTAAATTGAACTGTTTATGTTGGACACTATGAAGACCACCATTACTATAATTGGAAATATATTTGGTAGTAAAATGCTGAAAATTAATGACGTATTTACAGTATTCTGTTATTATATTCATTAAGTATACAATGTAACTTTCATTATACCAGAATTGATATGGATTCCTTTTCTACCCTAGTCCTACATGTAAAGCGTGCATGCAAGTTATATATTTAGAGATTTTAAGCAAGCAATTTAAAAACTATTATAGAATCAATGGCCAACAAATCTGAAGCAAGCTTTATTTCATGAATATATTATAAGTTCATTCTTGTTACACAAAACATTAAAAAAAATAGTACATTTCTTAGTGAAACCTAGCTTTTGGCTGAATCATTTTGCCTTTACTTGATGTGATGTGATCAGCAGAAAGTTAGGTTTCAATAAAAACTGATGTGCAGTTCAAAAACTCAAGATGCTTTACATTAAAAATGAAAATTAAGTTCCTTGTATGACAGTAACTTTGGTATAGAGAAATCCTTATATATAATTATTATGAACTATTAGTTACTTAACTTTGAAACAGAATGAGGTCTCAGACACTTACCAATTCTTTCTATTCTAGGTGCATTTGCGACTAAATTCTTTAATCGTCCATGGGCATCGGTAGCCAATGATAAACTACTCCCTCGTAGCATATCCATACCACGGATTGAGTCCTTTTGAGCAATTTCACCACCTCGGTTGTTGTTACTTTGTTCGCTGGACGAAAATCGTGTCTTGAGATTAGGGGTGTTCGGTGTTGAGGGGGTCGTTGATCCACTCCTTGGTTGACTTGTGGAACTAGGCTGCTTGTCAGGTAATTTTCCAGAGATTTTGTTAGAAGAGGATGATGACAAAGATGGTCTTTCTCTGATATAGCCACCAAGGGTATTTGTTTCTGTGGAATGCTTAGTTTCACCACCTATAGAATCAAGAATTAAATACTTTCATACGCATTCTCTGAAATTTTGAAGACACCAACTATGGTAAAAACTCAAAACATGTAATTGCTCTCAGTGGTAATGCTTAGGACAAGAGCCAAGCTCCCAGTTAAACTTTTAGTCCTGATATATGATTTAGATTTCACTGTAGTCTGCACTGATTTAACATTTTATATTATTTATGATTAAATTAGATTAGATTTATGAGAGTTTATATTTGGTGGGATCGTAATTAGAAGTTGTCACTGAACAATACTTCCACATTATTCTACTTAATAATTAATATTTATTATAAGTCAATCGTGAAGTCATCACTGCAACTCCCAATGTTATTTGCCTATTCCCACCGTCCACTAATTTTTCAATTAGTGGACGCTTGGCTTGATTTTTTTTAAGTTCGTGTGCAAAAAAAATTCCTAATTTTTTTGTCCCTACCGCAAAGACATCGCGCACAGTGATAAAAATTGATTAGTAATTAAAAATTACTTTCGTAAAACAAGCTTTATTACAACCCGAAGAAAGTTACTTCAAATTCAATATTACATATGAACAATTAAGGAATTCATTGAATCAATGGACCCTCATAAACACAAAAAGCTGAACGTTTAATAGGAATATTCTAGAACCTATTTTAAAGACTCAAAGAACAAATTTAGATGTATAGGCCTACAGCCATGTAGGAGGCCGCCCAGGCCTCCTCCACTACTACTAGGCCGTAGCCTAGCCTAGTTATGAAATCATTGCACGATTTTACCCGTCTGCATGCACCGACCAAAAAGGACGCCAGTGACTGTATTTTCTCTTGAATGCTGAAATGTATATTTCTTTGACGAAAGTCTATCAAAATAGCATTACAAACAAGTTCTTTCTAACAATACAAATTTCAATAGTTATTCATAGTATCCGTACTGTACTGCTGATGTTTAGTTTAAAGCGTACTGCAGGAGCAAAAATCAGCATACGCACAGCTAAATGTAAATATGCACACGTATACTGATCATATCACTATAGCAACTGATGTCTGCTACAACAGTTGGTTATAAAAAACTAAAATTAAAAGACAGCGATTGACTTATAAAGCAATTAGTAGAGCATGCATTGTACACTAAATGGAAAATTATACTTAGGTTAGATTGAATGCATTCAAAAATTTTTTCAAGCATTAAATCTAACCTTTGTATAATAATTTTCCTATAGTGTACTATGCGGAGCTCTACTAAATGCTTATTAAATTCCAAAATATACAACTTACTTTTACTACTGCTATTACTATTAACAGAAATACTTGTACCAGAGGCTTGTTTGACACTAATTTTATCCTTGGATGCATAAACCATTTTATGCAGCTTCTCTCTGAAATAAGAAAACCAATGTTAGCTGCATTAGCTCACTAATATAAAAAAACAAACATCACACCACTATTAAATACAAGGACTAGACATCACTAATAGATTAGCCAGATTGTGTTGGTCAGTCTAAAGTAAAAGGTCACATCGACAAAATGTAGCAAAGAAAAGCCAAACTCCTTGCAATAAGTAAATTTTTAGATATTAATACAGGATTAAACAGAAAAATTAAAGTTATAAAATGGTGATAGAATAATTTAAATTCGACGTTTCATTGTGGGGTGACAGGGGTTTAAACATGCAGCTGTTTAAATAACAGTATTTGAGACATCAGCCTTTAAAATTGAGGACTTTTCAGGCAGAGATCATTACCAAATCGTTAAAAAGATATTGTTTTAACGTCAAAAATGGGGAAAATAACAACACAGCATGATCTATAGGTACACAAGGGTTAGGTTAGTGCAATAAAATAGATTTTGAAAATTTTGAAATTTCAACATGTTTTGGCCATTATCATTGAAACATGATTTGCGAGGAGTGAGTGGTTTGGCTCGTCTTCACCACAAATAGAGATGGATGAAATTATAGTCAATTGAGAAACAGTGCTTTATAATACTAACAAATATATAATTAAATTGTAATAAAGAATACCAGTATATAAGTATTACTCTTAAAATTTCACAAGATGCACATATAAATTTACATAACTAGCAATAATCAATTATGATAATCTATAGAAACCAAGTCACATTTTAGTGCATACAAATGTTATATGGTAGACAGAAGCTTCTTTGAACACAATTACTTTTAGATGCACAAATGCACTGTTTGCACAAGAACCTTACCTGGTGTAGAAGTGAACTATTAATTATTGAGTCAATACTGACATCACTTTGCTTTTCCATAAATATTTATAGGATTTGAAAGGATTTCATTCATTATCCTTATTACTGTATCATGTCTTTTATATCATCAAATAGCACTTGTAGCCTAATATTCTTAGAGCATATAAAGATAAGAAAAAGCTAAATTTTTTTTTAATCAGATATATTTCATCTTATTATGTGCATTTGTGCAGTAAGGAAATAAATGTGTGTGCCATGAGAGTTGAATGGCCACAACATACAGCCATAATATCGGCGCTGGTTTGAACGACTATGTCCGTCTATATAATACTGGAGATAGAACAAATGTTCTCGCATAAGGACTATGAACCGTAGGCCCAGTGTACACAAATGGCTTATGTGCACTATAGAGAACCCAGCTATAGAGAACCCAGTACATCTTTCGAGATGTGTAGGTAATTACCCCGATGTACTAGTTCATACAGCCCCTATTGTGGACAGACAAGAGTAGCTGGCTACCGGGTAGCTCTGACACAAAGATACTATACTCTTAGGGGAGAAGAAAGTTACTGTACAGGTTGAGAGCTCTGTGGTCTATGAAATAGCGCTATATAAATGCTGTAATGTATGATTGGGTTTTGTGAAGTACTCCGGGACAATTTTTTTCCCCCATGTTATAGGTAAATGATTTAGTAGTACAATTATAATGTTATTTTTAAACAAATTTTAATGTGAATATCATATTCAGCTTTTTGCAACAACTGCAAAAGGAAAACAAACCTCCAAATATAAAATAATTTTTAAATTTTGTTTGAATTCGCATCGAACAGTGGGGAGCCTTCCACTTGCAGAATGGAAACACAACACAAGCACAAATCAATTACGAGACAAACGAGCAATCCTAATAACTAGACACACAACTTAATTTTACGTTATAACAACAACAATATAATAGAGAAATTGAGAAAGTATTGAAATTCAGATTTGAGATTCATGTTTATTCATCTTATATCAAGGATATATGATATGCTTGCAACAATATATATTCATTCTCAAGACCTAAAAACGAAAACAATAAAAATGAGGTTCTATGTATAACAAATTCCTCATTATAGTTGTATAGCACTTTGAAGAAAAAAGATTTTGTGATTGTTTGTATGAAAAAATTTCCATCATATAATATATTTATAATCACTACCATATTATATCATTAATTTATATTTCCATAATAACTTGAAACATAAACAAATGTAGCCTATATCCAAAATTAACATCTAAATTTGCAAAAATTATGCAACACATAAGACTTTTATGGTTTTTGTTTTACAAGATGTACACTTGGGGAAAGTGTTCTCCCCAGGTACCTTAGAGCGTCACACCACCATGACACTTTGCATGTCCCATGTGATGCTAGATAGTTGCTGAAAATCGGCCATGGTCCTTGTAGATTTGCTTGACCTAGTTGTTATATGTGAGGCCTATCATAGTACACAGACTAATAACACAGTTTGTTTAATCTGTTCAAAATTCAGACTTCTATATGAAAACAATACAACTTAATAACTGCAGTAGAACTATATCAGGTGGCATAGTAAGACAAAATGTTTATATATTTCTTAACTAATATCCAAGCTAGATAAGAAACAATACACAGAGACAAGAGGAATGCCTCACTTTATAAGACAAGTTGATGAAGTCATCTTTAGGTTATGGTTGCTAACCTAAAAAAATTATTTTATCTTCATTGTGCAATACTGTAGTAGAAGAATTAATCCATGTGAAATAATTCAATTTTCAGAAGTCTCCTGATTTTACTTAAAAATCCATTGAAATGTTCTCTTATAAAAATAACAAACAAACACACAAAGTAAAATTTAAATTAAAGAGAGTTCATCACAATATCAAAAGAACTACTTGAGCATGTAGGTAGGATACTCATTCCATCAATGAAGAATGTTGCATAAACCAAACTATGTACATTTTTTTTTTAACTTTAAATAAAGAAAACTGTAGAGAAATGAGACCTTACCTTTCAAGCCACTCTTTAGGTATCTCCCACTGGGATACTTCTGTCTTACAGTTGTAATAGTATTTTTTACCAGAGGAACTAATGTGTTCAGTCCACTGGTGAGCTTTGGCCAGTATCTATATAGAAAAAAGTACATTATAATAATTTGCTCCAAGATAATAGATCAAGACAAAAGGTGAATCATTAAAGGCGGATTTACATGGAGCACAACACCAACCGAAAAATAAACCCTATTGCTTGTTCAATAATGTTGTTTATTCGGTAAATTCACATTCACATTATAGTAAAATATCTCAATCCTAGTATTAAATTAGCAGTATATTTTTAGAGGACCATAAAAATAATAGAAAATATCTGATTTTTACTAAATCACTCTATCTTATGTATAGTTTTGTTTTGTTTTGTTTTTGTTTCTTAATGTGGTTTTTGAAATAATGGCCTTTAATTAAGTCTGTTCCTTGGTATTTCGTACCTATTTTCTGCGCATGTCTCAATGGCAAAATTGGCCTACTTCAACAGCTTTTTGAAAATAGCATCTCCAAAAAGTTACGTACTCTGATAAACATAACAATATTTTTTACCAAAATTTGACAATAGTTCATTACAATTAATAATGAAAGAAAATAGGCCCATTACGTAGCATAGGTCCTAGGCCTGTGTGTGTGTTTACAAAGTTGATCTATTTTGCAAACCAGGGACAGGAACTGACTAGGCTAAGAATGAATAAATATTGTTTCAGTTCTCCAAAGATCGTAATCTTAAAGGTACATTGATATTACAAATCACAAATCTACTTAAAATGCAAAGGTACAGTAAGTTAGTGTTACATGCGGACTTCAGTAAAAAACTGAGTTTGCCTAACCTCATGCTACTGTATTTGTTTACAACAACTATACAACACGCTGTGTAGTGTCAATAATAATATTAGTAGGTTTTTTAAGATAAAATAAATTTTAAGGTTTGATTTATTTCAAGATTGTTATTTATGTGATAACTAAAATCACAAAATAAGATCCCGTTGAATGTGTCCTGTTATTTTCGTCCTCATGGATAAAAAACTTAGGCCAGAGCCATTGGGAAATGAAGGTAAATACTGTAAACACTGAGTGATAGCCGGAGTTAGATTAAGTCTTAAAATTATGAATTATACAGATTTATTTGTACTTGCTGGTATTGTATTGTTTTTTATGATTTTTACAATATAAAATTCTGTTAATGCTATCTGTTGGGCTAAATTTAGCAAAGCGTAGGCATATGCCCATACTCTAGGCTAGACGGGTAGTAGTGTAGAGCCTTGGTCGAACTAAAGGTCAATAAATTTCCTTATCTAAATTTTCTTCCGAAATATTGACTTATAATCCTGAAAATATGGTGATAAATGCTAAAAGATACATGTAGGCCTATTTAGGTGGGTACACTTCATGTGGTCTTATCTCTATCGTGTCGCGAGTTATGGCGACATCCCAGAAATGGAAGACCTAAATGACCTTATTCATGAGAAATTTTTACATATAACGTAATCAATCATGTTCAACAAATTATTTTTATATTGGTTTTACCGTCTACAGTACCACCACAAACTATTGCAATTTTACCTGCGCGCAGGCTTCGTAAATACATCGTAGCCTGATATAAACAATCTAAATAAGGCTACGCGAAGCGAACCTACGAAGCAAAAGCATGTTGTTTATTTGTATGTGCAGAAAGACTGCTGTAGCTTACTGGAATAAACAATGTATTGCTTGATAATTTGTGAATGACAAGCACGAGTTTAGACCATTAATTTAAAGTATGGAGCTGTTTTTCAATAAAAGAAACGTACACTTGACTTCATGGGAGTCTCCTTTTCCACTCGCTGTCCACGATAGGAACTTGTTTATACTGCTGTATTATTCTCGTAATTAATTGGTCTAGCCTACTTTTTATTTATAATTATTTTACCTCTTTTAAATGTCAAAAAATGATGTCCTCAATGACAATACACACATGTGAAAAGATTGTTCATCAAATAATATTTTGTAGTCCAGATTTAGTAAGATAAATAATAAATATAAAGGAGAGTTAACATCTGTTGGTTGTAAAATTACCGATTGTCACATGGAAAACCCAATGGAAAATTAAACTTTGCAATGTCAATTTATCTTGCCAACTCCGAAAATCCAGCGTCAGAGTGCGCACCAGAGTAAAGTGTGTTAAAGTTTAACCTCGTGGCAAATGTTAAAAAGCTGTGAGCGACAGTAAGTAAAAAACGAAGAAAATTTGGTCTAGCATGACTAGCCTTAATTTGGCAAGGTACTGATTTCTATAGTTCCATTAGTATTGGATCGCTTTGCAGGTTCTGCTTCAAATTATGGTAAACAATAAACAATGTGATCTGTAGAAACTAATAATTTGTACATGATTTGTCATCAGTATTATTATTTAAAAGAAAATTCCTACTACCAGAACAATAATATCAGATCTAAATTCTCTGAATTGGAAAGTTAACCAGTATAATTACTGTCTGCTCTCCTCCTCTATAGGTGAAAATGTAGGCCGTAGGCCTAAAAGACATCGAAATTCGAACATATTGAAGGCTCACTAGGTTACCTAGCTAGCGAACTTAACAGTTTTAAAACATGATTGATCTAATAGTAAGGTAGGAAATAAAACAATAAAGTTCTAACATCATTTATTAGTAAATTGCAACATTGCACACATGTTGAAAGCTGGTAAACTATATTTCAATATTGTTTACACATTGTTTATCAGCCCGACGATCCAGCCTACGATCATTGCAAACCTAATTAAATTAACAATGACCTTCGTAGTGATTCGTAGCTACGTTCAAAACGTACATACGAGCAGATTACGAGAGGTTACGCGCAGATACGAAGTGATAATTTCTGCCTGTACTGTACATATTTATTATTCAACTACAATTTCAGCTTTCTACAAATCATTTTACAAAGCCAACGTGACCTGTGACCTCACGTTTTTATGCCGACGATTACTAGGTTTATATTGTTTGTAACAATATAAACAGTATAAGCAATTACAAGACATTACCAAGATGCAACTTCACAGCTAGTTTATACTCATTCAAGTTACACAACTGCTTAACATCAGACAGAAGTTTATTCTAGGTTTAATGGTGCTGTAGTAAAATGTATTTAAAGCTTGACCTTTTCTTACCACCAGAGTAACAAAATTATGATTTGATGATCTTGTTCTGTAATCGTATAGTTGACAAATCTTGACAAAATGATCAGCTAAATATTAAAGCAGTGTCAATTTCATTGTATATTTTGAATGCATGTATCAGCCCAAAAAATTGGACACGATCTTACTTTGAGTAGTAGTGCATTAACATGAATGTACTAGGAAGAGGCAGCATAATCAAAGATACACTGAATTAAAGCTGAACATTGCTTTTCAAGGTAGTTTGCCTGTCTATACATGAACTTGAACCTGGAATTAGCTTTACAGATTATATTATTAATGTAATCTCCAATGGAAATACAGTAATTTGATATTTTATGGAATCCTGACTGAATAATTTGTATGCTGATTGAAATATATTTTAAAATCTTTCCTTTTAGATCCAAAAATGATGTACTCAGTTTTTTAGGGTGCATAGACAATGAACGCAAGTCAATTGACAGAAGAAGTGTATGAGAAGAGTTAACAGGATGCAGCACACACCAGACGGAACAAGAGTTGAAGGGAAACAGCAGCCTGTCTGCGTGTCATAATACTACCAGCAGTGCCCCATACATGATTATTGCTGCTGAAGAATTACGAGTCACCAGCAAAAAGCCACTGCAAAGGCACTAACGATCTGAAATATTTTAGCCCTAGTGTATTGTCGTATTACTACCAGCAGTGCCCCATACGCGATTATTGCTGCTGAAGAATTGCGAGTCACCAGCAGATAGCTACTGCAAAGTACTAACCATCTGAAATATTTTAGCCTTACTGTGTGCCGCTATTCAGACAGGATTCAGATATCCTCACAATAACTTCATCACACTGGTCTTGATTGGGGGAGTCAATTGTGCATTTACTTGGGATATAGGGCCAATTATTATAATTACAGATTTATATGTTTTCACAGGCTTGATCACTTTTCTATAGAATATTGTTCTACATAATTTAACAAAGGACTTGGGAACCCAATTTATTTGTTTACATGAACATACTGCATCATCAAATAATATCGATAACTGATATACAGTAGAGCCAACTCACTATAATTGCTGCAAAGCAGCATATTCCTATTATTGACAGCAATTTGACCTCTGAAAGGTCATTGTCAAAAAACAAGGGCCTAAGACGACTAACAAGCGGAGTTTCCTTCTTTCGTTCTGCCGGGTAAAATCAATTACTTTAGGCGACGTTTGTAGACTAAACAACATGTACCAACGTCCGCATGTTGCGCTAGCCTTATCCTACTCTAGGCCTAGACTAGCTAGGATGGTATAGGCCTAGCCTTGAAGGGACGAAGGTCCCAATGAAAAGCAACATCGCTCCTTGATAGCTAACATTGTCTATTTAACATCACAATAATTCATTATTAGACCTATAGTTGTTTTTTGAATTGTACTCCACAAATCTCAGCCGATACCTCGCACAACTTGTTAATGTCTCGTATCTATTGTCGTGACGTCATGGCTCGCTGGCTCACACTTGTGATGTCTCGCACTTGTGATCAAATAACACGCTGGCTCGCACTTTGGCAACACTCTTTGGCAGTTAACTCGCCCCTAGAAAACCCACCCTTGAAACTTGCCCCATAAAAAAAATGTACACTTCCTAGACCATGCAGTCTTCAAAATAAAAATTGTAACCTTTGGTAATCAACTACATTTTCCTCATACATAGAAATTTTTGAAACTTTATTAAAAAAAAACCTAAACCATAATTACGACTTTGATACCCAATGAGAAGTGTTCTAATATAGACAATGGGTCGTGTCTCATATTATTTGTTATATTTTTATTATTCATTATTTGCACTTGACTCCCATAAATAATTTTGTTCGAAGAACATTTATATGCTGTTGTACTTCGCAGCACTTCACTTGCAATTTGCAATTTCTAGTTGCAGACTTACACATCACAGGCTAATCAATACTTTTAAAGATGGTGCTACACAGATTTACAATGAAAAAAGGCTTTACAATCTTTAAAACATTAACATTTCTAGGTCTAGTACTTTCTTCAACAAAGATTATAATTTATCTTTTGAATTTTTTTAATTATTAATTACTTCTGTACAACTAAACTGTATTGCCGTCCAAAAAACAGATGGTATAAAAAGAGAGAGTTTCCAGAGAGCTAATCATACAGTGGAAGCACTTGAGTTAAAGGTCGGATTCACTATCATGGAAAATTAATTATTCATTAACCTTTCTAAAATATTTTTAATATTTTAGAATATTTATAAAGCACTGAAAGCATTATTAATAATGGATAGGGGAATAGTTTTAGCAGACATTAAACAACTAATCTAGACTTGGGCTAAGGCTGTAGTTTACATTGTTAGTTAATATTAAGTCCAATTTATAACTACTGTACAAGTACGGATCTATAAAGAAAAAATAGGTAGGTAGGGGCCATGTGACTATCCTTTGTGTGTGTGTGTGTGTGTTTACAAAAAAATCTTATTTTGGTACAACACGTTTTATATCAGACTCAAATATATATTTAGGCCAGTATGTAACATGTGGTATTTAAAAAGTACATTTGTAATGTCAATGTACCCTCAGGATTACAATCTTAGAACTGAAAAAATATTGATGCATCTTTAGCCTATTCCGGTCCCTGGGTCACGGAGTACGATCACGGGAAATTGAACGATGTGGTTAATGAAACTCCATCGTGCAAGTGAATCGCCTGCTCGAACACATAGGGCTGTTTGTCTACATCGAGCCCGAAACATTGTAATGTTTGCAAGTTGAAACCCCAGCTCAGTACGTGAATAACAAAGGCAGAAAACATTGCCTACTTTACACAACTAACAAAATTAAGTTCACAGAATATTATCTAAATTAAAGCAGCATCAGTTACGCGTTTGATTTGAACGGGAAATGATAAAACTATCCTCCAGGATATATCTCTTGTCTACTGTACGACGGCTAACCCTCATGCCATTGTTGTATTTTGTTTACAACAATCATACAACACATCGATCTGAGTAAAATTAGGCCTCGTGAATGTCCTTGATATGATAGTCCACACTAATACCGCATGACATACGTAGGCTGGACTACTGCCCATTTTGCACTAACTGTACCTCTGAAGACTAACGTTTGCTTTGCTTCCACGTAGTGTCACGCGAGGTGCATGTGGTCCTCCTTTCTTAGTAAAATTACTGTAGGCCTAGTGAGTGTTCTTGGTAGGAAAGTTCACGCTAATGCCATATGACATTAGTAGGCTGGTCTGCTGATTTCGCACTAGCTGAACCTGTTGCTTTACTTCCTTCCTTGTTAACATTAGCAGGTTTTTCATGATAAAAATATTAAATTTTAAGGTTTGATTTATTTCAAGATTGTTATTTGTGTGATAAAACTGAAATTTATGAATTATACAGTTAAAAATATTTCATTTAAATTGCATTTGCTGGTATTCTATTATTTTTACAATATAAATTTCTGTGAATGATATCTATTGGGCTAAATTTAGCTAAGAGTAGGACCGTACTCTAGGCTAGACTGGTAGCAGCAGTGTAGTGCCTTGGTCCAAGCTCCAACGATTGTCGCCGTTTATCCGTGCTCAATTTTTCACTTAAACATTTACTCGAAGTACAAGTCAACCACCCAATTCTGCGATCTAAATTTTAAAATATGGTATAGATATTGGAAATGCTCAAAACATATGCCTATTTAGGCGGTTACTCTACATGAGGTTTGATCTTACCATGTCGCGAGTAACAGCGACTGACATTAACGGAAACGGAAGACCTGGATGACCTTATTCATCAGAAATTATGTTCAACAAATTATTTTTTTATTGGTTTTATTGGCTAAACCTTTATTATTCATCAAACACATAAGATATAACAAGTCATTTTACTACTGGTTGTTATGTTTACAAAGCTAACGTTATATCTGTGACCTCACTTTTTTACACCGGCGATGACAACATAAACAAAAATGTATAAAATAAGTACACTATATAATAAATAAACAATAATAAGACTTTAAAATTATCATTTTATGTTATTTATGTTTACATGTAAACAGTAGTAGATAGCACATGACAACTGAATATAATATTTAAGTTGAAGAATATTACCATTAAGATTATTAGAATGGTAAATATAATTTACAATAGAAATTATATATTGTTTAATATTTTTAACAGATCTATCAAATAATAAATAATAATAATAATAGATGGATTTATATAGCGCAAATAAACGCGGTCTCTATGCTCTCGGGACTAGATGTTGCACTTTTCAATAACCTTCTCCTCCCCTGAGGGTCTGATTCATGTCCATATTCATAACATGATCAATAACTGCATTATTAATTACATGATATAATGGTAAACATCTTGTGATACAGTGCACTAAACACATAATCCATGGGATTTGGTTCAAATCCAAAACTTTCTTGACTCTAAAGCATCATAATCACATGTTTACTAGTAGTAGTATCCAATAACATGTTTATTTCAGGTTTCATGCACTTGGATTTCGGACATCAATTAGTAACATTCAATGTTTTACACACCTGTTCTACAGTATGGTTGATAATGAGCGAATACTTTATGTTACATCATTATAGGACTTGGGACTTAGTTATGTTGTTATTGTTCCTGTATATATACGTAGTGAAAGCTGCTGTTTACAAGTAGAAAAAAACTGACATTGAGGTCGGGGTTTCAAATCCTTCACTGTGCATTTCGCTTGTGTCCTTGAGCAAGGCACTTTATCTGCATTGCTTCTCTCCACCCAGGAGTAAATGGGTACCTGGTGGGGTTGACTGCTACTGAACCAATATGGCAGCAACACTTAAGCATGTGGACCCAATGACCAGGGAAAACAAAGTGCTTTGTAATCTAAAGGAATAGGCACTATATAAATACTAAAACAACAATAACTATAAACAGAACTAAATAAAAGTAGAATACCTCTTTAATTTTCTTCTCATGAGCACTATTCTTGCTATGCTCAGTACTATTACTTGCTGCCTGATTATTGTGAGAATTCTCAGCAGGAGATGAACCAGTTGAGGTCCCTGTGGAGAACACAAATCAACATCAATAGGGAGGTTTCGCACGCGAACGCGTATTAGTTAGTGTGACGGATATGTCATCATTTTGATGTCATACGCCAGCTGCTATCCGCTAAACGTGTGGACGACGCGCATATCTTGCTCACTACATGTAAGTGAAAAACGCTTAGAGAAATTTATTCATTTATTTTTTCACATTCTACGTAAGTGTAAAAAATAAATGTATCTTTGAATACATACGTGCCATTTTTGTGACATTTGAAGACAGCAAATTACTACTAGTACTAGTAAGCCAAAGCTAAGGCCTTAGGCTATGCTTGAATTGCGATGTGATTGCAAAAAACACAGAATGGTTACGCACCGTTACGGATAGCTAAACGTATTCGTTCACATGTGAAACCTCTCTAATAACAGCATGAACACATGAAGATGTGCATGTTCCTAAGCTTTGCACACAAGTTATATAAAAAAAAGATGTTTAAGCTGTGGTCCCATGAGCAAATTAAATCATAAACTCTAACCATACAGGGCACTCAATTAAGCCATTTTGCGTAATTAGTATAGTCGGACACTGATCATGAAATTCAATGAAAATGAAATGACATACTGTAATTTTATAACACAAAAATAATATAAACTGTAAGTGTTATTAAACATTATATATGTAGGATGTTTTTCTATTAATATTTTTCATTAATGTTGAGTCATTTGCAGAGAAAACAAATTTTAAAAAGGTGCAAAAGCAGACAAGAAGTCTTGCCCATGTAATGAGGAATCTCCTATCTCCATGTGAATTCCAATAAAGAGAGCAGAGCCTCGTGCCACATTACGTCACAGAAGATCCAGAAAAAATAGGACATATAAAAACAACAAATAGAATATGTAGAAATTAGTGATTTTTTATGGAGTTTTAAAGTTATGGCCCTCAAAAATAACAAGGGGCCCCCTTTTCAACATATTTAATTGAGTGGACAAAATGTCTGAATGGTAAATTGAATTTTAATCATTTAAACTGGAAAGTGATCAGTCAATTACGACGCTAAAGATTTGAGCTATTTTTAATCGAAAGAAACAAAAACCCTGCCTAGGGTCTGAAAGTAGAACCTTTGAATTGGAAGGCAACCAACACATCTAATAAACTAAACTTTATAATCAGTACTATAATATTACTGTTATTAATTTATCATCATTATTACAGTAATGCCATGACACCTATATAGGTCTTTTTGTCTTTTACTCTTTATAGTATCTATTTCTTTTTATCTGCAAGGGCCTTAAATTCAAAGTTTAGTTTACCATAAACAGAACTTTTTATACTCCACTATGTTAATGTATAGTATTAATTCTGGGCATTTGAAGAGCAACACAAGTCTATTTGTGGATTGCATTATATTGTAATTTGTAAACATAAAGTCACCAATTGATTGATTACTATTATCATTTCAAAGTACATTACTATTTATTATTATTAATTTAATTTTTGAAATCTGATTTTGGTTAGACAAATGTCAGATTAACATTCAAGTATATCAAATAAAATTCAAGTGATATTTCAAATTGTTACAAACAAATCTAAATGAATTTATTCTCTAAAAGTCCAGTGTATTCAACATGTTTAAGGCTTTTTTAAATGCACTAAACCAAACTTTTTCAAAGGAAAATTCTGTTAGCTTAGTAAAATAATGTGGATAGATTTCACCAATATGCAACAAAGAGGCTCACAGCACATTTGGTTTCTTGTAAAAATGGAAATGATCGACTGAAAAAGAAGTCACTGTACTGTTAAAATCAATTAGCAGAAATGACCATCATTCCTGGTTACCTCTGTGTTGAATAATAAAGGATGAGCATGACTTAATAAAGGATGGCTTTGTTATTCAAAAACATAATGTATGAATAAATGCTTGTTGGGGATTAAAATACAAAAAATCTGTTAAGGTGCAAAGAGATACTGAACATGATAAAGCAAAATTCAAAAAGTCTGTAAATTCTTCCTTACACACTTAAGTATTATGTATGTTTCCTGGTCTGAATTTATGATGATTAGCATACAATTATTGAATAAAACATCTCTATGTATTACTGTATAAATTATACATGTACAAAACAAGTCAACAGTATTTTCTCAAGCCAGCTGTGCAGGTCAACATTAATCCTTGATGTACTGGTCAAACTCTGAATTCACCAGTAAAAGTTAATCAACTTGCATTTTCAGTATAACATAACTGATCATGTTCTTCTTCTGACATATTACTAGATACAGTATATACACAAAAATTGCATGAAAACACCACTCAATACAAACAGAACAAATTAGATAAATTTGAAATATTAAGACTACATTTACCTCGTTGACGTTCCCTTTGTTTTTGCATGAAGGATGCCTTGTTTTTAAAGGTACGAGGGCTGTTACTCTCACTACCAGGCCTACAGTTTGGGCTCTCTGAAATTGAGGAAAGATCACCATCCTTAGCTTGGTCTCTACTGATGTTCCCATGTTGGCCATTTCCATTTTTCTTCGACAACAGCTTATCTACAGCCTGTGAAAATGATACACATTTATTTTTCTATGTAGAATAGCGACAAATCAAACTGCTACACAATTCACTTGTCGAATGTCGACTTAACAAAAATCATGTACAAGCTGAATTATGTAGGCCTACTAAAAACCATCCGTTCCATCACACCACCAATTAAACGCAAGCAAGATAAACAGGCTTGGCGAGTGTGAAAACGTTCAGGAAATGATATCCACTGTAACTTTGGATCTGCATAGGGGTTCGCTAGGTCTAGCCTAGGCCTATATTGAACAACTATTACAGGGAAACATTAAAAACTTCAGAAATTATTTCACATAGCTGTTAAATCACATTCACATATTGGTATATGAGACAAAAACTCCATCCTTAACACTAGACCAGTCTGGGGTCATGTCAACAACATGCAATGGAAGGTCATGAATTCGGCTATGCTAGGCCTAGCCTGTCAGTAGGCCTAGTCTGAGCCTTTTCATTTATAGAAGATTGTTTATAACATATCTTAGTAATCTAACATTCCAAAATATGTTTATTATCATTCTAGATTCTAAATCATTTAGTATTACGACAAAATAAATATGATTTATAGTATATTTTGCAATGGATTGGAAAGTGGGTGTGTGGCTGATCCAATATTGATGCAAGCCAGGTAATCCCCTGCAAATAGTACACTGATTTCTTCTTAACACACCTGAAGCGGATGGGTTTCCAATTTTTCGTTATACCTGAAAAGAAAAAATAGATTTATAAATGTATAGCACGTATGGTAATATACTAATTGTTTTGTCTGATGTAAAAAATCAGGTGACTCAATCATGTCAAAAACACAAACATTGAACAATCATGGCGGATTTTCTGAGACTTCCTGCACCAACAAATGAGCTCAAAATTATGTATCATTACCCATCAGTAAGACGAGCAATTTTCCTTGCATGCATCACCATCAATGCCAGAATCTATGAGGCTATTTAGATTCGAAGAATCGCCTTCAAGTTAGAACAATCTTGGCAATAAAATAAACAAATATTCAACCCATAGCACGTATCACTTTCTTGGTGGTTTAGTCGCCATTCTACATACGGGTTATTATTTCGTCTTGCTAATCGGCTTTTGTCGGAGGTCAACCATTTTTGTCAAAAGAAATCACAAAATATATTATTAAAGAAATCATATTGTAATAGTTTTCACTAATATTTTATTAAATTTTATAAACAAGCTTTATTTAATAATATTTAATATATAAATCAATCAAAATCAATAAAAAATAATGTTTTTATTGTGGAAGATTCTATTATTAAATGAAGGTTGATATTCGTACTTTGTTAAAAAATGTACATTATTTTGAATATATATATTATCTTGTAAAATTATAAAATGATTTTTTATATTATAACATAACGTTTTTATTTAAAAAACAGAAATTTTTCAAAATATATCTATATCTATTTATTTATATTGAATATATAATCCCAAAATATTTAAATTAGACAGTCCAATTATATTTTGCGCCATCAACGGATAAGTTCAGTGTTCTGGTTGCCGAAGTATGTGGTGGCGCTATCGAGATTTTTTTTTTGTGTAGAATAGAAAGAAAATAGGAAATCCAAGCGTTTCCGTGTTTGCTTGAGTTCGATGCTCAGTACTGCTGCTTTAGCTTAGGTAGTTCTCAGCTGAATTATCGTTCTCAGGCCTAACGATCTAAATACAAGTAGGAGAATAGGTAGGTATGGTTGTTTTGTTTATTGTATTTACCGATATAATATTCAGTTTTGTGTTCAATATATTTATAATTTAGTAGAATAGATTGTCTTTTTTTTATAAGCAATTTCAAAGTGTTTTGTGTAAACATTCTCTGCCAACCTAGCCTACCTACCACACCACCAGCAGCATCAACCATGATGACACAAACTTCCAGTCGGTGTGGGCACCTCATGCACGAAAGTTTGGACTCAACTTCCTTGGCCTAGAATTTAGAAATGCCATCCGTTGCGGCCGCGAACCACTTGTATTAACACGTAAACAAATTGGGAAATTAAACGAGTTTTGTTTTCTTATTTAATTATTATAGGCACCTATAAATATACACATGCTTTACAGGTTTATTATAGGCTTATTAATACAATAATATTGGTTACTAGACTCATGAGAATTTTAAACTTAGGATTACACTTTTTACTTGTATTTTATGTTTTTCTGGTCTACTACATGTTGTTGCCTACACAATTAAAATACTATACATACAGTACCGTAAATTCTTTAATAAATGCTCAGTGCTTATAAAATTGTTGGTGGCTTTAGTTCGGAGCTTATTTGAGCTCTTATAAAAAGAATATTGACAAGGAACTTTCCATGCGTGTTCCCATGTTACCTCTCACGTAAATATATGTTTATAAAGATACATGCTTGCGTCTTTGAATGAAAACTGTCTACATTGTATTTAAAATCTAAAAGGACTATTACCTACCAAGTGGTAGTACAGTAGTTCTGTAGTGCTCTCAACAATACAAACGAGATTAACATAAACATCAAAATGATAAACATAATTAAGTAGTTAAGAAAAAATATATCTACAATTTTTTAAATTTTATACTAATAAAATTCAGTAAAATGTTAAAAGGATCACAAAGGGCAACTAAGTTTAAAATGCAAGTGGATAAATAATGAAAATTAAAAGTGTACTAAAATTATTAATCATATCTCTTAATTTAGTTTTAAAATTTGAAAATGTGCTGTAGTTAGAAATGTCAAGTGAGTTAAAATACTTAGGTCTGTTATAATTAAAAAATGTTTAAACACTAAAAAATAAACATAAATAATATAGTAATTTAATTAAGTAATTAATTACTACAAACATTTTGTGTACTGTACAGTGTAACATACACACAAACAACCTACCACACCAGTACATTTTTTTTCCAGAACTAAATTAATTTTATTGATTATAATTTATTATTAAATTCCTTAGAAGATCACTTGTTATTTTTACTAGAGAGTTTCAGCAACATTCCATGAAAAATATAGTGAAGACATATCTTCTATGATGAAATAATTGTGGCATTGCATTAATCATTGCACTTACTATATGTCATGATAACCACTCTAAATATTTGGGTGGAGGCAATCAGCATGTGATGTAATTAATTTCCTGCACACTCAAACATTTCTTCATTCTGTAACCAATTAATACACTTTGTTACTGGCCTATGAACTGTGAAAACACTGTAAGTATTATATGCTGTAATGCACGATAATAAATCATAAATATGGCGAAACAATTTTGCTTTATACAGTAGTTATATACAGATGCCCATTTTACTGGGGTTAATTAGTTAGTGATGTGTATTTAATGAACACATTGTTATTGTTATTTTACAGTATTTATCCGACTCAAAACATTGGCATCAATTAACATGTAAAATCAGGTAGACAGGTAATTGTTGCTATAGGTGTCTAATTACATAAGCAGTAATTGATAGAGTCTTTACTGAAACCCCTAAAAAATCAATTAAAAACGACTGCTTAATATTTAAACATTTCAAATAAGTTGTCAAATTTCAATGAAGGCCCTAATTTAATTTTAAACTATTAACAGACTGTTTTCTTCAAGCTTTGTTTTAATTATTTATAATACTAGCCAATTAATCTGAATTGGACAAATGACAATGGAAAAGTATAGAATATATTTACTATTCCACAATTTCATAAGCAACATACATAAAATATCAAAGTATTTTTTTATGAAGAATACTTTCTATTAAACATGAGAGAACAATTATCTATCTATGAACAGAATATTGAAAAGTATTATTTATGTGTTTCTTAATTGGCAATAAACATTTTGATTTTCAAATAAAAAGATGAAAGAAAGTATAATAATTCAGAGTTTTTAAATTGCAATCTCTGAATGAGCAATATTTGTTATTATTTTAAAAAATTTCTGTAGCTCAGCATTGATTATATTTTTTATTAATAATCAATTCAACATACTGTGTAAGTATAGAATTTTGAAAATATTTAGCAAATTTTTAATCGTCAGAATAATGTTCAACCTTGATAATAATGCTCATTGAAAATTTCAGTTTCTATGATCATTTAAAAACCTTGAATTTCGGCTCTTTTATATAATATTTCAGTTTTTAATACTATTAAAGTGCCTTGAAAATTAACAAGTGATTAAAATATTCCTCTGATGTTTTTATTACCTGGAAGTTTAACAGAGAATGAGTATTTAATCAGCTGTTGTTTAGGATACAATGATATGTCACACTTCATTTAACACGCTGATTAGAACTCCTATTGAATTTAAGTCAGGAATAAAGTTCATTTATATCTATTCTCTAAGGATAACTCATGTATTGCTATTATTTATTCAATTAACGTTAATTAGTAAAGGCATGGGCCTGTCATTGATACTGTAGATTGAGTGAAGTGACCACCATACTTAGAGCTTCTCATTGGTTCTCATTTTTATATCTACTCAACTAAACTTTGCGCTGTACGATGGGGTGTCGACATTTTGTAACCCAGACTTTTCGTAACTCTGCCGCAGAAACTCTGTGGCGTAACCAGGGGGTTTCTGCAGTGCCTGAGTACCCCAATTTTTGTTCAGACATGAAAAAAAAAAAATTAATGGAAATAAATGGCAAAGCAACCAATGTATGTTGCAGTCATAACCATTGATACAGTATTCTCCATCCTAAGTTTTGGATGTATAATAATATTTCTTTCTATTCAGCACCCCCTTTTCAAAATCCTGGATACGCCACTCTTACTACATTGAAGCTGAGGCGGTGAAGTTGTTTTTAGTCACATGACAAACATATTTATTGATTTTAAATGATGGACACTGGATTTTGGAAGACAAGCATTTTAAATACTGTAACCAAGCAAAAGTTACACGCTACATTTGATATGGGAACTCCTGGCATTTTACAGTTGAACTCTTAGGTCATGGAATACTGTAATGCAAACATAATCAACAAGTCCCAACCCATACAAATCTTGTGTACATTCCCTGACAATGCGTCAATATAGGTGGTCTCTATTTATTGTAGATGCTAGAGAAAGCATATTTGCATAGTGGATTGTATATTGTGTATACATGAAAGTATCCGTATGTTAGGATTCATTTCCAGTTAGTGTGTAATGTAAATAAATACCATTTGCATATTTATTTAGATGGGGAAAAGCAGTTTCTTTCTTACTGGAAGGGATCTTTCATTTGGAGAGGTTGGATTAGGCCAAATAATATTGATAATAATAATTATAATAATGTTAATCAAATAATAAAATAATAATAATAATAATAATAATAATAATAGAAATAATATGAATAAAAATAATACTATCAGAAGGTGTTATACTGTAGAGAATAGTATTCCAAATACCAGTAGTACTGTATGAAACAACTTTTTTGTTTTGTCATCTTTCATAACATTTTTTGTAGTGTATTTAATTTTTCATTTTGATCTCATTGTATTTTAGTGTAGATTTATTTATGTTTTTTTTTTTAAGTCTCTTGATTTTGTAAGTTTCATATGTAAATTGTAAATGAATGCACCATCATCATTTTGATGAGTGCCACTGGTACAAAATGAAGTGATTTGACAAATGTCGTTAGAAAACTATTTGGAGTTAGTACAGTGATAACAGTACAACTAAATTTCACAATCTCATAAGCAAAATACATGATATGTCAAAGTTAATTATATTTTTTTATGATGAATATAATCGTAAACATTTGAAAACAATTATGTTTACTAAAAAAGTTAAAATCCTATACAGTAGTCGCTTTAATAGGCACTTTAAAAATCTGTTTTATTATTATTGTTGTTGTTGTTGTTGTTGTTGTTGTTGTTGTTGTTGTTGTTACTACTACTATAGTAGTTCAGAGTACTATATTCTAAATGAAATTAAAATCTTTATTATTTAAACACAGATAATTAAACCAGATTTATCTACTCAGTAGTAGGTATTGACAGATAATCCATGCATATTTCTTGTCCTTTACTATAGTGACCCATTGAGTAAACCAGTGACCTCAAAACAGTGAGCTCTAGCTATTGTCGGTGCTTCCTGTAGCAGACGACGCAACAATACACACTGACAAGCAGACAACATAACAATACTCGCTGACAACAGGGAGCCTATCCCTACAATGCTAAACATTTCTCTAGGCATTAAAATCAGGTATATATGATTGAGACGGCATTTGTAGAGCACACACGAGAAATGCCTGGTGTGTCGATTCCAGCTAAGAAGGATTTAGGTGAGTGTTATTTTTTGTTATTGTTTTTGTAATTTTCTTGCCCTTAGATATAACTCATTGTTTCAAAATTCTGAGTGATGGGTAACTTGGTGAAAACATATTTTTGAGATCCTTACTGTATTCTTGTCATGAAGAATATTGAATTTCTCTCTTGGTTATATGATCTCCATGTGGTTTATTTGACCTACAGTAAAGTTCTTTTGGATTGCCCTTGTGTATTAATTAACACTGCTATGGAAAGCTGGGCAGTGTAATTTACAGTATACTTGAGTCTTTGCAATAAAAGTCCAGTTCATTATGCATACTTATATTTTTTAATAATAATATTAGGCCTAATTAATAACATCTATATTTATGATTATAATTATTTACAGCAGTATACATATATTTTTTAAAGTGAAATTTTAAAATATCCAGTTTCTTCTTCAGCCTCATTTTGAGCTACCAGTACCTCCTTTTATTTTTTTACTTTCACCAAGTCAGGACAAGAAGAAAATTCTGTAGAAATCCAAAAAATTTGTAAACAATGAGTGTATTTTGTGCATTTAAAAAGTCTTACTCAAGGCCTAGATATGTGATTGTGTCTCCATTCCCCCTGGCCCCTACTAGCAGCCCCTGGACCTTGCACTCACAGTGCTATTTTTACTATAGGTGGCCTGGAAATACTGAACTTGTAAAGAAAACAAGAAGAAAAATTGGCCTTGCCGTCTTTCCAGAAAAAGAATTAATAAAAAAATAAAAACATCCATGAAAGTCTTGCTCTTTATTAGCCTTAAATACATAAACAATTAAGTCTTTCCAGAAAAAAATAAATAAAAAAAAAAAAACAACCATGGAAATCTTGCTCTTTATTAGCCTTAAATACTGTACATAAACAACTAAGAAAATATTCAATTCAATACATCAGCTTGTTAAAAGTTAAAACAATATTATGGTGTTTTTAGTAATAATGACCATTGTCCACTTAATGCATTAATCATTTTTAATTACAACAATTTTGGTTTGAAGCTGGTCTTATGTTATATTGAATCTAGTTACTCCCTAATTAATGGTTTTAATTCAACTATTGATTCTGAAATTAGACGGCTTAGCCAATGTAACAGATTATAAAATATACTGTAGGGATGTGCATTGTTCTTGTATAATCAAACATCCAGGGACATTACTGTAATTTCCTGGTCATTTCAGTTAAAGTACACTCCACTACACTCCCTCTTGTCACAAAATATTTTACCTGATGGCAAGTAATTATCTGAAGCTCGATATCGTACCTCCTCACCCCTTCTTTTTGTCTTTCTCCTTTTGGTTTAATTACATATTGTCTTTGTTGCCAGTTCATTGCAATGATAACCTGTTAGGTTGTATTAATAAACTCAGTCAGGCATATTGTCAATACTTATTAGTAAAATAACTATAAGTATCAAATCATCCTTTTTTATACCGGTGTTGCGCCTTTACAATGCGTCATTATTTTCTGCTGCATAGCATGAGGTAGTCTTATTATTCCCAGGGACCTATGTGTCTTTACCCAGCAATTTTTGCTTAAAATTTGGCAGTTCTATGTTTTTTTCCTGACTTCTGGTATGAATAGGACCTGCATATTTTTACTCAATCCAGAATTTAGTGCAGAAACAGAAACAAGAATGTACAGTGCCGAAAATGTCTATGTACAGTTGGAAAGGGAATGGATGTGACATTTTCTTTGAGTTCTTTCTATTTCATTTTTAAATATTAATCATCATTGTATGCTTGACAATAAAGTACTCTTTCTTATCAATACAGTACTTCACAGTTTAATATGTTCATATGGTCATTTTTGGTACACGATTGATTCCCTACGGAAGCATGAACAGGGAATCAGGAAGAATGTAAGGAAATGATTGGGTCTTTATTCTTCCTGCCAATAGTATTGGAAAGATATTCTTATTGGAACTATTGGAACTGGTTAATTGAAAATTCCTGATTCATTTATTTCCAACCTTCATCTAAAAAAATGAGGTTAAAATCTGGTTTTTCTAATTTGTAATTTCTGTGCAGTGGCTACCTATAGACTATTTTCAAGAAATTTGAAATGAATATTTCCAATAACCTGGCAACAACCACTGGGGGACTTTCAGAGGCCCAGCATTTCGCGGTACATAGTTATTATTATGGATTAAATCAACGATAAAACTAAATTGCTAACGAGCATATTTTAAAACAGAAAAAACGTGAAATGTTTATATTAAAAACAAGTCTAAGTCTTAAAAAGCTATTTCAGTGTTCAGTAATTTCAGTAATTAGCAAGATCGTGTCTGTTCTCTACTGCTGCTGTGGCAAGGGTCTAGCGGTGCTATCCACTGCACAGTGCTCTAGTGAAAGAATAGTACTAAACAAATTATGAAGTTAAAAAAAAAACAATGAAGACCAAGTTCACAACTATCGCGACGTTAGTGAGATTCGAACTATTGCTGCAATGGTAATAGATGAATACCGGTATAGCACAGTATAAAATGGAAAGTAACTCAAAAATGTGAGTCATTCATAACTTTAGAAGAATATACAAATGTAAAACACATCTAACTATTTTAAAGATGACAATTGTTATTGAGGAAGTTGTGGTTGTTATTTAGTTGTGAGAAAAATCATAGCATTTTATAGGATTAACTTAAGCCAATGATTAGGCAGCAGTCACCATATCTAAATTCCGTAACAATACCGGATTCAAAATTAAAAGTTATTACAAGCAAATCTATCTTATATTCTTAACTGAAGATTTGATGTGCTGTTTAGTATTCTCATCAACACTGCAATGTTTTATTCATAAATTTATGAAATTTTATCATTTGCTGTCCATCAATATCCCTTGCCTTAGGGTTGCCAGGTTCTTTATCATGTTTTCCTTTTCTTTTCAGTAATTTATCCTTCCAATTTTGATAAAAACAAATTTCATTTTCACACACCAAATCAGGGAATTTTGCACTTGAATTAAATATATTTAAAAAAATTAATATATTTGGAGGGGGAATTTATTCAAGAGGGGTTCTTATTCAAATGGGGCGCTTATTTGCGCAAGTATGGTACTGTGCAAACGCACATAAGAACCAGCTTAAAGCTTTTTCTACACTATCAAATTTCATCAAAAAAATCGCCGCATAAAATTTGATGGAACATAGAGTTGAGCACGTTCAACTTTTTTTATACAATTTGATAATATGTGATATGATGTCATCTTATCCATATATGGGCACATCACATTTTTTTTGTCACATAAAATTTGATAGTGTAGACAAAGCTTTAAAAGTTTCTTTATTGTTCCCTTGAAAATTCTTCGAGTCTTCTCATTGACATCATGCGTGCCGGGGTATAACCGATTGATTGCTTTAAAATTGAGCATTCTCATTATGTATTCACAAGGAATTTCAACCAAATTCATTAATTATGGTAGTCAAACATTAGGAGGAAATTATAGTACATGTTGGAATTGATAGTTAACACTATTGTTGTTATTATTAGGCTTATGAGGGTAAATTTTCCATATCATGTTGATATTTTGTTGAAGACTAGGATAAACTGTAATTAATATACTGGAATAAGAACATAAAGGAACTGTCTTCGTTAATTGATGTCATAAACCTGTGTATATTCCATTCTAATTGGTAGTCATTTTAAACAAATTACACTAAGGATGAAGAGCGTATGATGCTCATGATTTTGCCAAATATGGAGATTGAACTCTGGCTCGAAAATTATGATGAAATCGGCTTCCGAAACATTCATTAGATTCATGTTTTTATCAATTTCAGTTTGCAGAAATTTGTTCTCAAAAATGATTGATGGTATTAACGACCAGCCATGGGAGTGAATATTCTTTAAAAGGATTGATACACAATTAATAATTAATTAGGGAACAAGTGCTCAAATGGGAGTAGCAGTAAATTAATTCTTAGGCTTTAGGTCATATGTGGAACCGGGAAATTATGACAGTATTCTATACTGTTGGTGTAATACTAAAACCTACATATGTTTCAGCATTTACAGTATATACTGAAATCATGAGCACAATTTTTATAAATTACTTGAAATTTAAATTGGGAAATGAGAGAAAATAAGTACTCTATGCAGAAAACCACTACCGCACTCTTCTGCATTTAAATCTAGACATGGTTCTGCTTTCTTAAATACAACGATTAGACTGATAATCATAACGTATCCATTTTCTGTGGAGGGGAGAGGAGAATGGTAGGGAAATGATGCCCAGTTGCTCAATTTTCTTGTGGCTGTAGTAGCAGGAGAGGGTTTCTAAAATCTTTTTATACCAACACCTCTTTTTTATGGATGGTAAGATTTTTAATATGGAAAGCTGATTAACATTAATATCAAATAGTAAAAAACTTGATTATAATATGTGATTAATTCAAACTGTATCAACACATACATAGACACAAAAACACCAGTGGAGGTCCTTTGTTAGGAAGCGTCCAGACCCATTTCTGCAATAGTTATAAAGGTTATAGAAATCTTGTCTTCAATTTTTCAAAATTTATTCAGATATTTATTAATTACCTGTTAGTAAGAAACAATTCAATATTTGTAAAATTACAGTTAAATAGAGGAATAAAGTTTACTCTAAAACGTCCTATCTTCATTTTATTATGTGTTACAGTATTACTCATTCGTGTTTTGAAAGTATGAATAGATGGTTTATGATGACATTAACAGGTGACCGTAGTTATTACTAGCAGGTAATAAAATACTTCCGTGCAATTTATGGATACAGTAATATATTTCACTCTAGCGCTTTCTCTAGGCTTCTTTAAAAAAATCGATAGAATTTATACTGATAGACTTAAATATAATTTAGTAATAACTTGTCACAATTCCTATTAATCTCACTTTAATAACTACTTTAAAACAGTTTTTGGAAATTACATACTATTCATATCTATTGTCTTAAAGATGTAGTATGTACATGAGGGGTTATATACATGTAGTGCATCATAGCCAGTTACAATTTAGACAGGTCATGATGATCAGTGGCATAAATATATGGTGTGTGTGGTCGGGGGGTACATGCCCCAAAAAAGCGTGCGCCCTCCAGTCATCCCCCTTCCCATTGAAAGTGTTTGAAGCAACAAAATGATGTTCAAAATCACCTCATATCACTTTTCTTTGTAGGCTAGCCCCTCCCCTCGCTCATCGAACCTCCCCACATTTGTCCATCAGGTTTCCCCCTCCCTCCCGCCAACCATATCGAGAATCCTAGATGCACCACTGAGGATGATTTATCTGCAGACATGGAAATATGATGTCAGTCCTGAGCTTAATTACAGATTTGTCGCAACTTGTGAAAAGCTACTTTAAATTCAATTAACTTGATGGATTGCTTTAATATTTTTTGCATCGCTGCATCTTTCTTGACCATTCAATTGAAAGTGGAACTATACAAGTTTATTAAAGATGTGATAAATTTATAAGAATTCTCAGAGGTCCCATGTTGGTGAAGTGAAATTTCTGGGCATATTTGTTATTATTGAAGTGAAATTTCTGGGTTATTTTTTTGGTAAATAACTAGATGTATGACATATTAAATTATAAGTAATTACCTAATTATTTGGAAGAGAAAAATGTCAATTAATTTTTGAAAATATACATTTAGGAGCCATTTTGGAGTGGAGTTGAATAGCTCAGTGGATAATATGCTTGCCTTCTGATCCCAGGGTCCATGGTTCAATTCCTGTCACAGCAGCACTTTTTCTCACAACCAAACCAACTCCACTCCCTAAGCCTCATAAAGAGACTTAGTTTATAAAGCATCATTCTCATCCTGTAAGTGGCAAGTGTACTTGCTGTTGGATGTGAAGGAAATAAAAAAACAATAAATAAAATTTTGAGTGAATATGACACTACAGCCTCACAGATTACAGTAGACTACAGTAAATCTAGTTATTTGTCATTCGTTTACATTGTTTATAAAGCAATTAATGTCACCAAATATTTATTCTAATATACTGTACTTTGTTATCCAGACACGGTACTGTACTAACTTATTCATGTGGTATGTTATTGAGTGATCATTTACTTAATCAGTTATAATATCAGGACTATTTATTCAGATCAACTAAGCTGTGCCTATGATCATGTTGATGCACTAATATTATTGTATTGTATTCCTGATTTAGGCATGTCTGTCACTGTCAATGAATACCTGTATTACACAAAACAAACATAAAACAAAAGACAGAAATTAGGTATTCCATTGGAAAAACTGCTGTAAACATCTGTTATACATTTCAGTTAGATTCAAATTAAGGATGATGTTGGTAGTCTGACATGCTGACATTAAGTTTTCATTAGAAAAGGGATTTAGTTCCTCATTCTGGGTTTTTAGTTCCGCATTCTCATTTTTTGTACCCCCCGAGTCCGAAAACCATCCTACATCCCTGGTCTATGAATTGATAATCCTTGATAAACAAATATCCATTGTAAATTACTGTAGAATGGATGACTGGATTTTTGGCCACTACTAAATATATTTTCATGAACTTGTCAAGATACATTGAGTTCAAACTTCAAAGAGGTATTTGTAGAATATTAATTAATTTATATTGTGCATATTATTTTTAGAATGTTATTCACATATTTTGGAACTCAAATTACCATTTTTTTTGTAACAAAATGATCTACATGCATATTATTATATGTCCTATATATTTTAGGAATTTGTAAAATGTATATAAATGTATACTATATGGTCCTTGTTTAAATTCAACAAGGAAATCTGGATTACAGTAAGCCCCTTAAGACCTATAGTAGCAAAAGTGTCGCATTTACAGTACTATGGAAGAACGCCAGTAGACATTCAATGCCCTGAAGCAAATAGTATACTACAGTTTCGAGTATTATTTGTGCAACAGTAATATGGTCACAGGACCAATGGCCTAACATTTCTTCCAAAGGATGAGGTAATGGACCTTTCTGGAATGTCAATCAAACTTGAACTACTGACCAACCAGAACAGTGCATATGTTTTTACAATTTAGTTTTGTAGTACCTTAACAACAATATCCGGGGGGGGGGGGGGCCAAGATTGGAGCAAAGATTTACACTAGGACAAAAGCAAGCACAGCGTAGGAATGTCTTGAACTCCCTCTGTCTCACAAGAAAGTCAAATTTCTTACAGCTGAACGAGGGCCTGGTACTAACTGCACTTGATGGCAACGCGACGACAAACGCACACAACGGCGCGGAACCAATGGATCGCTTTTTTAATTAGGATCCGTTCGGGCGTTACGTTGTCTATCGCTCTCCGGAAGCAGAGGCAGATTCGTCGTGCGACGGTTGTACGATGTAGTGAGTGCCCGGCTTAAGTCGCCCTCTCGATTGCACTGAATTATGATATACACCAGTTGAAGAGAATAACAGTTTGCTAAAGAGATGGCATTGTATTATTAGTTATCCTTTCCTCTTGTCAACTCCCACTCCCCTTCTTCCATACAATACTCTTTTTTTGTCAAGTGCTGTAGATTGTCAATAACTGTCAATGCTGTGTTACCTGTCTGTTTGGTAGACCTACAGGTACAGAATGTCTATTAAATGGAGCAAATCATTTGTGGGAAAATATTTCTAGGACTTTTAAATTTTAGGATTTAAATATGTTTGTTCACTAAAACACTTTTTAAACCCTCTTTGCGTTTTACTGAAGCTGGATTGGATTTTGATTGTTTATAAAATTTTAATATCGTCATAGAAACCCAATATTTGTCTACTCTACGTAAATTATTTTGAATTTATATTTAAATTTTTATTTGCATTTTATTTATCTTCACAAGTGTCACGTTTCTTAATGGATAGTTTTGCCAAAGTCATAATCATATCATAGTCTTCATCATCATCATCAGTTTTTTATCTTCATTCACCATCATGTTCATTTTTATTGGCTTCTTCGTTATCATAATCATCTTTTTCATCATTTTCACCATAATGTAGAGTATTTATTATCATCTTCATCATCACAGTTATCATTCGCTTCATCATCTTCATCCGAATCCAAAATTCAAAGACTATTAGAAGGTAGTATCCCCTATTAATCATACCTTTGTTGTCTAAGCCCTGATATAGTTGAATTTATAATTTCATAATTCCAATGTAACTAACCCCAGGTGGAATGGTAGAATTACACTACCTTTCTAAGTATGCTATGAATGACATTAAGTACCTCTCGTCTCTTATGCTCTAGGCCTTCAACGACTGTTGACCTCTCTGGACTACATTTGCGGGAGGCTTCAAGGTCGTCCAGATGATATGCAGTTTCTCAATGAAGTGTTACACAGTCCTGATTTTCAGTCTCTTCTAAAGGTAAGTGTGATGAAGTAGTTAGCCAGTATGCATATAGTGCCTCTTCCATATAAGGAATTGTTGGCTTGGTAATGGTACTCAACAAGGGCACAGTCTGACTTGTTCATGCTAGGTCTGAACTTGGTTGACTCGCGCATGAAGTTGGTCTCAATCCGAACAACTCAGTGATGACCAGGTGCCTGGGTTGACTTAATGATTTGATATTTTCATCCTTCTCAAGTAACCTGTGGTTAAAGTGTAACCAAACAGCTCGCAACATAGTGTTAAAGCTTGACGATTTCCTGTGGCTAAATTAAGTAAACGGAGATCAACGTATTGTGGACACTCATTTTGTTTTCACATCAAGCATGAAACTCGCATCAGTTGTGAGACTCTTTCTGCTTTAGGCTTGAGTCACATGTTAATACCAGACATGAGACTTGCGTCAGACAAAGACTCGCCTTCATGCCTCTGCCACAAGTTGTGATTGGCCAAACATGTTTATTTTAAGAAAATTTTGTTTAGTTTTTATGACATTGTAAATTAATCCATTTTAATAAATCTTCTGAACAATGACAACAATTTAGATTTCTGGATGATTTTTATGTTAGGATAAGCTCAGTACAGAAGTTGACATGAGACTTGCATCAGACAAAGACTCGCATTCATGCCTCTGCCACAAGTTGTGATTGGCTAAACCTATAGGCACTATATAATTTCTCCAAACCTGTTTATTTTAAGAAAATTTTGTTTAGTTTTTATGACATTGTAAATTAATCCATTTTAATAAATCTTCTGAACAATGACAACAATTTAGATTTCTGGATGATTTTCATGTTAGGATAAGCTCAGTACAGAAGTTTTTGCCTTGATGATAGTAGATAAAGCTTGGTTTCCTGTCGACGTAAGAAGGCAGATTCACTTACGACTACGTCGTTTTATCGTAACAAAATGCGATTTGACAGGAAACCGATTGCGACTTCTCCAAACCTGTTTATTTTAAGAAAATTTTGTTTAGTTTTTATGACATTGTAAATTAATCCATTTTAATAAATCTTCTGAACAATGACAACAATTTAGATTTCTGGATGATTTTCATGTTAGGATAAGCTCAGTACAGAAGTTTTTGCCTTGATGATAGTAGAAAAATGGGAATAATAGCAACTATCATTTACAGTACTGTCAGTGTTATATTACTGTATGTCCAAGGCAATATAGTTGACTTCTATGAACGTGTCTAATTCCATTAGATTTGAAGCTAATCAATACGACATGGGCTGGGAGTTGCATCCTCTTAATTTCCTTTGCCTTAATTAATGCATTTGTACTTTTGCCTAGCTAGGTTCCTTGACATCTGTTAACTGTTTATGGGTAATGGCTACTTGGCTAATTTGCTTGCTGCTACTATGTAAAATATCTGAAAGGGATGTATAGATTTCAATTTTGAACATAGCTACAGTACTAGAATTGTGATATCTTAGGGACTTGCTAAGTAATTTGGGACGGGATTATTTAAGCTAGTGTCTCTGCTTGATTGGTGAAATTTTTTTGTGGCTTTTTTATTCTCCTTTTTCTGTTTTATCCCTTTAATGTCCTTGTGAGGGAATGATGTGGTCTCAAAAGCCCCGTTCATATCCAACTATGGCGAGATAATTTTAGTGGATGAGCTAGATGATCTCGCCATAATTTTGAATATGACCACTCAAATATGGCGAGATGAAGGCCACAACTCGACTAAGCCCGTCGAGTAAATTTTTTTTTGTCGACTAACTTCTTAATCCAGCCTAAAGCCAGTAAACAATTAAACAGTGGGTGGCCACAGGTCACGAATACACCAATCAAATTGAAGCAAAGTGACCTTCCATGCTTGCTGGTTAGCACGTTTTTTAGTTACTGTCATAAACACCATTCAGAATTGATGCAGTCTCCCTAATCTGTGTACTTTAATTTCAACAAGTCTTATTTTGCAAATGATGGCCGAAAAGTCAGTAAAGAAACACCATCTCTGGACGTATGCGCAGGAATGCGATTTAATAGATATCTGGAGGGAGCCAGAAATCGCCGAAAAAGTTGAAGATAAATTGTATATTGTCAGAAGGCTGGTGTCCACGAAAGGATAGCAGAGAGAATGCGGGACTTAGGCCACAATAGCATAACATCTGCAATTGTTGTGACAAAGTTGAAAAATCTAAGAGCAGACCACAAGGCTGTGAGAGACGTCTTTATTCGTGGGACGGGCAAGGTGTCGGCCAGTGTAATAAGGGATGACCCGAAATCGGCATGCCCACACTACCACGCACTAAACGAAATACTTGGGGGAAAACCCAGTGTAAACTCTCCAGCTGGACTCCTTGGCCAGTCTAATCAACCGAGACCTAGGCCTAGCTTACGCCTATAGTCTCGATCTAGCATAAACTAGTCGCGCGAAAATCAACAGTAATTACCCACCATGTGATTGCACTTCCTGTCTAATGATGTGTTTTCCGAATTTCTGGTAGTCAAAATATCTCGCTCTAAACCTTAACGTCGCACGCGATTAGTGGATTTAATCCAATTAACTTAGCAAGTAGATCAGCTACTTCATCTGGCTATAATCCCATATGAACCTAGCTAAAAGTGTTGATTTTCTCCTCTGACGGACCTTGTGTCGATGTATATATCGATGTATATATCGCAAAGTGTTAATACTTGGGTAACACCTGACATTTAATATCTCACAGGTTTTTGTTATTTTGAGCCACAAGGTTGAACAGTATCACACACAAATCTAAAATGTCATCTAAAAGTAAACTGTGAAATTATTCAAGTATAAAATAATCTCCTTTATGATTTATTAAAGATTTACAATGTTTAAAACACATTACAATATTTAGATATATCAAAATAATTTATAATCATTATCTACTGTAGTGTTAGTAATTAGTAAAGTGTAAGTAAGTAGAAACACAAATTAATTAATTTTTTTCTATTGTTTTATTAATGTAATTACTATTGCTTCCATTTTATTTTCAGGTTCACTATAAAATTGAAGAACAACATAACAAGGAACCACCATTGCCAGTTATTAATTCTGCCGCTATGTTGGCATTAGAAGTAAGTTTTGAATTAATATTTTAAGATTGTTCTAAAAAATACATTGTACTCATATTATCATTATTTCATTGTTTCCTGTCCCGTTTCTGATAATTACTAAAAAAAAATATTGACAGAATACTATAGAAGTTGGGGTATTATTTGAACTAACATGTTTTAGTATGGTTCAGTAGGAGAGACACCCTTACTAGTTGACTAATTGTATCTTTGAAATATTACTGTATTTCCATCCAGGTGTTCTAAATGCCAACTATTCAGTCTCTTTTATGAGGAAGAATGCAGAGTAGCTTTATTAAATTCTTCATTCTCTTGAATTATTGTCAGGCTACTCTTTTTCATTTGGATGACATGGCCAAAACATTACAGCGCTTTATTAACAACCTCTCTTATATTTGCTGTCATCTTTTATTTTTCATATTCAATGAGAGACTGATATACTTTATTACCCAATATTTAATACTATTTAAATTATCAGTATAGTCTATTTATGGCAAATTAAACTCGGGCATACGCCTGACATCAGCATCATTTATAGTGTGGCGATTGTTTGAAATTTCAAATTTATAAGGAAGTTATTCTATCTTCAGGATTATGACATCTTTTTGATTTGTAGTTTGTGATTAAAATCTGTGATGAGTCTGTAGTTTCAATTACCTCATCTCCTTATATAACTCAAGTACTGCTTTCTTCAGTGCTTAGTTAAATTTAACGTGTGACCGAGTTAAAGAATAGAGATTTATAACTACATTAATAACTACATTAAATATGAGAAGATAATTACACAATAAAGCATATGGTAGATCGTATAATTTAAAAATAAAAGTCAAATCAATTTAGTTTATTAAATTCTCATTATCAATGAGTTTATATACTTATAATGAGATAATAATAATAAATAATAATAATAATAATAATAGTTGGATTTGTTTAGGGCATCATATAAAAAAGCTTGTATGTGTTTGGTAATTGATCTCTCCGAGTTCGATATTTTGATCATGAGAAAAAAATAATGTAACCCTATAAAATTTTAACCTACAAAACTAAAGCAGATAAAGAAGATAGTTGACAAATTCAAATGATTTTACTTAATCTGACTTGACATGATTTGTTTGCAATGCTTGCCTTATTAAGATTAACATTTCAAACTCCATTGATATCAGAACTCTAGTTATTTTTTTTCCTGATTTATAGCCAATTTAAAAGTCTATGGAAAGAATACATGAACAGTATTATTGCTAATTGCAGAGAAAAATTCGGTAGTTTGTCATAATTTTCAATTTAAAACCCATATAATAACTTTTTAGGTACAGAAAATACTGAATACATTCAAATATTGAATGTTTTGTCATGTTTAATTAGCTCAATATAGGCAATTGATTAATGGATGTATATTTAAGCAAAAGATTAAATGCTTTTCTGGTTGATTGTGGATACCATACAATTCAACATTTGGAATTTCACTTTTTGCTTTATTAAAACTTTGTCCATTAATTTAACCTTAGGATCGTTTGGTATGAATGTAATATTGACGTAAAAAGACATCATTCGAGTTGATGAGCATTATTCTGATAAGGAGAGAGATAAAGTATTATGGTTTGTTGCATCAATCTGACAAATCGGTCTTGAAAATGCAGTGTACTCCAATCTCCATTTCCATAATGATGTTGCTCGCATTAGTATTTTTAAACCTCAGTGTGAATGCCTTTAGGAGAGACCGACATTTGGCTTTTAAATAGCGCGAATGATTTCAGAGGTATGCCATAAAATAGTATAAAACATAAAATACACCAAATCGTGTTCTATATTTAGTCTCAAGTAGAGCACACCGAATGAATGTTATGGTTTGAGCTAAAAGACGTGTTACAATGCTATTTCAGTAAAACCAAAGTGCTTTTTCCAATGCGAAAACAAGCCATTGGGAAATGTAATATCATATGCAGAGAATATAGTGTATCAATGATTTTGACAAGCTTTCACTAAGCAATACCTTTTATAACAGCTATTGATTATTGTATGAAGTCAATGCTGGTAATGAAATTATAAATCCACTATAAGGTGGCGATATTGCCATGTCAAGGCTGTAAATACAGTCCTTACTTACCTGGATATATTGTGACTTACTGTGTATGCAGCATTTATCTTCAAGTTAAAACCAAAGAATATCTTCCAACAAAAATAATATAGTTATAGAAACCAAATGAATGTATGCAGAGATTTAAGATATATTATATGACTCGTTAATATTCTTTTAAATATAAAATATATGGAAAATTCAATTCAAAAATTGCATCTTTGTTTCCATATATGTGCTAAATTCTCATTTAATATTTTTAAAAGGATTTTCCTCTGAATATCACAAATAAACTACTTACGCGAACAGCTGATGCAACGATGGAATGTGACCCCTGGTGACCCTATAATATATTCAGCAGATGGATGTTGAATGTCGTGAAATGCACTGCTTCTAAAGTACATTTGCAATTTCTGTCTCTCCTTGCTGTCAATTTCTGAAGTGGATTTATGAGTGCCTTTCTTGCATTCTACTATCGGAAATAATTTTAAGCATATATTTATCTTCTATGCTTTTTAAAAATATAAACATCCTGATTTTCCTTCTCTTAATTGGCTATTACTTTATTGATATTTCGTTGTTAATAAGAAGCAATACTGATAACTGTTAGTTTGCAAGTAAAATACTGTACCAGTGAAATACCCAGATACAGTAGCCACTTGGAACGTCTTCCCCGCATTGAGATATTTATAGTCAACTTCTGCCCAGTTTAATTCCACAAGGATACTCTAAAATACTTGCAGGACAGTCTGCGTTATAATTGCCCTTTGAGACGTGTGCAAATGTTTTCTGTTAGAGATCTCTTCATATTAAAACATCATTATTGGAAATTAATATAGAGTCCAAGTGGTTTCCCATTTTAAGTTTGTGCCCCAAATTAAGTAACATTTTGTATTGGAAAAGATGGAGGTTTTGAAAATGATGAATGATCCTATGTAAGCTTCAATCTATATATCCATTCTGCACAAACAGGTTTGATTCTGAATGGGTTGACTGATAGGTTTCACATAAGACAATATGAAACAAACTGAAGAAAGTACTTCTTATTCCTTCATTTTCAGGAATGAACAAGTTCATCAATTTGAAACCGAATCACAATGCTACTGTACTATATCACTTTCTTTAGATTTTGTTTCACACTGTCTTAGATACTTCTATTTTTAAACAACATTTTAAAAGTTTTATTGGTATTTTTAACATGACTGACGCGATCTGTCAGCGATAAATCGTGTCGCGCTAAGTTGTCTGATTTGGCCTTATTAAGCATATTTATAATATTTGTGAGACTCATCATAGAAACTCATTAGCCAATTCTTCATGCCTTGAATGCTATGTGCAAGCACATATTGGCAGCTTCAAAGGAGAATGTTCATTTTTAATTGGTCAATGAAGACTGCTTTACTCGGAGTTGTTTCCTCAAAGTGCCCACATTGTACAGCGTTTGGTTTTGTGTACAATAAATATCTAAAACTAGATATTTTTACATAGGAAAAACATATTACTTTCGTTAAACACACATTACAGAATGTGTTGAACAGTTTGTATAGAAGGTCAGGTGTTGAGCTGAATTTCTTTGAACTGTACTTGATATGATCGAAAAATTTTATGTTGCGATAGTCATGTTAATTGTTGTCTGGCAGAATAGGTCTTGTGAGATAGGTTCCGCTTTCATAAATATTGTGAATGTTCATAATGTATCTCTAAATTTGTATACCAGTATTCAGAAAAATTGTTTTCAGAAATCCTGTTTAGTAAATATTGGTTTGCTGTATTCAATTCCACTTAAGAATATTTAATGAGATATCATGTTTCTAATTAAGAATTATGCTTACCACAATTAAATTATCAAGATGTTTCGGAGTGCGAGGACCTGTTAAAGACTTGGCTCGTCAATAAGTCAGAAGTGATTTAGTTCAACTGTGTGAAATGCCCCTGTCATTTAGGTGATGATAACTTAGTTAGTATTGAATGGAAATTAAATTGGATTGATTTATATGAGGGTTTTAGATACAATACTTGGGATGAGCTTACTGTATTTCCTTGAAGAAATTGGTCATGTGCCTCAATTGAAATTTGTTTTTCCGGCATTGGAAGGTTAACGTCAGGCAGAGGTTTTGAATATTAATTTAGTATTCGCAAGCCTGTAATACTGCAAACTTTGGTTTTGCCAGAAAGTGGAATCATTGTTACACAAATCAAGAGTAACATGGTGATTAAGATGAATGCCTTTTAATCTCAAAAGATTAGGTTCAATTTTTTAAAATAAAACTTTCCTCATTGTCTACTCAAAATATATTCTCTGCCACATTTTTTAGTAAGGGATTAAGATGAATGCCTTTTAATCTCAAAAGCCTAGGTTCAATTTTTTTAAATAAAACTTTCCTCATTGTCTACTCAAAATATATTCTCTGCCACATTTTTTAGTAAGGGATGGGTAGATTCACCATTTTGCTGTGCTGAACCTGCCATAATACTTAACATTTACAATTTTCCATATCAGAGAATACACATTAGAGTTAGAAAGTTTTCTTTAAGCATTCCATCATGATTTTTCAATGCTTTGATGCTCATTAGAGTAAACATTTAGAATAGGTTAAGAAAGCAAAAGCTGTTTCAGTTTATCTATGGTATGATGTCACTTGTTATCCTAAAAAGCAGCATAAAACCGGTTAATGGTGCATAAAAACAGTCCTCCATAGCAAAAACAATATAAAAATTGGTGTTTGAAAACAAAACCAGCACTGAATAAGCAATTTCAAATAAATTTTGAGGATTTGACAGTAAAATAATGCATTTTTTGGAGTGGAGTAAATTGATTGTACTTAACAACCTGTTTATAAGTTGTAAAAACCTCAATGTAAGCTACATTACATTTGAATTAACTTTTGTGAAAAATGTTTCATTACTATTCCTATGTTAATGTTAAACATATTACAGGATAAAAAAAAAACAACCTACGGGAAAAGGCATGCATCAAAGAATAAAATGAGTTGAACCCATAATTTTGTGATTATAAGCCTGGAGCCTTACCTAAAGCATTCTAGGTTCCTTCATTGAACTTCAGAAACTGCTATCTTTGCTATCTTAACATGCTATCATTACCATCCTAACATGAGATATAAATTTGAACTTTATGGATTTATTGCAAGTTTAAAGTGGCCACAGTTAGTTACTCATGGAATTACATACTTAGTTCATCAATCAGTCGGCTCATCTACAGTAGGGTTTTAATTATAGCCAATTACAAAATAGGGAGAACTAATTATTCGGCGTTTTGGCTCTTTTAAATCTCTTACATAAATGAAGGTTGTCATACTGTATAATATAGTATGCTCAAGCATAAACTCAAGTTATAATTAAAGATAAATTTTGGCTAATAAAGTTATCAATCAGTTTTTATGTGATTATTTTGTAATTTGATATCATCATTCCACTATATATGCTACAAAAACTGTGCGACCAAGATTTACTCATTACAATTTTAACGTGAATTTAATTATAGAAATGACAAATCTCAGCACTTAAAAGACTAGCTATAATATTTATTAGCTTTAGCTTTTATCCACACAGTGAACTTCATCAGGAGACTGTTGGCCTACATTGTTCTGTAGTAGACTAAACTTGGCTGCACCTTTAATTCGTCATGAAGGACTTGATTAATACCGTCTCACTAAAAAATAATACCTGAAAATATGGGAACCTACTGTACTATTTTGATATTCAGATACTTTTATCTGGTTTGCTTATAATAATTGTAGATAATTGATAATAAACCATCCATGTAAACTTACTGCAAGCTTTATCGGTGCTTCCTGACATAGATAGCCTGACGAAGCTCGCAGTAAGATTACATCATATTGTGCTGGGTTTATTTTTGGTTAACACGTTGACTGCCAGACCTTTTTTTAAGGTTCCTTCCCGTATGCCAAAACAAGTTTACATGTACAAACATACTTTTTTGACATTTTATCTAGTCATACATCATCAAAATGATGTGTCCAATAAATTGACGGGAAAATATTAGGGGGCGAGTATACTTGTCGACGGCACTATGATAGAACGTTTTATTGACTATGCCAAGTGCGAGTTATCTCGTCCGCTTTTTGCATGGGTTGGTATATGTTCAAAGGGCGCCCCACTTGTGCCGCTCGAGTGTACTACTGTCAACATAACACAACAAACATACATACGTCATATGTACGTTATCGTCTAGGTGTATCTTCCCTGAACTACCAGCCGTCCAATCTGCGGTTCTACAATGTATAACAAAGAGGTAATAAACATTAGAATGTTACCCCGATTTTGACGAGTATACTCGTCCCTGGCACCCTCAGCAACACCCTGTGAGCAAGTATACTCGTCGCTGGCAGCCAACGTGTTAAACAGTTTTACAATTGCTATTTTGATATTGAAGATAATATTCTACTGTATGTTAACATGAGCAACATAATATTTAAATTGTTTAATGCAAAAATGTATTAGATTAAAGATGAGAATGAAGAAAATATTTCTTTTATTATAATTAACACATAAATAATATAACATTTTTATATTCATTACATACAATAGTATTATCTAATTGTCGATTGAAAATTGCTAGGCTATGGTGGAAAAAGAAATTTTGATAAGTTGTACAAATAAATACTTATAGTTTTATCCAGACTATCATATTTTATTGACAAAATCTGGTGCCATGGCTAAATATGGTCATGATGACATTACTGTACATCATAATAACATATATAGACATACAGTATCATGATTATATATGGACATACAACAGTTTTTGACAAAGAAAATTTAAAAGTGTGAACCAGACTTAAAAAAAAAAAAATAATCAGGAATAGCTAATATACTATAAGACACACATTTTTCAAGATTGAAAACATTTGGTATTTATACAACTATAGATAAATTTTCTAGATATTAATTATAACTACAGGTTGTTAACTGAGGGAGGAGTATTAATTTGCTTGCAGTACTGGTACAGTACACGAAGAGGTTCAAAGTTTAACTCAATTACTCATTCACATGAGTTCAAGTAGGATCAAATTATACAGTACTATCTTGCAAAAAGACGGTCACATAAAAAATATATCGGACAACTGCCACTTTATAGCATCTGCTAGCAGATGAGTTTGAGTTTTATGATTTGAAGTGATTCAGAGGTTAACATAATTACTCATGTCACAGAAGTTTGATTAAGTAGAATAGCTACTGTTTGTAATCATTGTTATAAATATACTGTATATATTACACACATTGTATCTATTCTATGACTCATCTCTGCATATAGGCCCATATAGTTTACTAGACACAAAATAAAAAAATATGTGGATTAATTCTCTGTGATGGTGCGAGGATCTGCCAGACAGGGAGGGCCCATCTCCTTAATGGGAATGTACAGTATGAATGGGGCTAGGAGCTGTCATGAGGGGAGAAAACCACCAGAAGCTACAAGTTAAAGGTTTTAAATTCTTATTTACTCAAATTTTTGAGTTTTATTGTCTTTAAAAAATATTTAGGATTCTTTTTTTCTCTCTGATGAATTGTACTGAGCTTTAAAAAAAAAAATCTGTAAACAATACTACTGTGAAAATTAGATTGCATCATTAGGCTCAACAGAATTTAAGTAATTACTAAGTAGTTCTCATCAATTTGAATAGAGAAACTTTAATAAAGAAATTGTAATATACTACTGTGAGCAATCAAGAGCCAGATCAGTTTTGCAGGATCGATTACTCTGTTACATACAGTACAGTAAAATATTGTTATTTATTTTTAACTAAATAAATAAAATTTATATACAGTACATTTTTTTTTTAATGTGTATATTTTCTTGTACATCTAAATATACCAGTATTTTATATATCCTTCATATATTTCATCTGTAAATTAACGTTATCTCATTACGTGCACTTTGAGTAATGTTTACATCATAGCACTACTAAACATGGTTTCTGCCGTAGATATTGCTTCTTTGCAAATATTGATTGATTGATTGATTGATTGATGTTTGTCACTTCAGGTTTCTCAAGACATCACTGAATACCCGCTAGGCCAAGACGCTGAAGAGCTAGGCCTGATTCTACAGAGTCCACTAATGCAGATGATACTTCATGTCCATGACCGCATAGCAACCAAAGAATTTTACCCTAAGTTACAAGAAGTAGAAGCAGACATGAGTGATGGTGATGATTCGATGAAAATAGTTCGTTTAGTCAAGAGTAACGAGCCTCTTGTACGTGATGAATTTTTGTTCTTTTCATGGTGAATTCATTTTTATTTTAATAGGTTTTTATAGATTGAATTCCATTGACAAGGATATAAATTATAACCATAAACAATATATTTCTTTGTCATATTATGAAAAAGCAATTCAATATTCCTGATGACTTTGATTACAATAAAAGTTTTAGCTTGTTTGGCTTGTTTATTAAGTAATAGAATAATCTGGTATTAAATACACTACAGTACCTAAATTTAGATAGTAATTAAAATCAATCAAAAATAAATAAATAAGTAAAATAATAATTTAATAATAATATTAAACGAATAAAAGCTACCCCCACCATTCCCTCCCTCCTCTCCCCCCCCCCACAAAAAAATAAAAAATTATTTTTATTAAATTTTGTTTTGTGAGTTTTTATGTTAAAACCCTGACAGTTTTAAGGGACATACAATAAAAACCAACAAACCAAGCGTTCAATTCATTATCTATCTAATTAATACACAGCTATGACATTAGTTCCCCTGTCAATTTGGACATTATGAAAAATGGTTCCACTACTAATCATTGTACTATACTGCTACCTCCTGCGGTATCTACATTACAAACATCAATATATGTTCTTGAATTCTTGAGTAGAAATTGATTTCTTGTCTAACCTATCAGGGTTTGTCTGTAATGCCTCCCATAAGATTTGTCAGGTTAATGCTATTCATTCCATGGTTAGGTACTGCATACTTATTGATTATGCTGTCAAAAACAGAATTTTAATAGGAGGTAAAATAATAACATGATTTATGGATGTTGAAGGCCCTGTGAAATGAAGAAATTGGGTTTAAGAGATATGAAGTTAAAGGGAGAAGGCTGTAAACTCTCTTAAAATTAGAGATTGAAGATTAATCATTAATAAATATGGTATTTTAAGTATTTTCTCTTTTGCTACTGGCAATTACAGGGAGCAACCATAACGTGTGATGAGAGGACAGGATCTGTAAAAATTGCCAGGATAATGCATAGTGGAGCGGCAGACAGAAGTGGTAGGTACAATACTCATCAAAGAAGATACAGTATCTGAATTGAAATGCAGGGGAACAGGCATTGAACCTACAAAGTGTTGCGTCACACGAGGTGGTGGATTAGGGACATAATTTCAAAAATTATAATTAATGTCTTACCTTAATGTTCAGTTAAGGCAGAAAGCCAAGAATATTTCAAACAGTGAACTTAATCACTTTTCTAAGTGGCGTATATCCCTTCACAAGACAAACATAAACACAAGATGCTCTATATGTATAAACTAAGTCTCATTATTAACGATGCTGAAATTTAATTGGTAGACCCCACATGTTCATGTAATTGGCCCACATACTGTATGCTAGTAAGCTGATGAGTCATTTAAATATCTATGAATGACAAATATCCTTATCAGTGTCAGATTCAAGCGGGTGGGGGTAGGCCAGCTTGGAGGCCTCTAAAATTTTAAAAATTAAAAAAAAAAATGGGGAAAAAAGAAAATGCTGGTTCTGGGAGTGCCATTTCTGGCCATCTAGAGGTGCCATAATCATAAATTTTCTCGACCGTGGTGGGGCTAAGGTGGTGTAGATCCTCTGTCTGTGAAAGTCCCTCTTTGGGCCCCCACTATTTCAAAATCCTGGATCCACCACTGCTTATATTATTGTATTTACTGTACTGCTAGAACATTCAGCTACATATAAAAAAATTAAAGATTATAAAATTTCTGTCTTTTTTCGCCATTCCTCAGGCTTAATACATGTGAATGATGAGGTTGTAGAGGTGGATGGTATAAGAGTGAAGGGCAAGACACCAGATGAGGTTGTCAGTCTTCTTGTAAGTATCTGCCTCTTTCCATTGCCTAGGGGATTTAATTGATGATCAGCAGCAGATTTACATACAATTTGGCCAAGAGTTATACATTGTTTGAAGTAAAATGATAAATTAAAAAAAATATATTAAAATAGAATAATGCCATCTTTATCCTCATGAAAATTATTATAATCTCCATGATATTGGAAATTTTCATTACCAAACCATCATGATCATAATCGACATCATTATCAATATTATTAAATAAAATGAATAATAGCAATTTTATTTACCATTTTCATTTTTGTATTTGCAGTCTTCAATAAATGGAACAATCACATTTAAGTTAATTCCGGCAAATGCTATTAGCAATGGTGCCCTCGAGAGTCAGGTGAGTAAACATCATGAAGTCACCTGATTTGAAGTCATGTGATTCACAAAAACTAAATTATGTGTGATAAAATTTGTATTGGATAAAGATGTTTTATGCAGATAAATATTGATATGATGTGTACCGTAATTTATTTTCTCTGTATTATTTTATTTAAAATTATATTCTACAATAAATAATTATTGTTCTTGTTTCTGATCATCATAGCTGGTTGGAAAAGAAAAACAGGTTTGTTTTTATTTGCTGGGATTGTTTGTTTTTTTTCATAAAAAAAAATACACATTTCAAATCACTCCTTTAGAATTAGGTGCTATTTTCTGCATGTTGTAAGTTCAGCTTTATCATATAAATTGACTCTATTTTTTGTTATTTAATTTACATCAGTTTTTAAGGGTGATCTGAGCAAGGCTAACCATTTGGGTTCTTAATAAATTCTTAGTGGACTTTATAGCTTGGTTGTTTAGACACTTGTGTTCCTTTCAATCCTACTCTGTAAAAAAAAAATGCTGGGACTTTGTCACATCCAGCTGTGTGAAGACAACAGAAATTTTGGGAGTAGTATGTGGATAGTACTTCCTACTTAACATTTTATCTTATGCGAATTGGGTATTTATAGAGCATTTGGCCAAAACATTACTAACATGGTTTTTATTCAGTAAAATGGAAAAGGATAAGGCTGTTTTTACTTTTTTAATTTCTACTACATACCATACCTAGGGTCATTCAAATTTTTTTTCCAAATTTTTCTCTCACAATAAATCTAAGTTGAATGAGTTACATACAAATACAAATATCACTACATAATAATTAACAAAATTACAGATTGCTGTAGCTTGCAGATTGGCTAATCCATTAGAAAAATAAACTGTATAAAGTTCTCTTTTGTAAGGGAATATTGTGCTATTCCATATACAAACATACACATATGGTAAGCCCCAATACCTTCACACAAATGTCTTCCCTTCCCACAAATGTCTTCCCTTCCCACATAATCTCCCAAGTCATCTCTTCAAAATCACTGGCACATATTACATCATGCATGTATTGTTGTTGGCACATAATTAAGTTACTCAATATACAATGTACACTACTTGGTTCGAATTCAACCAAAAATTGAGTGTAGTGTTTTGGATTATGTTTGTAGTGCAAAATCAGTAATATTACTATTGAGTTTGAATGTCATATCACTTTAAAACAAAAATCTAAAGTCTGTTTAAATACAGTCTTTCCATTCTGTTGACATTTTCCAGATATGGCACTAATCAAAATTGACATATCCTTTTAATATATATATTATTATTGTTGTCTCTTATACACATCTAGATGTGTATAAGAGACAGGTTTCTAACTTACCAGATCTGCAGTCGTCATCACTTCTGGCTTCCGAAGTTGTTGGGCTAGCGTTGTCCGATTTGGCCATTAGTCCTGGGTTTTTTATGCTTATCATTTGCATTAACGATATAGGATAATACTGGTTTTTAATTACTCAAGTCCATTTGAGTACAAACATCAATATTACAAATGAATTTCACATTGGAAATTCCAAATATACTTTAAATGGCAACTAATAATTATACAATAGTAGCAATAGTGATGGTAATCTGTTTCTGCGAAGTGCATAGAGGATCTGGGGAAAAGTGATACTAAATAATAAATAATAATAATAATAATAATAATAGTATCAATATTAATTAGATAAAAGTAGTAATAATAGTATCTTGTTATTGATAATATATTAATATTACCAATATTGACACCAATAAATCCTTTATCATCGTCTTCATTATTGTTCTTTCATTCTGTTTAGGTTCGTGTAAAAGCATTTTTCAATTTTGACCCTGACGTTGATCGCAGCATTCCGTGTGTGGAAGCGGGGCTTCCATTCAAGAAGGGGGACATTTTACACATAGTGGCCCAGGACGACCCCCAGTGGTGGCAGGCACGGATTGAAGGTGATCCTGAAATGAGGACAGGACTTATTCCAGGCAAAGTCCTACAAGAAAGGTATTTTGAAATTATCTAATTATCTACTCTTTCACATGTTTAGTGATTTATGTACACTTTCTGATTGGCTTTGGTGCTATGCATCAGGATTGGATTTGGGTAGGGGATCCATTCTCGGGCCCCCAAATGTTTGACAGGTAAAAGAAAATGTGGACATTGATGGGAAGTCTGACATTTACAGCCTTCTAAGGGTGCCACAACCATGAAATTGCATACCTCAGGCACAACTGTGTTGGGGCTGAGGGTTGTCGAAGTCCTCAATTTCCAAAAGTTTCTCCCTGGCCCCCATTACATCAAATTTAAATTTATGGATCTGCCACTGTGTAACCTGTTCCAACCATGGTGGGGCTGAGGTAAATTTTGGCTCTTTTTAGGGATATTGGACTTCTTGTCTTGGAATTTCTGGCATTGGCATTGTTATTAACAAGCCTATTTAGTACTTGAGTCGATTTTTTTTTGTGCTCAGAAAATTTCTAGTTATAGCTAATAGGGTTGGATTGGAGAATCTGTGGTACAAGTGCTTTTATCACCCACCCTTCCTTCCCCTTATATGCTACCGCATTCCCTCATTTTTACAAGACCTATCATAGTTAATGTTGAAAAACAAAGGGTACTTTATATTAGGATGACTTTTAGACCTATAAAAGAGAATGGGTGGGGCTGTCGTTGAAAAAGTACACAATTATGTCAGCCTGCCACTGGTCTCAAGAGATTGAAACTGGCCTCTAGATTAAAAAGGTTGAATGCCTGGGGTCTCTTGATGTATGGATCTTCCTGCCACGAAAATATTTATCAAAATATTGTTTACTTCATTATTATGTTTGGCTTTTTTCAGGAGGGAGGCATTGAGTAGAAGCCTTCTGCCAACACAGTCACCGACTCCATCTCTTAAGTCAGTACCAGGAGGTAGGGCTTCATCCGTAAACTCTGTTCCAAGCTCTCCAGACTTGAATTTTAGAAGAGCACAAAGTAAGTTACAACAAAAACTATGTACCGTATCTCAAATTTAGACCTACTGTAAACACATATTAACAACTTAATATTATATGTAATATTTAAAAGATAAGCATTTAAAAAATATTATATAGATAGTATGAATACTTCTCTTTTTTGTAAATGGTTCGTAAGATTATCTTGGAAATGTTTTTTTCCTCAAAAAAGATCAAGATCCATCGTTGTTTTACAGTAAGTTTTATTTATTTTCCACCATTTTGTGGTTATTTTGTGCATGGTGCTAAATCTTGGTTGTTTTCTGTTGTTTTTAAAACCCAGATTTTTATTTTCTTTTGTTTAAGTTTACCTCACAAGCATATTTCGTTTTCTTAACGCATTAAACGATCTTAAAATAGAATGCTGTTATTTAAAGACTCTTCACAAGGCTCAAATAGAGGGCAACACATATTGCAACAATCTCTCTGTTTAGTAAGCCTAAATATATCTGCTTTTAAATAATTGTGTTTATTTGCCTATCATTTTTTGCGCTATATTTCAGTTAAGTTCCAATGTGTAACATATATCTTTATAACAAATAATCATGACTATCTCAGATCTTTAACTTTCATATATCAATAATGTAATATTAATATTATTAAGAATAATAAATAACCAAGTATACAAACTCAACCTCTTTTGCACATTTCCAACATTATTTTCAGTGACATATTTCTGTTCCAGCCTTTAATCAAATTGTTTATGTTCAGTTATCCCATTACCCAAATTATTTTGAAGTGTTGTCTTTGATTTTGTTATTTTAATTAACTACATTACTTTTACTATGCTTTTAGCTACCCCACGGAAATATGGTAAAATCTCCAATAATTAGTTCATTAACATTTTTTTTAATTTTTATTATAAAAAGATTTTTGGGAGTTGCATACAAGTTGCATCTTGTTAAAGTACACTTTACTAATTTTTACTTCATTATAAGATAAAAAAAAGTGAATTTTAACTGTACCTAATTTTCATAATCATTTTACTTTTGTGATATATATCACTTGTTCATTGTTGGATTCTGAGTTGAAGAGAAGCGATTTGTGAATAGGTAATTGATGGTACAGGTTATGCAAGGAAGAGAGATTTTCTGTGAAATTTTGTTGTTGTAAGTGGTGGTGTAAATGCTTAACTATAGCTATCTGCTACTACAGAACTTTTATTGTTCATGGAATAAACATATTTAAAATGGTAGCCTGCCTTTAATACAGAACTGCATCAAAGGCCTACCCTTACTTTGGATTATAAGTTAAGACCTGACGGGCAGTAGGAAGGTGAAAAAAATGGTGCAATAGCTTAAAACATTTACTTGGGAATGTGCATGAGTTATTTCCTTTTATTTTGGTTATTTATTTTACTATTTTATTTATCATTTAATCAGTTTTGTTTTATAATATTATATAAGCACACTTTCTAACTTAGATCAAAGTTTCTACTTGCTTGAGATTTTATTTTTCTTTGGTTCATGATTTTAATTTGAGTGCATTTTAAAACAGCGTGTATAATAAAGAAATAGGTGAAGCTGTAACTTGGTGGTTAAGATGCTTACGTTTGAATTCCTGGGTGTAAATCTGTTGAATTGGCCTTTGTGCTTGCTATTAGCTGTGAAACTTTTGAATATCAATTCTAATAATACTAGGCAAAGGTATCAAAACAAACTCTACCTGAAACATGCTACACTCTCCATCTGACATCTATCAAAGACAAGTAATTGGAAAAGATATGTAGAGATGTAGAAAAATTCACATAACTTGGAGAAAAGTGCTGCAGTTATGGTGCTGAAATTCTTCCAATTTCGATCTTTAGTCGGTCACTTCAGCACTATTCTTTTTTTTTCTCTTCCTTAAGGTACTTATGCAGTCTTGGTACTTTAATCGTTTGTCTTTCATTGTCACTTTTGCAGGTTTACGATTGTCAACACGGAGCACTACATCACTGAGGAGTAATCTTAGCAGCAGAAGCAGTCTACGAATACCAAACAAGAAGAAAACTAAGAAAATCATGTATCAATCCATACAAAACCACAGTAAGTAACAATTTCCTGGCATCCATTTTCCTATTGGGTTTTTTGAAAATAAGATGAATGTGGTATATTGTGGATTTCTAGTTAAATCTCTCATATTACAATTTTAAGTGGATTCAGTCATTAAAAATTACCATGAAGAACCTTTAAGGTGGGTATAGGATTTAAAAACTGTAGGAACAAGGAGTAAGTCTACCCTTCATCTTGCCCTACTTTTTTTGGGGGGGGGATCTATTAAATAGTGAAATTTTCAGTTTTTACTAGTTTTTTCTTTTTAGAATTTAGAGCTTGTTTGTACATTGTTTATTTTCATCATGCAATTGGCCACATCATTTTTTTTTTTCATTTCATTTATTTAGTCCAAAGAACAGTAAAACTGACAAGCGCAGAATAACAGAGACAGAAGAAAACACTCAAATGGCCAAACAGGATTGCTAAAAACTAAAACTAAATCAATGTCTAGTGGCTCTCAGATGCCAAATTACCATAAAATAGTCCAGTAAAAATATCATTAAAATATATATATAATTATGTACAAAATCATCAATGAAATCGGTCAAAAGTTAAATAGAAAAAATAAATTAATAACAATTGAAATACAAGAATTGCAGTGTAAAACTTGCCACTTGTTTGGATGTAAATGAATTGAACATTCAAATCTTTGCTTCCATTCCAGCCTATTACAAGTTACCAGTCTAGTATTACTTGTCATAGTCATAGTAAAACTCTCATGAGAATGAATATGACAATATTTTTTATTTTCATTCAATAGATTATGATGTTGATGAGATCTTAATTTATGAAGAAGTTACGCTCTTCCGCGCCCCTCCAGAGAGGCCACGACCCCTGGTTATAGTAGGTATGTGGTAATATTTTGACACATTAAATGTATTTTCTTTAAATATTATATACTTATTATATATTGATTTTGAGATACAGCAAATATTTTGAAATGAGCAATTCTTTTTGTCAATATATTTTACTTGTTTTGCTCAAAACATTGTGTGAGTTTTTAATTTGTTGTTGAGTTGTTCATTTTTTAAGTGATTTGTTTCCTATGCCTGTAGGCCCACCTGGTGTTGGCAAGAATGAACTTAAGAAGAGATTGATGGCCAGCAAGCCATTTCATTTTAAGTCCACTATTCCACGTAAGTAAGCTTCATCACCCAATTATCATTAATGATGAGGCCTAATATAAATTTTCTTGTTAGTATTAACAGTTACCATAACATATACAACATTTCATATTTTTTAGATATCATATGCTACATTATCGTCTGTATTTTCTTCAATGTTGTATGAAATTATTTGATTGCTGCTGTTTTTTTTATTTTTAATTTATTTATTCAGGTATAAAAATATGAAACAATTACAAAGAGCAGCTGTAACTGAAATGGTTTGCATCACAAAACTCTTAATTATACACAACATCAAAAACACGATCATAAAATCACAAATCAAAAACAACAAAGTAAATACAAAACAGAAAAATGCTGAAGATAAAAAAAAACATTAAAAAAACAATTCATAGAAAAATACAAAAATTATATTTTAATATAGTATTTCCTATGTGTGGTGACTATAAATTCTGTCCATCTTAAATAATATACCATACTATGTGTGGTCCTATGTACATATAGCACTTGTACATGGAAAGAAGAAATACACTATTCAAAGAGACTAGGAGATTGGCTGCTAGTGTACTAGACATAATGGGCACTGCAGCCTCCATGTTTCCCAGGGCCTAATCTGAATTTTCTGTTGGTATCAAAAAGGACGATAACTATATGAATAACGTATATTGTAGATAGTGTGCTTAATAATCTTTTTGTTTTATTCCAGATACGTCCCGTCCAAAAAAACTTTTAGAAACAAATGGAAAAGAGTACATTTTCATCTCCAAAGAAGAATTTGAAAGGAATATACGTTTAAATAAGTTTGTAGAATGGGGCGAATACAAGGGCAACATGTATGGGACCAGTCTGGACTCAGTAAGGGGTGCGATATTAGCGGCCAAAGTTGCTATACTCATCGTCTGTCCCCCAGTAAGTTTATATGCACACACTTTACATAGTTTGGTAGGAGGGGTTGGCAAAAAGGGAAAAGATTTCCAGGGGGTTTTTTAACCCTAGAACCTCTGATTACCATTCGGATGGTCGACTGATTGATGATATATTCTTTTCAATTTTCACACTAGGACACATTTTGTTCTAAAAGTTATTTCAAAATATGCAATGAATAATAATAATCCCATATAGTAACTTTGGTATGGAGAAACACCTCCACTGAATCTCACTTGAAATAAACCAAAAGGTCCACTGATAAATCTCAGATAAGATAGTATAATACATACTCCAAGTATCGAAATGCACGCCATTGTGTTGGGATTCAATATTTCATAAATTATGTCATCATCAGGAATGATGACTGACATAATTAATGTTGAAACATTTGAAATAAATTGTTTTAATATTAAGAACTTTGATGGGTTATCCTGTCATCTTTATTCTTTGCTGAATTTCAGTTGTTATTTTGCCAATGGATGAATTTTAATATATTTCTAACCATTTTATCTTAGAAGTGCTATGTCTATTTTTAAAGTAGTTTTTAGTATTTTTTTGTACATGTTTTATGATGCCAATTTCCCTTTGCTCCATTAAAACTATATCGGCCTTCAAACATGCACTCAAGACCCATTTGATGGGACTGCCATCTGAGGTTTCCTAGTTTTGATTCTCTCAATTCCTTTTGTGTTTTATGTTTATTGATAGGATAGCTAAGCAGATACTCTTGTTACTTGAGAACCAGCAAGCCCTCAATGGGGCTTCAAAGTGCTGGTAAACAGAGCAGTAATGCTGGTTTGTCTGCTTCTGGTTTCTTTGTAGGACATTTACTGGTTCAGTTTTCCAAATTTTTCTTTTTCTGCTGTTTATTTTTCCAAGCGCATTGAATATTTCTTTAAAATGGATATGAGCACTATAGAAATCTTATTTATTATTATTACTAATAGATAAAGAAATCAAAATCAAATATTGATAATTATAGATGACAATATATTACTAAATTTATTATAAGAAAGCTATCAGGCATACAATAATTTTGTGTTTATTTATTTTTTAGGCATTGAAACTTTTGAAGGCATCTGATGTGAAGCCCTACGTGATCTTTATCAAGCCCCCGTCATTCCAAAGGCTCAAGTCCAGTAGGATGGCATCGAAGGCAGTATACACAATGGAGAAAAAACAAACAAAATCATTTACAGTAAGTTAAAATAAATATTCAATTTACCATAATGTTGCTAATATACAAATACAGGTTTCCCTCCAATTTAAGACCACTTTTGGGACCGGTCGTTCCATTTTCTTTAGCAGCTTTGGTTTCTGATTGCAATAATAAAGATAAAAGACATTTGCTAATATGGGACCACAGAAAAGTGGTCTTAATTTGGAGGTGGTCTTTAATTAGAGGGAGACCTATAGTTGTGAATGAATATACAATTCACATATTGTTCTTTATTGTATCAAACAAATGAATACAAAAAGGTAATCAAGGCATACCCCCATCCCTCTTAAACTACATACATATTTCTTCAATAATAATAATAATAGTAACAGTAAATAATAATAATAGTATTAATAATAGTATGTGGCAAATATAAGCCAAACCAGTCCTTTGTCGCAAAAATTGATCTTTAGCTATTAATGCAGCATTAAACAGTAAAATGAAAGCTATAAAATGGTAAAAGAATCATTTAAATCTGACATTTCGTTAGTTACAGGAGTTTAAACATACAGCTGTTTAAACAACAATATTTGAGAAATCAACCTTCAAAGTTTATGATTTTGGGCGTTTCTCAGCAGAAAACCATTACCAAATCGTTAAAAATGTTTGTTTTAACATTGAAAATAGGAAAAATAACAGCATAGCGTGATATATAGATATATAAAGGTTAGTTTAGTGTAATAAAGTAGATTTCATAAATTTTGACATTCCATCATGTTTTGGCTATTATCTCTGAAACAGGATTTGCAACAAGTAACTGGTTTAGCTTGCCCCGCCACGTATGAATATAATGTATTTTACAGACCAACTTGTAAGATGTCTACAATTAAGTACACATTTTTACAGTTATTTTAAGCAAAGCCAGATTGAGCAAAGCATTCCAATAAATTTTTCTAACTATTTTGGCAAAATATGTTTATAGATACAGTAATGTGTCAATGCAAGCTGGATTTTGTATCAAATGTCTGCTTTCAGCATTATCACATTGTGACCTGTTATGCTCTCTGCTTGTAGGTCTGAGATAAATTGCACCCTTTTCCAATGTGTTCATTGTACGCTGTCTCAGATGGAATTTTGGCAAATTTTCAAATTATCATTTTATCCAATTCAAAATGAGCTAAATTAAAAACATGCAAGTGGAAATGTATTGCTTGGTGGTTAAGGCCCCTTCCAATCCCTGTCATAACATGATTTTCCTCACAGCAGAGCAGCTTAGCTCAGTTGGCTAAACTGGTGATAGCCACTGTGTGTACGCTGAACTGATCTCTTGATCCCTGGTCCAGTTCCCAATGCTGCTCTCCTACTTTTTCAGCTGGAGGGCTAAAATTCAAGTAACGATAGCGCACCGTCTTTCGGATGAGACGTTTAAGCCATTGGTCCGGTGTGCATTATGGACGCAGTACACTCTTCAGAAAAGAGTAGGGGATTACCTCCCAGTGTAGGCCTACTGCCCAATCACTACTAGAAGGACCCCACTGGAAATAAGTCTTCTTTAGACTTTCACAGGTTATCTGGTGTTTACACCTAATACACCCATCCATCCACTAAAAACCACTCCAATCCCTAAGCTCATAATGAGTCTAGAGAATCTTGTGTGTATATTTGTCTTGTGAAGCGTTCGCTACTTAGAAAAGTGATTAAATTTCCTTTTTGGCATATCCTTGGCCCTTGTCCCTAAAGTTGAATCAAGTTAAAAAAAATTAATAGAATTGTTTTTAAATAAATAAAGAATGGATGTAAGTTGACTGAATAATTGATTTTCATGATAGGACGAGGAGTTCATGGATATGATTGAAAGTGGAATACGAATGGAGGCAAATTATGGACATTATTTTGACTGTACTATTGTTAATGAGGACTTAACGACTGCCTATAATGAGCTAATAGCAACAGCAATGAGAATCGAGAGGGAACCACAATGGGTTCCCAGCTCCTGGATGAGATAGCAAGAATCCTGACGATATAATTGGATTTGTAAAGCCTCTTGGAAGGATGCTCAACCACTGCCTAGATCTGTACAGAATTTGTCAAGCATCATGGCCATTTATAAAGCAGGGATTAACAAAAGTGCCTGAGTATGTGCCTAGCTTATGGGTTAGAGATAACAAGAAACTGAGGAGCACTTCAGTGGATCCCTAGCACATGGATTTGAGAGAGAGAGAGATTGAAACATTGGACATAACAAAGGTATCCCCAGGAACAGAATGGGTTCTGTGTGTCATGTTTTTTTAATAGTGGAAGAAGATAGTTTCCTGATTGGGTTCCTAGTTTTTAGATGAAAGATAGAAAGAGAGAAAATATTATATCGGGCACATTAGCACTGCAGTTGTTGCATAGTTCACAAATAAGATGAAAAAACATCATATAAATATTGTTATGCATGTGTGTGTGTGTGTGAGAGGGGGGTTGCAGTGTTTGCATGTATGTATGAAGCATCATAGATCAACAAGGCACAGCGGGGAAAGATCTGGAAAGCAGAGTTATTATAATGACTTGTTATCACTCACAGGCAACAGTCCACTTCTATCAATGAATAGGAAGTCATTAAAATAGAGAAAAATGCTACATATGGTAATATTAGCAACTTGTGCATTCATGCATGACCAGAAGAAAACTGGTTAAAAAGAAGATGGTTGTTGTTTTTGCCACATCAAAAGCTATGGATTTGCCAATAAGTACTATAAAGTAGGAATAAATCACTGTCCACACTAGCAGTTTTTCTGTGACAAAAATATTAGTGTTGTGCCCATGATTGTGTCCTATAACATCCATATAGTGACAAATCACTGGTTGTTTGTCCCTTAAATTGTTATGGTGTTTATAGACCTTAGCAGTTATAACATGGTATAAATATATACAGTCTGTTATTAATTAAACTATTTGAAAAATAAAATTCAATATTTAGTTTCTTACATTTTAATTTAAGTAAGTTAATAGTGTTTAATACCATTCCTATATTTATTGCATAGATTTTTGAATTGGCTGGTAAAAGGTTTAAGGATATTATTATATGTAGTAAAAGCTTGGTATATCAGCAAAAAAAAAACTTTTTGTTCCAATATGTACATCATTGGAATTTAACTTACTTGATCATTTTGATGAGCTATTTACAGTAATTTACTTGAAATTTTCAAGGTTTTTTTCCATAACAGATGGTATATATTTAAGGAGTTTCTGAAAGGTAAAAACTACCATTTAATTAAACATAATCAGTGTTTGTATCACTTAAGAGCTAGAGAGCTCCACTCTTAACATAATTTAAAACAGAAGTTCCCATTGGATTATGATGTTCACTGATGCGTTAACTAATGTATCATTTAAGCAACATTCATAATTTATTATAATTGATGTGAAAGGAGTGGTGTGGATGTAAACTATACCATTTGCCCTTATCTATGTGCAACCACGTTTTACATATTTTTAAATGCAAATTAAATTACAAACTTGTCAAATAAATTTGCCTGCCAAAAAAGCAATTTTTATAGAATTTTAAAACATTAACTATCTACAATACAGTGCACTTTACCTATTCAAAACATTTTTGCCAAAATAAAAAAAAAAAACAATTTTATAGAATTTCAAAAATATTACTTAGATATAATGCACTTTGACCTATACAAGCATTTATACGTCCAAATGTGTTTACCTCACTCAAAATTTAGTGTGTCAGACATTGACCTGCAACTTGATAGTCTTTGTTCAAACTGAAAACATAGTAAATGTATATGATACGGCATCAACATAGTTAATGTCATAACATGCTCAGCCTGATTTCATAAAATCACACTTTCACAAACAGCTTTCGTTGACACTGATTGATTGGTCAGTCAAATCAGGGAGCGATTCCGTCAGGACATCTACGCAGTGTAATAATTGCACACTGTAGCAATATTGAAGTGATTTTATGGAACGTGTGCTTTAATATTAACATTTATTACCTTTACTCTTACATTAGGTCATAATAAATTACCCTTTCCTTCAACAAAACTTGTAATATATCTTACGACTGCTCATGCTTTCATACCATCATTAATATTTAATTACATGTATGTACTAAGCAAGCATGTTTGTAAATTGTTCTTTAAACATTTTCTACAGTTTTTGCACAATAAGCATTAAATAACAGACAATTTTGTATCAGTAAATAATTGATGTACAGTATTTTATAAATTTACTTAAGTTGTCATTGAAAAGAAAAGCTACCAAATGATTGCTAACAATAAAAGGCAAACAAAAAATATTGTGTTGCTCAAGGACAGTGACATGTTAAAGCTGTGTTTTTTAAATGTTCAAGGGTTCGTTGGAATGAACTCTGGCTCATAAATTATAACCACTGAGGTAAATTTCATTCTTCAGGCATAATATTTATCAAAAGCCTTTGTTAAACATCGTTTGGGCTTTAAAAAAAAAATAAATAAATAACCGCAGATTTTAAGTTTTTGTGTCAGTGAGGCTTGGGTAACACAGTGTGTTTTTCTTTTGCCTAATTACAGTACCTCCGAAATGCCTTAATATCTAGAATAATGAAAAGTTTTTAAATGTAATTCTCTTTATCACCAATTCTATGGATGTTTAAACAAGATTGTCAAAAGCCAAAGCTGTGTTTCCAAGTAATAAGATCAGTTTGTTTTTAAAAAAATGTGAATCATGAAAATTTGTTGTTATTTAATTGATATACATTTAAACTAGGCTCATTAAAAGTTTTTATCATACACTAATATTTAATCACATAGTTGTTGTGTGTCCATGGAATGTATTACAATTTTTTAATTAAAAAAAACCCATGCAAATTGATTCACACAAAAAATGAGGAGATGTTACGGTTTTTGATGTTATTTCTTTCTTCTTTAATAATGCTAAAATATGGAAATGTTTCACACATGCATAATGTTTCGCTGATATTCTTCCAGCATTCTCAATTTCTGTGGCGATATTTTCATTGGTTATGACCTCCCCTTACCATTTTTAGGTTGTTATTAATTAGTCATAACATCAGTAGTACATTTAGCAATGCTTTTAGATTACCAGCATCACATCGCGTAAGCTCGAACGCATCATAAAGAAAAAATAACATCAAAATTATTAATTAGTCAATCCAGATGTAATGTTCAATGACCTTGAAATGTTTTCACAATAATTTATGTGGCATTTTTATGATGAGGGTAAGCTTCATTGACCAAATAGCTAAATTTTTAACTAATATTGATAAAGGTGTATTGTAAAAAAAGTCCTAATAAGTGTGTGATAAATGATAATATATAAAGTTTACAGAGTTTATCCCTCACTTGTCATCAAGTGGTAATCCAACTAACCTATGTCACAATTTTTATGAGCCCAGGTGTTCATCTTTATAATTGTTATCACGTGTTTAGCTTGATGCAGCACTCATAAGTTATATGACACACCCACTTGCTGACTACTTATTGACATGGGCCTTGGTATTTTATGGACACACCCACTTGCTGACTACTTATTGACATGGCCCTTGGTATTTTATGGACACGCTCACTTCTATTTTATGGACACATTCACTGGTTGGTCAAGGAGATCATTTTGAATTAAATCGTATGCCTTGTGCCCTAGACATGGATCAGTGGTTAAGCCTATGTATAAATTGAGTGGTTGCCAGAAAAAGAGGCTCGGGAAAACATGCTGATAATTAGATGTATACCACATGGTCGGCCATTTAATTGTAGGCCTCTATGCTGTATCTTAAGCTTTTGTACATTAGAACAAGTCAAAGCTATTTCAATTAATTTTTATGATTAGCACAAAAAGTGATTTTATTGAATACAATTATATAATTGATTGTTGTATATATTACTATAGAATTATTATGTATTTGTAAATTTTGGTACCTTTTTTTCTTATGAACTATTTTATCTTTTGTTTAGAGGAAGAACACTTCTCAGGTTGTAAAAGAACCTTGTTTAATTGGCATTTTTAAAAGTCTGATGTTGAATTATAAGTAAGATTCAAAACTGTTGTTAACGATGTTGGTGAATTCTTTATGATGTTAGTTGTGTATGTGTGAATCAAGGATCTACTGTTTATTCGCACCAAATGTATTATCTTAATTTATATATTTCAAATATTTTATACTTTAAATATATTGCTTATCTTTCAATGAATCACGAATAGTTTTAAGGAAAAACCATTTTCAAAGAGACACTAAATTACTTAATTAAATGATAGTCTCGTGTATTCAGTTGTTAAATTGTGTGCACATGTATCCACCTTTCTGTGGCTGTTAAAATGTGAACATGATATCACAAGGGAGAATCAACACGAAAGGAACAGTACCCTTCCACAAATCATCAACACAGGTAACAAAGGAGGGCAGGAGGATGAAACAGTAGCATTGTTTGTGTAATCCTCATTGCATTTCAAGAATCATGCTGCTGTATTTAAATCAAGCTTAAGAATGTATTAAATTTTGAGAATTTACTGCCACTTTTTAATTTATTGATTTATACTACGATAGTTAATACCAATATTTGACCGATTGCTAATTGATAGGTGCCTATGAATGATTCGATGTCGAGGCCTGAATGACATTTATATACAGTAGGCAGTACTTCATATAGGGCCTAACTAATTTCTGTCTCTAGTGAGCTTAATAAAAACTTTAGAATAATTTTCTTTTGATGTAGTTAGTTGATGATTTGCAGAAGAGTTCTGTCATAATTACCCAGCACTTGCCAAAGATTATTACAGCCGTTTAGTAAGTGAGAATTTGATTTTTGATTTAATTTAATACATTTTAGCATGTGTAGTGATAAGTGAGGTTATTATTAATAAAATATAACTGATTTCCAAAAGCAACTGTGTGTTACAGTTTTTTTGTGGAGAATGTGCAATAGGCATATACAGTAGAACCCCTATTAAGGGGGCACCTTCGGTACCAGAAAAAGTGTCCCCTTAATAGGGGTGTCCCCTGAATGGGGGGTTTAACCTCCATTTTGGGGACACTAACCAAAAACACAAAATTGTCCCCTTAATAGGGGTTTTTGGCATGTTTTCATACAACGATGACATACATTCTGTGTAATATTATTTTTATTGACATAAGGAATCAGCTAAGTAGAATTAGAACTAATTTATAGCAACAATTTGCAATGCAAATACAATTAATTTTATAATATGAAATCAGCACAAATGTACTGTAATTAAAACAATAGTTTTACAGTATATGTTGCAGAAGCGGTTTGGTGCAGCGGGAATGGTATGGTTTCCCAACCTCGAGGTCTGAGTTTCAGTCCCTCGCTGTACTGTACTGTACATTTTGCTGTGGCGGATCTAGAGGGGGTGAATAGGGTGACTAGCCACCCCCACCCCCAATTCAGTTACCGTAAAAAAACTTGTCTTGTGTGTATGCTTCTCGTGTATCTATGTTGCGTGACATACACTTTCTATTTTAAGCTTAACTTCTTTTCAGATGTCATCTAAGATAAGAGTGTCTAGCCGTCTACTAATTTCAAAGAACTCGAATGAAAGGGGGACTCCCTCCCAAAACCACCCCAACAACCCGCTCGGTGCTTCGCACCTCACATCCACCTCCATTGCTAAATCCTGGATCGCCACTGATCTGCATTGCTTCTCCTGTATTATCACCTGTCTTGTCGGGCTTGTACAGTATGGAAAGTAGACAATATAGGCCTGTATGGATATTATTCCATGGGTTCTTGCCACCCAGGAGTATGAATAGGTACCTGGTGGGGTTGCCGACCCCTGCAATGTTTACCACAGTAGCACTTAAAAACATGAGGACCCAATGACCAGGGGAAAAGGAGCGACTTTTATTTACAAAGAAATTGCGCTGTATAAATGATATAAATAATAAAATGTTCCCAATAGTATTGCATGATGCAATGTTAATGACCAAATATTCCTTTTTTTATTTAAAATATTGAGCTTTTTTTTGGATGATTGTAGCATGAATAGAGTAACGACTTTGAATTAATGGTGGATGTTATGGTATGTATTAGAATCTTATATGTAAGTACATGAAAAACAAGGGAAAATAAGTCCCCATGGTTAAGGGTCACAATTAACAAGATTGGCTTATATGAAGCATCATGTAGTATTCATTAGGCCTATACCAACGTTTATTCTAAGGATTCAGTGGAGAAAATTCTGGTTTATTGCTTAAAAAGGCATTAAAATATGAAGTTGAATTAATTTTTCTTACTTTGAGACTGCTGTAGTTGTGACACAATGATAAAAATATATTAAGTGTCCCCTTAATAGGGGTTATTTGACCATTTCGCACTCAGAAAGTGTCCCTGTCCCCTTAATAGGGGTCGACCGTAGTGTTAAAATATATATTTTCCCTCGTTTGACGGAAAAGTGTCCCCTTAATAGGGGTGTCCCCTGAACAGGGGTGTCCCAAAGGAGGGGTTTTACTGTTATATTCATACATTTTATATTATGCTCTAGAATCGATTTCAGTATGGATTAACATTATGCTTATTTGTGCAAAGGCAATTCTACTTTGGGTGAAAGGTGGACCGTTCCATTCAAGTATAGGAGACGAATTGAATGGAACATAAAAAAGCACATGAATGCTTATTTCCAGAGGTGGATGTCAGGGGTTTTGAAGATTCAAATCCAATTCGGTTTCTCTACCATAGTAGTGAGATTTTTTCGCAATGTTATGGTTATCCCCGACATGTTCTTTTGTGAAGCTCGGTTTCCATAGGATCGCTTATTCTCTCGTCGACAGTTGTTTCAGTTTATTTCCAAATACATAAATATATAAGTGGAGGAGGCTAAATATGTTCTTGTATAAATTACACATAACTTTAATTTATAGCCCCCTAAAATAACTCGTATACAAAGAGTTATAATACAGTAGTAGGCGTAAATTAAGATTAGACTACCAGAAAAATTATAGAAAATAATGACGATATTCTCGGGCGCAACCCATTTGATCCAGTGAATTGAAGGGTTGCTCCCCAAAGATTCCGTCCCTACTCCCCTAACAAAACCCGACGGCAAATTTACCACCATTCACGTGCTTCAAGCTACATTACATACGTACACACATATTTAACTATAGTGTTTTAACAAGCATAATACAATAGATGATGTGGTCTTTACTCACCATATATCGATAGGCCTATCAGATATTTTTATTTTTAGAGTAGTCATAACTATAGACGGTTTGTTAATAAGCGGTGATGGACTATTTTGCCATAGTTTTGGGCCTACATAGAATCACCGTCTAAGATGGGAGAAACATGATGTTTTAGTTAAAACATTTTTTTAAAATTGATGTAACCATCACCACAATCTTTTGTAAAGATCGGCACGAATCATATTCGATCTGTTTACGTTCATTTGTTTCTGCTTAGTATTTTGAAAGAGCATATTGAATAAACCAAACCAAAAGTCGTGCCGATCTTTAATAAAGATTGTGATGGTGTTTACATCAATTTTATCGTATGTTTTAAATTATTGCTGGATTGTTAATTTTATTTTAACTGTAATTGTACTTTTCAACACTTCGTAAACATCACTGTAAGTCAGTTTTGACTGCGACTTTTATGTAAAATATAATACTTGATATTGGTGGGGCCCACGAGGAGAGTTTCCTCTCGTCTGTGTATTCTTTACATATTATTAGTGGACTCTAGAATCGATTAAAACAAGCCACTGAAACCCCTAAATTTTCATGTTTCGACCACTTCCGTGAGATTTTGAGTGACGACCGACCACTCCCCCATCGGACAAATCCGCCACCCCTACTCGAATGCAGTGTAGCGTGCTAATGTTTATTGCATTGAATTGAAGCACACTTCATTGTAGGCCTATAGCTTTCACACAATCACAATATGACAACAAAGAATTCATGGACTGTAGGCATAAATTATTTATATGATATTCGTATCTGAGGTTAGGAGTAACATATGCTTCAAAGTAAATAAAATGCAAATAGGTTAGATTGAAATTACTGTTTCGACAAGATCAAAAGTTTATTTTGTTTCTCGTAACATGAGAAAATCATTAGAGAATAAATAATATCACTGATCACTAATTTATGAATGGTAATCTGTATAAAACCTAGATCTTTATGTGGTAAAATGAAGTACCTATGATGAATATTCTGAAACGTACATACTGTGGAAGCAAATAAATAAATTAACGTTTCAGTACCATATCTTGAAAATTTTCTTTCTTTAAAATCGATTAATTGTATGACTTACAAAAAGATAAAACGTCAAAGCTGAAGTAGTCCCGAGTAAAGATACATTTTCTTGACAAAGTTTGATAACCAAAAAAAGGTTTGCTCATTCATTTAATAAATATTCCTGGCAACATATTACCATCTCTCCGGAGTTTTTTGTTTTTATTATCTAGTTTGCCAATGCAGCCCTCCAGTGTGTTATATATAT